CAGTAATGTCAACGATTCCAAACACTCACGACTTCCAAGAATCGTAGAGACACAAAGGTCAGCAGGTTCCAAACATTCCAAAGGTCCTAAAAATTCTACAGTTTCCAGAATTTCCTGAAGGTTGATCCCAAAAATTCCAAAGGTGCCAAATCTCTTAATTATTCCAAACATCTCTGATGCTCGAAGACTCAAAATGTATAGGGTTCAAAAACCAATGGCTCAGCAAGAAACCAAACGCGCAAAGCTCAACTTTTGAGAGGATCAAGAGGATAGGTACCTAAGCGCCCAAGGTATCAAGAAATCAAAGAGCCAAGAGCTCAAAAGTTCGCCTCAAGGATTCAGGGACCTAATGATCTAAACACCCAGGATTCAACTCAAGTTTCAAAGACCGAAGAAGCTGACGAATTAAAATCCAGAAAAATCCGACTAAGTGATGTACACAATTGGTATAACTGCTAATTTCATGCGATCGGAGCTGTCAGTATTGCTTTTGAAAAACTCGCCATTTGGTTTTTTCTGCTAACGTTATGCTACTACACATTTTACAAAGAAATGCTAAGGTTAAGTGATGTACATTTAGAAGCAAGTACGAAATTGTTAATTTTGTGCTACTGGAGCTTTGGGATTTTGTGCTAGATTTGTGCTACTACACTTTTTACAGAAAAAAATGACCAACATCGAGTGATGTGCACAACGAAGCAAATTGGTATACTCAACTACGAAATTCCTAATTTCGTGCTACCGGAGTTGCTATTATTGTTTTATTTAAAAATCTTGCTATTTGGTTTTTTGTGCTAATGTGCTACACATTTTGTAGAAAAAAATGAACAGGATCGAGTGATATGCACAACGAAACCAGTTTCTATTACTCAACTACGAAATTGGTAATTTTGTGGTATTGAAGATTTTGGTTTTTATGCTCCTTTTGTGCTACTTCAACTTTTACAGTGTGCACAACGAAGCAAATTGGTATACTAAACTACAAAATGGCTAATGGTGTGCTACTAAAGCTGTAAGTTTTTGTGCTGGTTTTGTGCTACTATACCTTTTAGAGGAAAATGTTGCTATTATTCAATTACGAAATTGCTAATATGTGCTACTACACCCTTTCATAGAAGAAATGACCAGGATCAAGTTATGTACACAACGAACCGAGTGAACTATGAAATTGTCAATTTTGTGCTCCTCGAAATGTTGCTGTTTGGCTTTTTGTGCTGGTTTTATGCTACTATACCTTTTACAGAAAAAATGACTAGAATCAAATGATAAGCATAACGAAACAAGTCGCTGTACTTAACTAATATTGCTAATATTGTGCTACTAGAGGTGCTACTACCTTATTTGAAATATTCGCTATTGGGTTTTTCGTGCATTTTACAAAAAATACTAGGATTGTACCGCTTCATAGCGAACATGAGTGGGGGTATGTCTGGCGATAACAAAATCGGTGTTGGGGCCAGAGGGTGCGATCTCTCCGAACCTAAGAGTTTCGTTTCGTTCTGTTTAAAGCCGAGCACGTGGCACAAATTCGGCTTTAGTATTCATGTACTTTAGAGGGATGCGCTGGTCCAAATCTTTGCGTTCGGAGCATGGGTCCGGTTTTGGAGCTTCTAATGGGCGAGATCTAAATGGCGGGAGCAGTGGGAGAGCGGACAATCTAAGCACGTACCACCTGAGGTACGCTCAAATTTAATTCTTAGTGAAGTTTTTGTGCTGCGTCTGCGTGAAGAATCGTGGTGCGATTTGGAAAACCAGCACCAGTTTAACTCCGGGTTTATATGTATACGAATAAACTAATTACAGTAAAGTTCGGGACAAAGAAAAAACTTTTTAGTAGCCCGATTCCTAACCAGGCCTTTTTTTTAATTTACGGAAGGTAAAATATACGCGAAGGAACATTTTCAAATCGGAGAACCACTTTTCAAATAAAAAAAACGGGATTATGTAAATTGACATACGCCTTTTCTTTGATACTTTTGTTGCCTTTGAATCATTTAGACGTTTTTTGGCACTTTCCTTTTCTTCTGAAAGACGTTACACTAACTTTTGGAAATTCAAAGATTAGCAAATATCATTAAGGACTCCGTTTTAGAAGGTTGATAAGCGTTGTTGAAGGTTTATAACGTTTTTAAAGGCAAATAACTTACAGACACTCAAATATACTTAGAAACCAATTGAACCACTTAAAGGCTCAGTTCTTTAAAGACTAAAGGTCGTTCATTACGGTGCGAGCAACTTCGGGAATCGGTCACATATTACTGGGTCCCTAGCAGGTCCAAATATAGTTACTTTTTTAGTTACAATGGGCCCTATAATACTATGTTTCGTTTCGTTTCGTCTCGTCTCGTCTCGTCTGGGCCCTACACGCGGAGCATTGTTTCAAACCCAGACAGTTTTCTAGTGACTTTTTCGTATCTAGTGAATTTTTCTAGTAACTTTTTGAGTTGGAAGCGGCCCTATATTACTATAAGAAAAAAAAACAATCAAGTAATTCTTACCAATGCCAACGGTGTAAGAGGTAGCCGCTCTGGTGTTTCAGAAATTTAGTTTTAAAATTGTATTTTGTTAAACATAGGAAAATGTACATATATACCGCTTCATAAAGAACATGAGCGGAGGTATGTCTAGCGATAGCAAACGATAACAAGAATTGTGTTGGGGAGGGCGGTTGCCGCGATCACTTTTTTGCACACCAATGCCGAGCGAGCCGAAGGCGAGTTCGGCATACTTCGGTCCCTTCCTTAGACTCGCCTCTCTACGTCCACGGTGGCAAACGACGTTCACCAACGACCATACACACACTATACTTATTCAATCATACATCTAACCTAATAAAGCGGCTCGTGTGACGCAGTTGAAGTGAAACTTGACTGTGGTGCTAAGGGTCCCTGGTTCGAATCCGGGTTCGGACATGGATATTTGTAAATGTATAGTGGGTTGGGTTGGTAGAACAGCCTTGGCTGAAACCCCGCCCACTCAAAAATAAAAAGGCAAAAAATAAGTAAATAAAAAACGGCGATTTTTGCGAAAAAGTAGAACTATATAAAATAGTGATTCACTGCCATTATAATCCACCCGAAATACTTGTAATGATCTTAAATTTACTGGCGGCCCTTCTGACCAATACTCACGCTCACTCCTCTTAAAAATAAAGGTGCATCCAAAGTAGTGTCACTTTTTGCCTCTTTTAAGAACTTAAGGATTTTTAAACTATGAAATTTGAAAGAAATTGATCTTTGAGTATCGGAGGTTGCTGGATTTTCAAAAGCTAATGAAGCTGATATACCTTTTTCTTTATACTTTTGTTACCTTTGAATCATTTGGACGCTCTTTTTGACACTTTTCATATTTTTTGCTTTTGAAATTTTATGTCGTAAGACTGTTTAGGAATTTGATACTGGAAGCTTTTAATACGTGGGAATTGAGACAAAGCTTTGTGGTTGAGTTAATGCTGTGCGCCCCTAGTCTGGAGAGCAGAGAATGAGATTGTTCTATTAGGAAATCTGACGTCAATAACCCTTACGGCTGTGCAATGACAATCTAAGAATTGTGATCTTACATGCTTTTGCCACATTTAAAACTATGCAGAAACTTCCCTGAAACATCCCGGTCCCTCATTCGTAGAAACTTCACTCTAAAATTTAGTTTGTGCTGAACTATATAACAAGATCTTTTTGTAAGTTTTAAGTGCACTTGTTGCACGGTATACTTTGGAAAGTGTAGGTCAACGTGTAAAAGTGAAATATTTTTGGGGACCGCTGTTCTGATTAAAAATCGGCGAACAATAAACCGTTAATTAAATTCCTGCACACCACGGTCGCTATAGCTACATTTGCAGGGATGTAATTAAAGCCAACAAACTGAAATTTTCGAAATTCCATAACACGAAAAATTGTCTCCCCGTTTAAACACCAAGACTGCGGGCAGTGCAAAAAGCGCGCGAAACTCTCAAGACAGTTTTCACTTACCTTCACTCGAAACGTGACTGATGGCCATCGAAAAAATTTGAAATAAAGCGGCAGCGGCGAGACGTGCCGCGCGCCGGCACGCTAACATTTTTTAAACGGAAACGCTCTCCCTGCGTTCGCTCCTAGACGATGTAAATGTCCTTCTGTTTGATCAAGTTTGAAAGCACAACGCGACTCGGGAGGCCTATCGAAGGTGTACGCATCGCGGTGGCTCGACGTGCGGTATTGCAAACTATAAGGCAGTCGAGGAGGCACTGACGCCACCGCTGACCATTTCAGCCTGATGGAGTGCAACCTCACAAGCGCTCTGTAAACCGGTTGCTCGTTTTGCGCGCTGTTTAGAGTCGCTCTCTTTTCGCTGCCCCCCTTTGTTTTGCAACTTTTACAATGCGAAGTAGCGTTGAGGTGAGACGATTCGTAACCGCTTTCTGGTAAAAACGAGTTAGTAGCTTTCACGCGATCACGTTACCGGAGGGATGCAATATTTTCGTCTACACAAACTTTTATAGTTAGGGAGATGGATAACAGAAATTAGTCAGGACGCCACCCCCTCGAAAAAATGAAAACCTACACACCGGTTTCTGGATGCACACCATGAAAACAGCCGCATCGCCACAATCTTCGGCGTTTCGTTTTTTTTTGCTAAAAAAATTTTAACGAACGACGCAAATTTTCTGAGCCTATCATTCAAGAAATCTAACAAAAATAGTTTCGAACGCTAGGAGCAGAAATTGAAACATAGAAATACAAAATTTAGACTTGCGACTTCCGGGTACAGATCTCTGACCTTTAAGTTCTGGTAACGAAACTCAGACTTGGACTCAGATTTAAAGTTAAGGGTTCAAGGACTACAAACTACGACTCTACTTATTTTAGATTTCGAACGTCATACTCTACAATCCATACCCCGCACCTTTCGTTTCCTTCATCCGACCCTACACCTCTCACCTTATACTCTTAATACTTCATGGTTCGAGGATGATCCATGCTTCATCTCGTATACTTCATATTTTGCTTCATACTTTACACATTTTACATTTCACAGTTCGTGTATCGTTCTTCGTTCTTCGTTCTTCGCTCTTCGTTCTTCGCTCTTCGCTCTTCGCTCTTCGCTCTTCGTTCTTCGCTCTTCGTTCTTCGTTCTTCGTTCTTCGTTCTTCGTTCTTCGTTCTTCGTTCTTCGTTCTTCGCTCTCCGCTCTCCGCTCTTCCCTCTTCGCTCTTCGCTCTTCGATCTTCGCTCTTCGCTCTTCGCTCTTCGTTCTTCGTTCTTCGTTCTTCGTTCTTCGTCCTTCGTCCTTCGCTCTTCGCTCTTCAACTATAATAGTGACGAAGCTACCGCAATCAAGGTCCGTCATACCTATAGGCGGCGTGCCATTCTTAACACACTGTAGCTTTGTACGTTACACATGTGACAGATGGTAGGGGAGTATTACCATGTACCAGTAGTAGTGTTGGCGGCGACAGAAAGTAGCGAGATAAAGCGAAATTGGTGGGGAGTAGGTGACGGTTTCGGCGGAATCAGATCCGTAAATGGGAACTTCCGATTCTGTCGTCAGTCTGAGGTCATCATAGACGGTTTGATCTCGGGCCATTTCTTTTTAATTTAAAAGGGAACCGTGTTGCAAAGTTGGGATTTCAACATTGCCATAATACTTTAAAAAACAGTATTAGCTCCTTCTTAAGCTTTTAATCAAAAACTCTTAAAAGTCTGCTAGAGGCCGCTAGACATCAAACTGCTACTCTGGCTACTCTATGCCTAGGTTTATGCCGAACTCGCCTAGGCTAGGGCTATGGTTGGTAGAAATAAAGTCCTTTCGTTGAGACCTTTCATTAGAGTACCATGAAACTAGTTTCACCCCCCCCCCGTGTCTCTCCCCAACTACCCCGTACTTTGATAAGAGGACAGAAAGAAGGGCAGTAGTTGGTAGAAAACGGTTTCTTTCGTTGAGACCTTTAATTAGAATACAATGAAAGATAAAATTAATTTTACCCCCTTCCCCCCCACAGTCACCGTCGCTCACTGATCTCGAAAAAGAGTCGCACGGGAAAGTTATAGTTTGTACAAACTAATTTGTTTCGATGAGACCTTTCATTAGAATACCATGAAGGCTAGAACATATGTTTACCCCCCCCCCCATTTTCTAAAGTTTAACTTGGCGCCACTAAAGGCATGCGTCTAATTCGTGTGGCGAGGGGGAGCGACGGGCGGACAAAACGCAATCAATAAATCCTGCTTTATGGAAGACCAATGAAGAATATTGAAAGTGTGGCAATGGACGATTCCCGATCTCTTGGGAGGGGGAGGCATGCTGAAATTGATGAATAGTGTGACAGATGGGGTGTGGGAAGGTGGTAATGAAGTGAGTCGAGACTTATATTCGAGATTTCAGATCCCAGATTCGAAATTCGAGATTCGATTTTCAAGACTCAAGATTCAAGATCTATGATTCAGGATTCAGCATACATTATTCAGGATTCAGCATTCAGCATTCAGGATTCAAGGTTCAGGATTCATGATTGAGCATTCAGGAAAAACCATTCAGGATTCATGATTCAGTACTCAGAATTTAGTATTTAGGATTCATGATTCAGGATTTCGGATTAGGGATTCGGGATTCCGAGTTTAGGATTCAGGATTCAAAATTTAGTATTTAGGATTCATGTTTCAGGATTACGGATTCCGAATTTAGGATTTAGGATCCAGGATTCAGGATTCTGGATTCAAGATTCAGGAGTCGATATTCGGAATTTGGGATTCAGGATTCTGGATTCAGGATTCAGGAGATTCGGGATTCAACATTCGGGATTCATGATTCAGCATCCAGGATTCAAGTTTCGGGATTCGGAAGTCAGAATTTAAGGTTCGGGATTTAGGATTCGGGATGGAGGGTTCGGGATTCAGGATTCAGGATTCAAGAAGCAGGATTCGGGATGCGTGGTTCGGGATTCAGGATTTATCAGGAGATTCGGGATTCGGCAATCGGAATTCAAGATTCAAAATTCAGAATTTCGGATTCAGAATTCAGAATACAAGATTTAAGATTCAAGATTCAGGATTCATTATACATTATTCGGGATTCAGCATTCAGTATTCAGGATTCAAGGTTCAGGATTCGGATCGTGATTCCGATTTAGGATTCAGGATTTGGTACTTGTGATTCATATTTCAGGATTTCGGATTCGGGATTCGAGATACGGAATTCGGGATTATGAATTACGGATTCCGGATTCCGGATTTAGGATTCAGGATTCAGGATCCAGGATTCTGGATTGAAAATTCAGGATTCCGGATTCAGGATTCAGAATTCGCGGAATTTGGGCTCAAGATTCGGGATTTAGGAGATTCGGGATTCAAAATTTCGGATTCAGGAATCAGCATCCAGGATTCAAAAATTCGGGATTCGGAATTCAGAATTCAAGGTTCGGAATTTAGGATTCGGGATGGGAGATTCGGGATTCAGGATTCGGGATGCGTGGTTCGGGATACGGCATTCGGAATTCAGGATTAAAAATTCAGAATTTAGGATTCACAATTCAGAAGTCAGGGTTTAGGATTCAGGATTCAAGATTCAGGATTCAGGATACATTATTCAGGATTCAGTATTCAGCATTCAGGATTCAAGGTTCAGGATTCATGATTGAGGATTCAGGATTCATGATTCAGGATTTAGTATTTAAGATTAGTGATTCAGGATTTCAGATTAGGGATTAGGGATTCGGGTTTTCGGATTTAGGATTCAGGCTTCAGGATTTAGAATTTAGTATTTAGGATAATATTTCAGGATTTCGAATTCGGGATTATGGATTCCGGATTTAGGATTCAAGCTCCAGGATTCAGGATTCCGGATTCGGGATTCGATATTCGGAATTTGGGATTCAGGATTCATCAGATTCGGGATTCAAAATTCTGGATTCAGGATTCAGCATTCAGGATTCAGCATTCAGGATTCAAGGTTCAGGATTCATGATTGAGCATTCAGGAAAAAGGATTCAGGATTGAGGATACATGATTCAAGATTTACAATTTAGTATTTAGTTAGGATTCAGGGACTCGTGATTCAGGATTAAAGATTCAGGATTCAGAATTTAATATTTAGGATTCATGATTCAGGATTCGAGATACGGGATTCGTGGTCAGGAATTACGGATTCGGGATTTAGGATTCAGGATTCAAGATTCTGGATTCGGGATTAAAAATTCCGGATTCAGGATTCAGGATCCAGGATTTAAGATTTAGGATTCGGAAGTCAGGATTCAAGATTCGGGATTCGGAATTCAGGATTCGGGATGGGGGTTCGGGATTCGCGATTCAGGATTTAGGATTCGGGATTCATGGTTCAAGAAGCAGGATTCAGGATTCGGGATTCGGGATGCGTGGCTCGGGATTCGGGATTCAGGATTCATCAGCAGATTTGGGATTCGGCATTCAGGATTCCAGATTCAGAGTTCAGGGCTCAGAATTCAGGAATCAGGATTCAAAATTCAAAATTCAGGATTCAAAACTCAGAACTTGGGATTCAAGAGTCGGAACTCAGGATTTAGGATTCAGGATCTAGGATTTAAAGTTCAAAACCTTGAAATTTTTAGACGCGAAGCCTTTAGGTTTAGGGTTTGAAGAAAAAACACGCAACGAGTAACGATTTGTTAGCGATAAATTCTAAAATAAAAATATTTGTATATTCGAGGTTTTAGTTCCAAAATTTCTAGCAGCTAAGTTTCAAAGATTAAAGGTTTCTAGATACAAAGCTAGGGCATCCAAAATGTGGATGCATTTGGACCAATGGATCGACAAGGGAAGATTCATTATTCAGAATTTAGTATTTAGGATAGGATGTTTTAGGATTTCAGGATTCGAGATACCAGATTCGGGATTAGGAATTACGGATTCCGGATTTAGGATTCAGGATCCAGGATTCAAGATTCAGGATTCTGGATTCAAGATTCGGCATTCCGATTCAGGATTCCGATTCAGCATTCCAATTCAGCATTCCATATTCAGCATCCAGAATTCAAGATTCGAGATTCGGAATTCAGGATTCAAGATTCGGGATTTAGGATTCGGAATGGGGGGTTCGGGATTCGGGATTCAACATTCAGGATTCTGGATTCAAGATTCGGCATTCCAATTCAGGATTCCGATTCAGGATTCCGATTCAGCATTCCGATTCAGCATTCCATATTCAGCATCCAGAATTCAAGATTCGAGATTCGGAATTCAGGATTCAAGATTCGGGCTTAGGATTCGGAATGGGGGGTTCGGGATTCGGAATTCAAGATTCGGAATGCGTGGTTCGGAGTTCGGGATTCAGGATTCATCAGGAGATTCGGCATTGTGCATTCGGAGTTCAGGATTCAAAATTAAGAATTTGGTATTCAGAATTTAGGAGTCAGGGTTCAGGATTCAGGATTCAAGAATCAGGGCACAGGATTCCAAATTCAGAAATTAGGATTCAGAATTCAGGAGTCAGGGTCAGGGATTCAAGATTCAGGGTTCAGGATCCAGAATTCGGGATTAAGGATTCAAAATTCTTAGGATTTAGGATACAAGATTCGGAACTCAGGATTTAGGATTCAGGATCCAGGATCCAAGATTCGGGTTTCGGAATTCAGAATTCTAGATTCAGGATTTAGGATTAGGGATGGGGGTTTCAAGAAGCAGGATTCAGGATTCGGGATGCGTGGTTCGGGATTCAGAATTCATCAGGAGATTTGGGATTCGGCATTCGGAATTCAGGATTCAAAATTCAGAAATTAAAATTCAGAATTCTGGAGTCAGGGTTCAGGATTCAAGATTCAGGATCTAGAATTCGGGTTTAAGGATTCAAAACTCAAAATTTAGGATTTAGGATTCAAGATTCGGAACTCAGGATTTAGGATTCAGGATCCAGGATTCAAGGTGCAAAACCTTGAAATTTTTGAAAGCGAAGCTTTTAGGTTCAGGATTTCTAGAAAAACACGCAGCGAGTAGCCATTTCTTACCAATATGTAATTTCTAAAATAAAAATTTTTATATTCCAGGTTTTTAGTTCCAAAATTTCTAGAATGTAAGTCACAGGTTCAAGGTTTCTAGATACAAAGCTAGGGCATCCAAAATGTGTGGATTATACTGATTATAGGTTTCTGTCTCCAAAATTCTCATCATTTAGAATATAAGATTAATCTACTCATGACCTTGAGGTTACTGAAATTTGAAATTCAAGATTTAAGGTTCAAGATTCGAGATTTAAAATTCGACATTCGAAATGCAAGGTTTGAGGTTCGAAGTTAGGAGTTTGGGGTTTAAGATCCGAAGTTTGACACTAAAGATTCGAGGTTCGAGATTCCTGATTCGAGATTCGACATTCGAGGTTCAAGGTTCGAGGTTAGAGATGCGAGGTTTGAGGTTCAAACATTCGAGAATTGAAATTAGAGATTCTAGATTCAAGGCGTCTTTTGAGATTTGAAACTCGAGATACTAGTTCGTGGTTCGAAGTTTGAGTTTCGAGATTCGAGGTCCGAGATTCGACGTTCGAGGTTCGAAGTTCTGGGTTCAAGGTTTGAGGTTTGACATTCGATATTCGAGATTCCAGATTTGACGTTCGACATTCGAAATTCTCTTGGAAGCAAGTAGGAATAGAAGGGCTCTTGGGTCTTAGGCATGCGATCTTGGGTGTTGGGTCGAGACCTGTAAAAGCCTCAAATGTCTCAAGAGTGAAATATACAAGCTCTCCAAAGGCTTCATGGAGATAGGAACCACAAGGCCCTCTAAAATTGAAAATTCTAAGAGCTACATTGCTCTCAAAATTCAAACGCCTCGAAGTCAGCATTTTCACCCCCCCAAATTTAAAAATCTCAATATTTCCAAATTCCCAGAGTTTAGAATTGCCAAAACTTCAACAAAAATCCAAAAATTAAAATGTCCCAGTTTCAAAATCTAAATTTCAAAAACTCCAAAAACCACAAATTTTTAGATGCCTAAATTCTCAACATTTCCAAAACAAATTTTCCAAAGGTTCAAGCATTCTACAATTTCAAACTCACATGATTTTAAATTCTTAAATACCCAATATTTCAAAAAGCCTAACATTTAAAACTCCCAAAAATCCCGTAATCTCAAACTCCCAAAGTCCACAAAGATCAAAATCGCAAAATCTCAAAGTTTAAAATATCCCAAATCTAAGATTCACAAAACTTCAGCTTGTACAACGGCGCAGTTCCGAACTAGGAAACATTTCATCGAAACGAATTTGAGCAAAGATAGTATTCGCGAGGACCTTATAGGCGTAAGCGTGCAGATCTCCAAATTTCTTCATGACGTGCGGATTAAGGACGATTCTGTTCACATCGAGAAAGTTGTTTATTCTTGTGCTCAGTTCTTTGTCTGTCGACTTGTAGACCCCGTAGAAAGTATCACATTTGATATTCACTTCCGACTTAGTAATTTTGAGAAGACCGTTTACACCCACCTTTCCCGCCATGCTTAGATCGGCACGGTAACCCACTGGAAAATTTGCGAGGTTGAGATCTAATCCCGCGGTTCGACTTACCTATCATGTAGTCCGATCTGCCTTCGCTGCTGTAGTCGAATCCGTCGATGATTGCGTCGACGTACTTGTAGTCTGCCGAGTACCTCACAGCTGGACCGGTGCATTTAATTTTGAGGGTAAATTCTCCATCTGATTCTATGGCACTGAAAGGATGATAAAGTAATGGAGTCTCGGTTGGGTGCCAAAGTGCCTCCTCTAATGGGTCGGTTACCTACTCGACTTTTTCGATGGTGACCTCGGTGTGATTGAACAATTCAATATTTTCAAGCTCTTGAACAAAATTTAGGACGGGCGTCGGCTCCACGACCCAATTTTCCACCTTGATGGGATTCATGGATGGGAAATGATACTGGTACAAACCTGCAAGTGTGCGAGTAAAACGCGAAGGGATCTGGGACGCTTAGTCACCGTCTTTCAGGACACTCAGAGCGTCCTGTATGGCGTCTTTGAGACAATCATTCCAGTGCGGATTGGACCGTGGACATACCTTGAAGAGTGCTGTAATCCGAAGACGCAAATTACGTAAACTGGTCGGATCTTATGGCGACTTACAGAGGAAAGTTCTTCGGTGCGATGCATGGCATGTGACTAGGATGCAGCAAAGCCACACGATGGTTCTCATGTTTTCTATGGACTATTAAAAATTGGCTTCCACGCTTTATAAATATTCATACTTATTACGAGATACCTTTTCAGTTACATTTTGCCAAGGTTTATGGTAATATGGTTACAGTTCAGCAACTGAAGGTTATCCAACCTCGTGTCTATAATCATATCACCAATGGATATGTTTCTTGCAGACGTCTCAATCGCCTTTTGTGAGTACCTCTTCCGACAATCCGTTCTTGAGGTATAAGGGAATATACCAGATCACGATAAGAGGTCGAGGAGGAGGGCTATGGTTGGTAGAAATTAATTCCTTTCGTTGAGACCTTTCATTAGAGTACCATGAAGAAAAAACTAGCTTCACCTCCCCCCCCCCCCCCCCCCCACCACCACCACCACTGCCGTACTTTGATAATAGGACAGACGGAAAGTTATAGTTTGTACAAACCAATTCATTTTGATGAGACCTTTCATTAGAATACCATGAAGGGTAGAACATGTATCCCCCCCCCCCATTTTCTGAAGTTTAACTTGGCTCCACTAAAGGCATGCGTATGCAAAATCTGAGTCCAATTGGTTGTCGTATGTCAAAGTTATGTACGTTTTACTTTCAAAAACATCATCTCAGGAAATAATTCGAGGGGGGGGGGCTTTTAACAGCGAAATTTGATGGCCTACTGCAAACAATTCCAGGACCATTCCCCTAGAAGTAGTTCGAAACAGCGGAAGTGGGTCCGGACGGACGGACGGACGGACAAAACGCAAACAATAGTACACTTTTTTAAATCCTTAAAAAATGCGCTAAAAATCCTGCTTTATGGAAGAGCAATGAAGAATATGGAAAGTGTGGCGATGGACGATTCCCGATCCCTTGGGAGGGGGAGGTATACTGAAATTGATTAATAGTGTGACAGATGGGGTGTGGGAAGGTGGTAATGAAGAGACTCGAGACTCATATTCGAGATTTCAGATCCCAGATTCGAAATTCGAGATTCGATTTTCAAGACTCAAGATTCAATATCTATGTTTTAGGATTCAGGATACATTATTAAGGATTCAGCATTCAGGATTAAAGGTTCAGGATTCAGGATTTCAATTTTAGTATTTAGGATTCATGATTCAGGATTTCGGATTAGGGATTCGGGATTAGGAATTCGGGATTTCGAATTTAGGATTCAGGATTCAAAAGTTAGTATTTAGGATTCATGTTTCAGGATTTTGGATTCGGGATTACGGATTACGGATTACGGATTGTGGATTTAGGATTCAGAATCCAGGATCCAGGATTCAGGATTCAAAATTCAGGATTCTGGATTCAAGATTCGGGATTCGATATTCGGAATTTGGGATTCAAGATTCGGGATTCGGGATTCAGGAGATTCGGGATTCAAAATTCCGGATTCAGGATTCAGCATCCAGGATTCAAGATTCGGGATTCGGAATTCAGAATTCAAGGTTCGGGATTTAGTATTGGGATGGGGGGTTCGGGATTCAGGATTCAAGATCCAAGAAGCAGGATTCAGGATGCGTGGTTCGGGATTCGGGATTCAGGATTCATCAGGAGTTTCGGGATTCGGCATTAAGAATTCAGGGTTCAAAATTTAGAATTTAGGATTCACAATTTAGGAGTGAGGGTTCAGGATTTAGGATTAAAGATTCAGGGTTCAGAATTCAAGATTCAAGATTCAGGTTTCAGGATACATTATTCAGGATTTAGCATTCAGCATTCAGGATTCAAGGTTCAGGATTCATAATTGAGAATTCAGGAAAAAGGATTCAGAATTCATAATTCCGGATTCAGAATTCAGTATTTAGGATTCATGATTCAGGATTTGGGATTAGCGATTCGGGATTAAGGATTCGGGATTCCGGATTGAGGATTCAGCATTCAGGATTTAGAATTTAGTATTTTTGATGCATGTTTCAGGATTTCGGATTCGGGATTACGGATTCCGGATTTAGGATCCAGGATTCTGGATTTAGGATTTGATATTCGGAATTTGAGTTTCAGGATTCGGGATTTAGGATTCAGGATTCAGAAGATTCGGGATTCAAAATTCAGGATTCAGGATTCAGCATCCAAGATTCAAGATTCGGGATTCGGAATTCCGAATTCAAGGTTCGGAATTTAGGATTCGGGATGGGGGGTTCGGGATTCGGGATTCAGGATTCAAGAAGCAGGATTCGGGATTCGGGATGCGCGGTTCGGGATTCGGAAGTTAGGATTCATCAGGTGATTCGGGATTACGGATTCCATATTTAGGATTCAGGATTCTGGATTCCAGATTAAGGATTTCGGATTCAGGATTCGATATTCGGAATTTGGGATTCAGGATTCGGGATTTACGATTCGGGGTTCAGGAGATTCGGGATTCAAAATTCCGGATTCAGGATTCAGAATCCAGGATTCAAGAGTCGGGATTCGGAATTCAGAATACAAGAATCGGGATTTAGGATTCGTGATGGGGAGTTCGGGATTCGGAATACAGGATTCAGTATTCAAGAAGCAGGATTCACGATTCGGGATGCGTGCTTTGAGATTCGGGATCAGGATTCATCAGGAGATTCGAGATTCGGGATTCGGAATTGAGGATTCAAAATTTAAGATTCACAATTCAGGAATCAGGGTTCAGGATTCAAGATTCAGGGTTCAGAATTCAGGAATCAAGATTCAGGATACATTATTCAGGATTCAGCATTCAGGATTCAAAGTTCAGAATTCATGATTGATGATTCAGAATTTAGTATTTAGGATTCATGTTTCAGGATTTCGGATTCGGGATTACGGATTTAGGATTCAGAATCCAGCATTCAAGATTCTCTATTCAAGATTCAGGATTCCGGATTCAGGATTCGATATTCGGAATTTGGGATTCAGGATTCGGGATTTAGGATTTGGGATTCAGGATTCAGGAGATTCGGGATTCAAAATTCCGGATTCAGGATTCAGCATCCAGGATTCAAGATTCGGGATTCGGAATTCAGAATTCAGGATTCAAGAAGCAGGATTCCGGATTCGGGATGCGTAGTTCAGGATTCAGGATTCATCAGGACATTCGGAATTCGGCAAGCAGAATTCAGGATTCAAAATTCAGAATTTAGGATTCAGAATTCAGAATTCAGGAGTTAGGGTTAAGGATTCATGCAATCGCAAGCTTCACAATAGGCGCAAAGTTGAAACTTTAGGACTAAAAAACTAAAAAGCTTTAAATGACTCAAAATTTTGAAATGTCAGGAACGTTATGATACCATACCATGAAAGTTCAAGCTTCAAGTCTCTTCCGACATTTCAAAATTCAAAAGAGGAAAAAGCGGCAGAATCCTGACGACGGGGACGGTTGCGTTAGTGGTTAGAAGGCTGTCTAATAATACGGCTGGGATTCTGTAGCCGGTCCGTGCAGAGTACAGTTGGCGGGAGAACCATTTTTATTCTGATTAAAAGCCGTGCCCAGAACGCATGTAAAATTTCTAGTGCACAAACATTAAAGCTATGTATAAACAATTGTTCTAACGCGTTGTAATATTGCCACTTTCCGTCGCGTTACCATTTGTTGTTGACAGCCTCGTTGTATATTTCAACTAGCGTCGTAGTGTCTTTATTTGATTATCTTATTAAAGCGAATTCGTGCTCAAGGTTTCACAGATCGAAAGTTTCCATAAGGTTGTGGAAGAGCTTAAAAACATTTACAGAGTCTTGAATACCACTAAACATTTCTGTCTGCTCAACACCGAATACCTTCAAAAATCTACATCGGGTTAATCCCTACCTACCTTTTTCAATTAATTAACGCTACAGAATGGTGGTATCGTCCGAATTAATCGGATTTGTTTTTTTCCCCACTATTTATCAGCCAAAAGGTTTTTAGTTTAGGATTCTCGAGGAGGGTGGGGAAAATTGTGATGGGGAGGTTGGTTTCTGTAGCTTTGGAATTCTTTGGAAAGTTTTAGGGCGAATAAAAAGAGGCAGGAGGAACGCAAAGCTCTGGAGAAACTAGAAATACTAGTAAAAAATGAAATATCTCTGAAGTGGGTGGGAAAATCTCTTTATAACGAACTCCAGAGTCTGTAAGTGTACTTAAGGAGAATTAAAAGAGAATAAGGGGCGTTGAATGGACCTGGGCGGTGCATTGTAGTAGGCTTTGGGGGTGTAGTGATTATGAACGCCATTGAAACGGACTAGAGAGGGTCTGAGTGTGTCAAAACGTGTAAGAAGCCTTGAGGGGTATGGAAAGCCGCTCGGAGTGTGTTTAGGAAACGTTTAACCAGTTCGAAAGGTTGTGGAGTAAAGTGGGAGTCTAGAAAATACCAGAAATCTCGGTAAAATTTTGCGCTGGACTTAAAGAGCTTTCAGGATGCGTTGAAAGGGCGGATAACAAATGCACGAAAAAGCCAACGCTACACCGCCGCCTACTCAAAACCGAATGCCTTCAAAAATCTATTTCGGATTAATCCCTACCTATCTTTTTCAATTAATTGACGCCTCAGAACGGTGAAATCGGCCATTTTTGATTGCGAACTAATCTGATTTGTTTTTGTGACATAAAAATCACAGATTTATCGTACAACCTTTTTATCTTCCCAAAACAATAAACATTCGATAATAATAATTAAAAAATAACTTCTTCCCTTGGTAACAACACAAACCTTAATCTATATCTAACTTTTTAAAGGAACCTTCGATGCCAAATAAGTCGTTTACCCTCGTCGACTTCTGCAAGCGCTTGGACTCATCCGACACTTTCTTCTCGTCCATTACTATAAAGTCCATATTGCTCAAGACCTTCTGGGACATTTTCTCTACGAGTGCCACAATTTAAGCTACAGACTTAGCAAACGAACATACCGTGCAAAGCGGCGAGGGACTCTTCCGATCCTCCGTACTCCTCCGGCATGTCTTCCTTTGCCAGGAAAGTCGCGACGGCGCCGCTGTGGAGGTGTATCTGAAACGGAGAGGGATAATTGACGCGGGTTAGGTTTGGTGGGTTTGCGGTACCACATCGAGCAGATCTTTCTTTATGAAGGGTTTCATTAACGCGAAGAGCTTCTCCATCGCGACCCCGCAGTTGAAGAAGTGCAGCTGCCTTAGTTCCACCGGTAGCGCCTCCTGGAACGCCACTGGTAAAGTTTGTACCCCGTGCTCAGGTTTCCTACCTGTAGGAAGATGAGGAATTTCTTCACGACCACCAGTGATACTTTGGCCAAGTGAGACAGACCGAAACCTGTTGCGTCGTACACTACAATTATGCCCTCTAACGTCCCCTCTTCGTACAATATTATTCTGATAACCATATCCATGTACTTCAGGTAGTCTTCCAAGGCGTACGTGTCCGCACTTGTATTTCTGATTTTAGAAAATATGACCTTTGAGCCGTCCTTCGCTGCTTTTGGTAGTGGCGCAGCGTAGCTAAAAAAAGCTGGTGAGTTTAAGCTCACAACTAGCACAGCTCACTAGTTGTTTAGAACATTTTTCGCGCTCACTGGATCGCGACCTCCAAAAATTTCCGGGCTGAACGCTCTCATTGTGTAGTAATTGTCAATGGTAATCTTCGTCACCTCGACGCTGTACTTGCAAGCGTGCAGTACCAGTATGATCTCCAGCTCTGCAAATGGGCAAATTTCGGCAAGCTCACTGGCGAAGGTATTTACCTAGCATTTCCGGTATGTGCGGCTGCTTCTCGAGCCACTCCTGCAGGTAACGCACATCTTCGCGTTTCAGCCGCTCGCGTTTCTCGTACTCGCGCTCGACACTTGCGAGCTTCATCGGCATCGTCGCGTGACTGAGGCGAAAACGGCTCCACACTGTTATTTTTAGGTACTTCGTGATAATCATCATTCCAAAAGGAAGGTAATTATTTAAATTATAGATATTATTGTCGACTAATCCACATCAAGGACGACCACCTAAAAGAAGAGGTAATTAAATCGATTGTTGTGGTGTTTTCCATAAACAAACATACAAATGTCAGGGTTTACTAAACTGTGTAATTAATTTAATTATCTAATAAATGCTATGGTTCAGCTAATTAGACGTGACTTTTCTCCTGTAATTGATAACACAATCCATTTTAGGTTATTCTGCCCTTCTTGGTAATGATCGATGTTTGCTTGGGAGACGGGGCACAATATAAATCCCGACCAAAATCAGGTAAAGCCACTTTATACGGGAGGTAGATGAAATCGTCAAACAAGATGAATTTAAAAAAACTAAGATGAACAGCATAGGAAAGCTGTGGGTGAGAATCACCCGATACTTCATTAAATTGTGTGTGCTGTGTTGGCGCCTGTACCCGAGAGGCGGTAGGCGTAGTGAAAGGGATGTGAAAGACAAGTGCTTCAATTGCAAGGAAATGGGTCCCTACAAGAGTAAGTGCAATAAAAATAGTAAGTGTTATGCCTCGTGGACAATAGCCTGCCCAGAATACAAGGCGGTCATAAGGGTCGTTGACAGGGTCAAGCATCGGTCAAAACCTTCAAGAGAGCCTGCTTCAGTCGTCCGCCCTGCATAACTTGCGCATAGTGAATAAGGGACCTACATTTGTACGCAGGGAACAACGCTGCCCTTCGACCGAGTGACATGATGGGCAGTTCTCGAGAAGGAGAGTTTGAGCGACCATCGTTTAGTACCGGGTGACCCAATAAGACTGTTCCTCGGCCATATCTCGGGAACCGTTCGTCGTATGACTTAGGGGTAAACAAAATTATGGGTAAATCGGTCATGACGAATCGGTGGAAAATATTTTCAAGTTCTAAAAATGACCAACAGAAGGCGTAACTGCCATATTAAATTTTAAAATTGCAATATAGTTAATTTAGTTGAATCCTTCCCTGTCAGGGGGCTAGCTTTGCATTTTGAAAATACTCAAAATATATCGCCAGGATATTAAATGCTCCTTGGTTAGAAATCGGCATTTTAGAGAAGATTAAAAACTCAAAAAACTGCACTTTCTGAATGTAAACACAGCAGAATAATTTACAAATTACGGCTGCTATTATTTTATAATGCATCGTGTTTCATTTGTTTAATTTTCCAAGGCCTGCCTAAAAGTGTAGGGTGCTTTTCTTTCGCGCCATCGACAAATACCGGAAATACGTAAAAAGTAAATTTAAGCATTTTTATTAATTAATTAAGTAACCTCATTTTCCCAATATTTGAGGTTAGGAACGAGATTTAGAAAAACGGTTTTCACTGGCCTCTTTGGATGTTATTTGGCTACTTTTTCATAAAGAAAAAGTCATATCATTCCATTTTATTTTTTTGATTTTTTTGGAGTTTAGGTCATAGTGTCAAAACTAGCCCCCTGACGCAGAAAGATTCAACTAAATTAACTATATTTTGATTGATTCTCATTGCCCAAGGAATACTCTTTTCAACGATACCAAATTTGTTACAATCGGTCAAACGGTTAAGAAGTTAAAGCAGGTTATTGCAAAAACAATTGAACTCCCCACGCCATCTTTGTTTTTGAAATAACTGAGTTTTTGTTTTTACGAAAATGATAGATAAACTGGTTCTCTTTAAAAAAGTAAAAAAAAAAATTTTTGTTTATTATGCGAAATTTAAAGAAAATGCAATTTTAAAATTTAAGATGGCAGTTACGCTCTCTGTTGGTCATTTTTAGAACGAAAATATTATATTTTCCAGCGATTCTTCATGACCGATTTACCCAATAATTTTTTACCCCTGGCCTAGGAATAGTCTTATTGGGTCACCCGGTACATATTCCAGAAAAGAGGCGTTAGGGGGCAAAAGTCAAGGGATTTAGGAAGAGGAGGGGAAAACTAGATAAGATAGAGATAGACTGCGGAACGAAGAAACGAAGACCAACAAGTATCGAAGATTTGGAGGCGAAGAGAACGTTTTCTCCAAATTACAGTCGAATTTCTCCTTTTGAAAGGTAGCAGCAATTCGTAAAATTTGATGGTGGAACGTTTAGTGCAAGACAGACCTTTTGTGTCGCCTGGTAAATTTGACTACTCGTTGGAGATGAATTTGGAAAGATGGTTGACGATTTGAATCATGAACATACTGGGTCTCAGTGTTCTCAAAATGTAGTAGTTGAAATTTTGTTTCCTCATTGGAATAATTTACCGCGGTATTAATTAAAAGCCAGAAAAAGCACTAATTAAAGATCTTTAACGTTTTTACCGGTTGCCGTTTAATGCAGAATCTTAATCGGCACGTATAAACAAGATAGTCGCAAGAATTTGTTTAATGAACTTGTTTTTTTATCTTAATTGACCACTCCAAGTCTAAGCGCAATGGAACGTTTTGTGCTTTTGACCACAACTCCATCGTGGTTAAAATTTATTTAAATGCGAGCACGCTGATCAAATAATGTAACAAAACGAAACTACTTAAATGCGCCACTTTATATTAGTTTTACTCCCGATCTCAATGAATCTAAAAGCACACTCGACAATAATTTCGTCGAATTGGCGACACATTTTCCCCTTGTAATTCGGCAATCAACTTCAACTTTCGCAATAAAAATATTACGCACGACTGTGCGGCTGTTAAATTTTTCGTCTACCTCGATTATACGGATTTGTCTTAAAACCTTCGGTCGAAAATAAATGGTACGCGATCTCTAATGTCAAGCACGACTTTTAGACTCTTACTGTAGTCGCGAAATCCAAAAACCGAAACGGATCCGACGCAAATCAAACTTCGGCCACGTTTTTTATACGTGTAAGGGTATAGGAGAAAGTCCCACCACCATGCCCTATGGGGCGACATTTAGAACCGGCAACACTGTGGCGTTTTCGATCTTATTTTCTTGCACACTCGCTTCTTATCTGAAAGCGCTTCATTTTATCGCATTTTAAAGATTTTTGGTAGGTTTCAGTTCCCCCGGTATGCTTTTAGGGCGGATACGTGGTATTTCCCGGAGGATGTGCCTTGGTTGCGATTTCTTAGTTGCAATCTGGTGCAGGGGCCATCTCTTCTGAGGTTGAGTTTACTACTTTCTTTTTTGGTAGCGTTCCTCAAAAAGTACGATGACAAAGATCGGATCACTTGGTTGGAATTGCGGTCACTCTTTTCGATGTCGATCTGGGCACTGTGTTTCTGTTTATCCAGTTGTTCTTCCTGAACTAGCCTCGTTTGGATTAGTTACGTTGTTATCTCTGGGACGAAACTTCGAATATACTTCGATGGACTCGGGGTACGTCGTCGGTTGTGGGGAGTTCGGAGCCTAATGCAGAGACAGTATAGGTATATATACCGACTGTGTAGCTCAGTGATAGAACATTGGGCTACATAGCCGGAGGTCCGGTGTTCGAACCTGGACTGAGATAAGAATTTTTCATCTATGGCAAAGATGGGAATTTCGTAAGGGAAATACCGGGATAGTATAGAACAACTTAAGCCCTTCTCCAAGGGCACCTCTAAAAAGCAGTGAGCCCAGAACAAGAGGGACAATAAATAAATAAATAAATAAGAAAATAAATAACTAAATAAATATGTAAATAAATAAATAAGTAAATAAATAAATAATTCCATCCACACTAATTAACTTTCTAGGTGTCGCATATCGTAAGAAGACAGGACAGTTCCACCCATCGTGATGCATATCTTCTACTATAAAGTTCAACAGTTCTTGATTGGGTCCAAGTGGAAGTGGTCCGGACAGATCCGCTACTATCACCTCAAACATTTAGGCCATGACGCTGATGGCCTGGGTCTTCGTGGAGTCCACGGGTATTCCTTGTGGGGTACTGAGCCTCTGGGACTCGAAGTTTAAATTGTCCGAGTCGAGTAAACACTCGTTTGAAGTTTTCCACGTGTTTCTCCATGTCCGAGAAAAGGACAATAATGTCGTAGTGCTCCCTGAGGTTGCGCACCCTATTGAGTGCCCTCCGAATGGTGTGGGAGTACTGATTTCGCCGAATATGTCTTGGAATTCCGTTCCCATGCGGCAATATCGGCTCAAGGTATGTCTTCGGTCCGTTCCCTTTTCTTCCTCGAAGAGTGCGGGAATAAATTCGTCAATACAAATACAAACGTTTTCAGTTCGCATCAGCAGCCGTCTGTAGTATGACTGCCGGAACCGCCAGCTTTACATGCCCTCGGAAGCATGGTAGTCAGAGGATGTTCTGTACCACTAAAAACTGGCAAGTTGTGGGATTCGAACTCACAACCTGCGAGGTTATAGCCCGAGCCTTAAACCGTTACGCCAAACTGACTACAGGAGCGAAAACTCGGTGTCATAATGGAGCTCTTCTGGAGCGGGAGTCGAGCGAGATCGTGTGGTCTGGGCCAAACACAAAACAGGTTGACAGGCTTTCCCGAGTTCCAGTTTATTGCGGGTGTGCATTTTAGGCATTATCTGCGTATGACTCCTGGTTCACCACAGCCATAGCAGTTTACGGATTGGAGTAGATGTTTTATGAGATGGCGTTTGTGACGGACGCCGCAGGAGTTGACTGTTCCGACTACTAGGTCCATTTTGCATATGAAGCGAGCGGGTTCCGGGAGGGAGGGTGCTTAGGATATCAGGATGCAGGGGGTGGGGAACGCTACCATGCGAAGGAAATTACTGGGCCGGAGCTGCAATCAGTGTAGTGTCTTCCAAACATGGAGACACCTTGGATGAGCAGAGCTTCGAGGAAGGTTTTGGAGGTGGTGATTATCCTGATGAAAGTTGTGGGTTGGTTTGTGGTGCGGGCAGGGGGATAGCGTCAAGGATTTCGAGTTCGGTAAAGTTTCGGTCGACGTTACGAAGAACACAGGAAAACGTCTGGGGTCTGGGGGAATGGGTTTGGGTTCTGGGGCCTGTTAGTTGGGAGAAGGAGATGTTGGGGTTGCCGAAGTGGTGTTGGAGTTTGCGGGAAAACTCGGGATCGATGGGTAGATTGCATTCTAGAGGTTCGGTGTGGTTGTCATTCATTTTTAGAGCGGTGAGTTGGAATCTTTAGCACGTTCCAATAAAATTCCGCATGTGAGGATTGCGGATGGCGCTATCTAGGCTCATGCGGGTGAACTCGTTAGAGCGCATGATTGAGGATGACTTACGTATAGCGTATCGAGCGTGGTTTGGGTGTCTTTTAGGTTGCTGCGGTAAGGGGTTTAGGTATCTGTTACAAGGTCAAAAATTCATCTCAAATTAAAAGTTGGGACGTTTGAATGGTGGGGGCCAGCTCTACACTACACCTTGATCTTTAATTTAATTTTTATTTGCCATCAGAATTTGGATGATGGAGTTTCGATTTAAATATTCCCGAAGCCGCCCCTGGCCGCCACCAAAGAGTTTTGCACTTTGTTTCGTTTCCGTGGAATACATGTTTTTTTCTTCTCTGCCCTACATTCAAATTATAGCGATGCGGGGATGGTACCTACTGTATTTGGAAACATCGACACTACATTGTTAACTTATAATTGATTTGCTTTCCTTTGCATGACTATGTTACTGTTTATTTACAGGGTGCTTCATCTGGGGGCGAGTGACGTACCTACGTTAGGTCAAGATTGTTACATATTGCACTTGGTATTGAGAATTAATTACTTTATACTCTTATTTTGTCAAGACATGTTCCTTTGTTTTGTTGTAATGTGATACTTAACGTTATGCTCTTACTATTTATTTGATCCGGGTAATTATGATTATCAATATTTGGCAGGGTGACTTGTTTAGAATATTCCATATTTTATCTCGACTTCGAGTAGCAGATGAAGGTAACAAAAAGTCCACAACTGACATACGCAGAGATATATGTTTATATGTACTGGTTTTTTTTTGTCGTAGAAAAGAGACATCTTGCCGATATTGCTAATCAATTCTTTTAGTCCACCTTTGAGATGTAGTGACCGAACATTGGTTTTGGGGCCACGTCCTCGGATCCTTCGTCCCCGAAGGGCACTCAGTAGTTGTGTTCTTTTACGTAGTGCGTCTCATTCGTTAAACGTGGAAAGGCTTAGTAAAAATGTGATGGCTTCGATTGTTTCGTCTATTTCCTGTGTTGTATCAGGTGAAGGGTGTAGTGGGGTATTATTGGAAACGTATTGGGAGAATGTTTTCCAGTTAGCATTGGAGAAATATTTTCTGTTTATTATTAATGGTGGCGGTAGAGGCGGCGGAGCGTAGTTGGTGCGGATGCGGGATGGCCGCGTGTCGGAAAGGGGCAAAGCGGCAGAGTCCTGTAATGATCTTAGCCTCCTACTATCTTGGAGGCTTACGCCAACTTCAAGTCACACCGGAATATTTGACCATATTCTGTAGTAGCGGGAATGCCAAACTAACATGGCTGCCTATTTGAATACTCTCGCTTAAGTTTCCCGCGAGAATCTGTCACTCGGGGGCCACTCCGAGCGCACTAAGATCGTGATCGTCATTTAGGACACCTACGTTGTGTAATAACTGGGTTCTCAGCAGGCACTGAGGGCGTTTTATGGGCAAGGAACACCAAAAGCAATAGCTGATTCAGATTATTTTGAAGCTAATACCAATATCAATACGGCGCCCCTGCAGAGGGTCTTAAGTGGTTCTATACTACTCCCGCATTTACCTTACGAATTAGGAAAACTGCAGGAAAACCTAATTCGGAGTAGTCCTATAATGAACAACATCCAATGTACAGCACTTTTGAGCCCTCTCGAAACCGGGGTAACTACTACAAACACGCTATGAGTAACCAAAATGGGATCGAGCCATTCCCCAGGTATTACAACACATACATCGGACAAAACTAAGAGATGTCAAATATACCTCGCCGGGCGGGAGGATTACCCAGGCCCAGTGGAGTGCCTGTAGACGTGGGCTAAAGTTGTTGGGTTCGGAACGAGTGAAAATGTTAGTGTTAGGTTCACCAAGGCCGTATAAACTTGAATAGCTCGATCCCCTCTAAACAAGCACACTTCCCTCTTGATTACTCACAGTCCCAAATAAGCAAATATAATGAAATGCAATGGAATAATCGAGAGTGACTAAAAAGCACAATACACAAATTAAATATGTACACATGCAAGTATGTAAAGCACAGATACAGCCCTACCGACAATGAAACATGATTGCCAATACCAACAAAGGTTACACATTAAGAGGTACAAGTGGTTGAATCCAGTAAGTACATAAGTAAAGGGTTACAATCTGCATTCAAGTTACACGCATTTATAGATTAATTCAATAAAGCAAATACCTCACCTGATATAAAAAGCAAAAGCACACAGCAATGATTAAGGTATAACAAAATATTTCAAGATAAGCCGTACTTTACACTTAAGCCGGTTACAAAAAAAAGACCATGAACACACATGTTAAATCGTACTTATTGACTACCCCAAGCGACTCGGTAATTTGATCTCCTAACACCCCCAAAAACCACCCGAAAATCGCCCATTCCCTGCATTTCACGCATTTCTAGGAAAAACTGGACTGCAGGTGTAAATGGTAAACACATGTGGTCTTCCATCAGTGTCATCTTCGCTCCCTTTCCCTTTTCTATAATCCCACCAGATTTCGGTTGGCAGCTTGTGTAACTAACATGGTGTATAGGGTGCTTCGTATCGACAATCATATTCACAGGACGTTGCTAAGTTTGGGGCATCTCAGTTCTGACGACGGGGAAGGTTGCGTTAGTGATTAGATGACTGTCCAATAACACGACTAGGATTCTGTAGCCGGTCCGTGCAGCGTACAACTAGCTGGAAGGAGGATCATTTTTGTTAGTAAGAGCCGCTACCCGAACGCATCTAGAATTCCTACACAAACATTAAAGGTGTATATAAACAAATGTTTTAACGCGTTATAATATTGCAACTTTCCGTCGCGTTACCAACAACAAAATGACTAAGCGAAAATATTATTAAGCACCCGCCGAAATTATTTTGATGTGCAAATTATGTGATGCGATGTGCCTTCCGTAGAAGATTGTAACCCGAGAAGTCCGAGTCAAGTTTAAGCGACATCTGCTTTGGTTCCACACCACAAACCCTAAAATTCGAGGCTGCTTCAGTTGCCTAAAGACGAACTGTTCCAAGGGTACATTTAGACGCATTACAAATAAGGTAAACTGAATTTGTGTATTTGTATTTCAATACGGACTGTGTACTAAAAATTTGACGTGTAAAATTTTAGAAGAAACATTCTTGGAAGGCAAATCTAATTTGTTGGTTGTCGTTTAAAGCGCTGACATGATTTGACTTTTCAGGTCAAAAGCAAGGCAGTCTATAATTCGACATTATATTAATTTACTTGAGAGCCATCCTAATATGCATTTATGCCAAAACAAACAACTAATTTTGATTTAAAGTTTAATATTAATTTGTTGCCTGGTTTTTTTCTTGGTCAGTTCTTTTTTTCCCAACCTATTTTTATATTTGTACTCGGTGAACTATCATTTTCTAAATTTAATCTTGCATTGCAATTTATTTTGATTAAATTTCCGTTTTGCTTTTTTTATTTTATCAGTATTTACGACATGGTTCATTGCAAGTGCCTAATCAGTGGTCAGCGAGGTCGAAGGCTGTGATAGTCGGGAACAGAGCAGCAGACAACAATAGTGAATGCTATCGAGAGCATTACAATGCCACTGAACTACGCAGATGTGCCATTACAGTACGCGAAACGTAAATATCTCCACAAAGAAGATGTGGAATACCTCAAATCTTGGATGGGGAAGCAACCGCACTTACCCCAACTAAGCGGTAGCCCAAACTCTCATCGCGCACTCCACTTGAATTTTTCATTTCAGATCTGGAAGTGATCTTTGCCCTTTTCAGCTGTAATTGCAAGGTGGAGGCGACCAAGACGACCATAGACAACTACTTTACATTGCGCGGAATGCTTGGGGAGGTTTTTGGACCGCGCGACATGGAGACATGGAGACGAACTTTGGATGCGATGTGAGTTTGATAATCCATGAGTTACGTTTATCATCGTATATGACACAGAACGATATTACCGTTACCAAAACTAACGCCAGAAGGGTACCAAATCTTCTGCTGGAAGCTTAACGATCGAGACCCAAGCAAATATGTATTCGCCGATGCGGTCAAGTACCTGGAGACCATTATCAAAATGACGATACTACAACAGGGAACTTTGGATGGGTTGATTGGCGTGGTCGATATGGAAGGATTTTCACTAACACACCTTGCGAGGATTAACCCGATGCTGTTGAAAAATCTAATCGTTTTTGTGCAGGTAAGCAAGTGTGAGGGTAAACCTTGTAACTCTCCAAAAACACTTAGGCACTTCCAATCATGCTCGAAGCTCTGCACTTTATCAACGCCGGTACGCGTCTCGACAAACTTTTGACACTCATGAAACCAGTCATCAAGAAGGAGATATTTGAGATGGTACCCAATAATCGGTCATCCACTACTGTACAACAAATGCTTGTAGATCCACATCCACAGTGACTACCGGAAGACCTTGTACAAATCCTTACCTCTCCATTGCATGCCAAAAGAGTATGGAGGCTTGCTGGGGTCGGTTCAGGAGATGAGGGGTTCTGACCGACACGCATAATACAAACTCAGTTACTTTGATTTTTAGATGACATGGTGGGGATGATTCTGAATAACATGGACTTTATTGCAGATGAAGAACGAAAGGTTGTGGACGAGTCGAAGAGACCTCACCCGACAACCAAAATTAACGAATTATTTGGAATTGAAGGTACCTTCAAGAAATTAGAGATAGACTAACATCAAGTGGCATGATTTTGTATCTTACGGCTGATCAATACACAACACTACTCTTGCTCGTTGGTTTTATTCTAAGACATTATTCAACATAGTCCAGAGATTAATCAAGAATGTTACGTTGATGACAATAAAGGCGCATTTACAGAATTGAGGAGGGGAAGGAAAAAACCAGATGAGATGAAAGCGAAAAGAAGAAACGAAGACCAAAAGGTATCAATGGGTTGGATACGAAGGTCGGAGTAACTGAAAGAAAAGAAGAAGTAAAAAAGAGGAACGCGAAGCTGCAAATCTGTAAACAGACAGATACACAAACAAACAAAATAAAAGGGGTAATGCCTCGCGTTGCACAATATATCGCATAAGCGATGTATAACGTCTGACACGAGGGGTTATTCTTATACGTAGAACTGCAATCAATACTAAAAAAAATCAAATATTCGAATGACTTTACAACAAAACAAAATTTGGTACGACTATAGGTTCTTCCTTACAATTGGTGTGAGATATTTAAAAAATGACATTAAGTTTTAAGAAGAATGCTATAAAATGTACAAATAACTAAATCTCTATTCAACAGCAACTAAAAATCGTAGAAATTTACTTCGGACAGTGTCGTTAATTTTAAAAACTAAATCACAAGCAAAGGTAGAATGTGAAGGATGAAATACAGCAAAAATGAATATCGTAAAGCAGAAATCTCTATGGTGTTTTTGACTTGCAATGGCGTTGGAATTTCAATGGAACTCTTCTTAAGCAATGTTGCGAAAATCCAAAGTTCAGCATTTCCACTTAGAAATATCTATGTTAACAGCGCAAAAAGGAAGAAGGAGTCGTAAACGGCCTTAAACTTGTAAAATAAATCCGCAAAAATGCGTCAGCAAAGCTTGGAAGTAAGATAATAAGAGATAAACTTCACTAAAATTAACACAGCGCCAGTGTATCCCAAAAATAGCAGACAAAAAATGTCAAGTAACTTTAATGGCGTGTATCTCCTTTACAAAATCACACCTCGCGTTTCCGACAAGGACTGCCGGCGCCGAAAGGAATAAGAGAAAAACGCACGACATCGAACGGTAAAAAAACGAACATGATAAAAGAAATCTACTACAGGAACAGACTACACTACAGAAATTATTCACAATTAACGAATGGGTTGCCAGATAATCACCTAGATGGCGTAAGGATTGTTATATAAAGGCAAGAATTCGCATATGTCATTTGAGCGAGATTAAACCTCGTAATTTAAATGAAAACCCGAGCAAAAATTAAACGGTAAAAAAAATATCGTCACATCGTCATGCAAACTCTCAAATCAAAAAACGGCACTTGATCAGAAAACGAACAGGTTAAAAGTTCGCCAAATGTCACCGCTTGTTCGCACACTGTCAACTCCTAGGTCAACTCAGTTGATCGTTGCATTGCCCCCTCCTTAGAACCGAAACTGCAATAAAGCAGGCTTCTGTGGTTGTCATACAACTTTTATCTGGTTTTTCTTGACTCAGTATGCGAGCTTCGCGCTAGTTGGTTGGTATCCCCAGCAAACGGTGTCAGTCTGTTAATATCAGGGGTTGGAACTGGAACCGAAAAGAGTTGGTACGGGAACCGGAACCGATTGCAATAAAAATCCCATCATTAGGAATCGGAATCGTTATTTAGGAAATTATGATAACCGGAACCGATACCGGTAACTTTATTATTAGTGCCGAGGAACCGGTAGGTATTTTTCCGTTCTCTCTATCTCTCTCTCTCTCTCTCTCTCTCTCTCTCTCTCTCTCTCTCTCTCTCACGTTGCGTTTTATTTGCTCTTAAAATTTGCTTCGAAAGTGTTTTCTTAGATTCAATACTATTCTTCACTTTTCATTTACCTTTTTCTGGCTTTGTCTCGTTCATTATGATCTTATTGTGCTTCTCTTTACCTTCGCCTTTCCTTATCTTTCACGTCTTATCCTATTGTCGTTCTCTGAATGGCCAGAAAGCCCGAAACACTTGAAGGATGTCAAATATTTCGACTGGGAATACTTTCAAGATCCTACAGACGGTATAACAGGTGGTGCTTGTTTCGAAGTGAAAAAGTACGGAACTAAAATGCGATAGAATGAAGCGCTTCCAAATAAAAAACGAGTGCGCAAGCAGGATAAGATTCACAAAATCACAGTGTTGCCGGTTCTAAAGAACGTTCCTCGCATTATGAGGGACGAACTGTCTGCTACATCTTTGAATGCATAAAAAACGTTATCGAAGCTGAGTTTGCGTCGAGTCCGTTTCGGTTTTTGGGCTACGTCAGGAAAAATTGGGTGGGAGAGAGATTTTTGCAGAACCATCAAAACCTATGTAAGTCGTGTGCGGCATTTTAGATTGTCAACTGAAAGTTTCAAGACGAATCCGTATAATAGAGGTATACGAAAAATTTAACAGCCGCGTAAACGTGCGTTTTTATCACGAAAGTTGAAGTTAATTGCCGAATTACAAGGGGAAACTGTGCCACCAATTCCACGAAATTATTGTTGGGTGTGCGATTAAATTCATTGCGAGTTGCCATCACGAGTAAAACTAATATAAAATGGCGTATTTTTATCACGTGAACGAACATTTTCGTTTTGTTGCATTGCTTAATCAGCGTGATTGCATTTTTTTCCAGAACGGCTTTGTGGTCAAACGTACAGACCGTTTTATTGCGCTTATACTTGGAGTTAGTTACTCAAAAAACTAATCAAGATTATCAGCACTCTGAAAGTTGAGGATTCTGAAAGCTTTCGAATCAATAATGAAGCTTTTGAAAGTCCTGCATGTTCTGAAGTCTCTGAAGATGATGAGAGGTTTGAAGATTTTCGAAACTATGAGTGAATACTATGACGTCGCTAAAAACTCTAAGAGCTGAGGAAAATCCTGAAAGCAATGAATGACTCTTCTAATAGATCCAAAAGCTCTGACTATCCAAAGAACTTCGAATGCATTACAAACTAAAAACTTTAAATTTTCTAAGAGATCTCGGCTATGGAGCTTCTGGAGGCGCTCCAGATTCTTATGACTGGGAAAGTTATAATTTAAGCATTCCTGAAAGCTGAATATTGGCGAGGAATACTTTAAAATGCGATAAAATGAAGCGCTTTCAGATAAGAAGCGAGTGTGAAGGCAAATAAGATTGAAAACGCCACAGTGTTATCGGTTATAAATGTCGCTCGCGACTACAGTAAGAGTCTAAGTCGTGCTCGACATTTGAGATCGCGTAACATTTATTTTCGACTGAAGGTTCCAAGACAAATCCGTATAATCGAGGTAAACGAAAAATTTAACAGCCGCGTAGTCGTGCGTAATATTTTAGTAACATAACAATTGGCGCCCGAATGTGTATGTCATTCAGCAACATTTCGCTCTGAGGATCCACGCCTATGCCCTCCGACTGCAGCCGACGCACCCGCTGCTACATACATCGCTACCCGCAACACGCATACAAGGAGCATGACCTCCGCCTTTTCTTTAAAAAGCGGTACGAAATAAAGCAAGTTTCCTGGTTATTGACAAGAACAATAACACGCACAAATTATTTAATGAACTTGTCTTTTTATCGTAACTGACAACTCCAAGTCTAAGCGCAATGGAACGTTTTGTGCTTTTGACCACAACCCCTTCGTGGTAAAAATTTATTTAAATGCGATCACGTTGATCGAATGATGTAACAAAACGAAAATACTTAAATACGCCACTTTATGTTAGTTTTATTCCTGATTGCAATGAATCTAAAAGCACACCCGACAATAATTTCGTCGAATTGACGACACAGTTTCCCTTTGTAATTCTTTCGCATTAAAAATATAACACACGACTACGCGGCTGATAAATTTTTCGTTTACCTCGATTATGCGGATTTGTCTTGAAACCTTCAGTCGAAAATAAATGTTACAGGGTCTAAAATGTCGAGCACGACTTAGAGGAGTTCGCTCCACTTAGTTTTTCTTACTGTATCGTCAAATTGAAAAACCGAAGTCAACCTAAATCCGACTTGGAGTGGTCACTTACGATAAAAAGACAAGTTCATTAAACAAATTTGTGCGCCTATCTTGTTTATACGAGATTCTGCATTAAACGGCAACCGGTAAAAAGATTAAAGACGATTAATTATGCTTTTGCTGGCTTTTAAAACCCAAGGCAAACATTGACATTTCCATACCGCGGTAAATTATTTGAATGAGGAAACAAAATTTTAACTACTGCATTTCGAGAAAACTGGAGCCCAGTTTGTTCATGACTCAAATCGTCAACCCTCTTTCTAAATTCATCTCCAACGAGTAGTCAAATTTACCAGGCGATACAAAAGGTCTGTCTTTTATTTTTTATTTATTTATTGAATACTCAAAACAACAGATACATTGTATCCAATGACAGTTTTGAGGACTAAAATAACTCTTAAATTCCGTGATATGAATTATGAATAAAAATAATTGATGAGTATAAGGTAACGAACGAGGTCTTGCACAAAACGTTCCACCATCCAATCTCACGAATTGCTGGCACCTTTCAAAAGGAGAAAATCGACTGTAATTTGGAGAAAACCTTCTCTTCGTCTCCAAATCTTCGATACTTGTTGGTCTTCGTTTCTTCGTTCCGCAGTCTATCTCTTTCTTATCTAGTTTGTCCCTCCCCTTCCTTAATCCATTGACTGTGCCTTTTCTCCCCTAACGCCTCTTTTCTGGACCATGTATCGGGTGACCCAATAAGACCGATCCTCGGCCATATCTCGAGAACCGTTCGTCATATGACTTAAGGATAACAAAAATTATTGGGTAAATCGGTCATGAAGAATCGTTGGAAAATCTTTTCAAGTTCTAAAAATGACCAACAGAGGGCGTAACTGCTATCTTAAATTTTAAAATTGCATTTTCTTTAAATTTCGCATAATAAACTAAAAACATTTTTTTCACTTTTTTAAAGAGAACCAGTTTATCTATCATTTTCGTAAGAACAAAAATTCAATTATTTCAAAAACAAAGATGGTGTGGGGCGTTCAATTGTTTTTGAAATAACCTGGGTTTAACTTTTTAACCGTTTGGCCGATTGTAACAAATTTGGTATCGTTGAAAAGAGCATTCCTTGGGCAACAAGAATCAACCAAAATATAGTTAATTTAGTTGAATCCTTCTCCGCCAGGGGGCTAGTTTAGACACTATGATCCAAAATCCTAAAAAAATCAAATGGAATGATATGACCTTTTCTTTATGAAAAAGTAGCCAAATAACACCCAAAGAGGCCAGTGAAAACCGTTTTTCAAAATCTCGTTTCTAACCTCAAATATTGGGAAAATGAGATTAATTAATTAATTAATTAAAATGCTTAAATTGTATCGTATTTGACGTATTTCCGGTATTTGTCGATGGCGCGAAAGATGCAGTTTTTTGAATTTGTAATCTTTTCTAAAATGCCGATTCCTAACCAAGAAGCATTTAATATGCTGGCGGCGATGGTTCGTGGTCGATTCGGATAACGCAAATAAAAGATGTGGGCAGCGATGGTCGCATTTTGAAAATACTCAAAATATATCGCCAGCATATTAAATGCTTCTTGGTTAGAAATTGGCATTTTAGAAAAGATTACAAATTCAAAAAACTGCACTTTCTGAATGTAAACACAGCAGAATAATTTATAAATTACGGCTGTTATTATTTTCTAATGCATCGTGTTTCACTTGTTTAATCTTCCAAGTGCTTTTCTTTCGCGCCATCGACAAATACCGCAAATACGTTAAAAGTAAATTTAAGATACAAGGTAAGCATTTTTATTAATTTATGAATTGATTTCATTTTCCCAATATTTGTGGTTAGGAACGAGATTTTGAAAAACGGTTTTCACTGGCCCCTTTGGATATTATTTGGCTACTTTTTCATAAAGAAAAAGTCATATCATTCCATTTAATTTTTTTGATTTTTTTAGGATTTTGGGTCATAGTGTCAAAACTAGCCCCCTGGTCCAGAAGGATTCAACTAAATTAACTATGGTTGATTCTTATTGCCCAAGGAAGACTCTTTTCAACCATAAAACCAAATTTGTTAAAATCGGTCAAACGGTTAAGAATTTAAAGTAGGTTATTGCAAAAACAATTGAACACCATCTTTGTTTTTGAAATAGTTTTTGTTTTTACAAAAATGATAAACTGGTTCTCTTTAAAAAAGTGAAAATTTTTTTTTAGTTTATTATGCCAAATTTATAGAAAATGCGATTTTAAAATTTAAGATGTCAGTTACGCCCTCTGGTGGGCATTTTTAGAACTTGAAAATATTTTCCAGCGATTCTTCATAACCGATTTACCTAATAATTTTTTTACCCCTGTCATACGACGAACGGTTCCCGAGATATAGCCGAGTAACAGTCTTATTGGATCACCCGGTACAATGATGGGTTAGAAATAAGCCAACGAGAAATATTAGTGTTGTGTACTGACTAGTTGAATGTTACAAAATCAGTCTATCTCTAATTTCTTGAAAGTACCTTCAATTCCGAACAATTCGTTAAATTTGGTGACCGGGTGAGGTCTCTTCGACTCGTCCGCAACCTTTCTCTCTTCATCTGCAATAAAGTCCATGTTATTCAGCACCATCTCTACCGTTGCCGCTAAAAATCAAAGTAAGTGAGTTTGAATTTGAGTGTCGGTCGGGACCTCTCATCTCCTGAACCGACCCCAGCGAGCCTCCATAATCTTTTGGCATGCAATCAAGAGGTAAGGATTTGTACAAGGTCTTCTGGTAGTCGCTGTGGATGTGGATCTACAAGCATTTGTTGTACAGTACTGGATGACCGATTACTGGGTACCATCTCAATGATCTCCTTCTTCATGATCGGTTTCATGAGTGCGAAAATTTTGTCGAGACGCGTACCGGCGTTGATGAAGTGGGCAGCTGCGAGCTTCATTGGGAGTGCTTCCTAGGTGTGATGGATGGTTAGTTAAAATGATAGCCCTCATACTTGCTTACCTGCACAAACACGATTAGTCTTTTCAATACCATCAAGTTGACTTTCGCAAGGTGCGCTAGTGAATATCCTTCCATATCGACCACTCCAATCATCCCATCCAAAGTTCCCTTTTGGAGTATCGTCATTTTGAAAATGGTTTCCAGGTACTTGATCGCATCGGTGAATACGTACTTGCTTGGGTCCGGATTGTTAATCTTGCAGTAGAAAATTTGGTAACCTTCAGGCGTCAGTTTTGGTAACGGTAATACCGTTCTGTGTCACATACGATCATACATCTAAAATGATGGATTATCAAACTCACGCCACATCCAAAGCTAGTCTCCATGTCTCCGGGTCGCGAGGACCAAAAATCTCCGGAATCATTCCGCGCAACGTGAAATGGTTCTCTATGGTCGTCTTGGCCATCTCCACCTTACAATCGCAGCTGGAAAGAAGAAGGATCACTTCAAGATCTGAAACGCAAAACTAAAGTTGAGTGTGCGCTGAAAGTTGGGGCTACCGCTAATTTGGGGTAAGTGTGGTTGTTTTCCCATCCAGGATTTGAGGTATTCCACATCTTCCTTGTGTAGGTCTTTGTGTTTCGCGTACTGTAATGGCACATCTGCATAGTTCAGTGGCATTGTAATGCTCTCAATGGAAATCACTACTGTTATCTGCTGCCCAGTTCCCTTCGACCTCGCTGAGAGCACAAACACTGATTACTTGCCTTGAACCATGTCGTAAATACTGATGACGTTTGCGGATCGTGTTCACATACTCTTCTCGTTTACAAACAATGAAGTTTCGGTTCCGGATTAAGGATGCTTATCTAACAAAGCGTCGCATGGAAAAAATTTTAAGGTTATGAGAAACCAATAAAACAGTGCCCCATTTAGAACTAAACACGTGTCACTCCGTCATAAAAGTATGATAATAAATACAAGATAAAATAAAGTCCGAGGTGGCGTGTATAGTTTAAATGCAAAATTCAGACTCTCAATTAGAACTCTCAGATCTCAGATCTTTAACTCAACTTTTAGATCTCACGGTAAACAAAAGAGTAACGGAAGCGTGGCGATGATTTTCTTTACGAATCTAATACAGGATTGCATACCAATGATCCCCACTTTTTTTAAATTTTGTAACACCCGCCAAAGTGGCTCAATAGGTTACTCGTTTATCCAATTTCCTTTTGACCAATCTTATACTTTTCAAAGCCTTTAGGCAGACACCACTAGGGTTTGCAATTGGTAACTCGGCGATTTGCATGCTGCGTTGTGGGGATCAGTCCGGGACGTTTTGGAGAGGCATTAGTTCGTGGACCACGAGATCGTTTAGTGGTATTAATCATGTTTCGAGCACAATACGGGAGATTAATTCAAATTTGAGTTACCAGAACAAGCAGTTACGAAATCAAAAAGTAAATTCGTTCCTAGAGAGATTCGGGCACCAATTTGTCCAGGTATCGGCCCCACCTCATCGAACTTGACCCTAATGCTACATTTTTTGGGTGGAGTTGCGTTTTAGGGCTACAGGATAACAGTATGTTACAATACACGGTTGCAAACCCCGGATCCCTAAACGGTTCAATTTTTGAACACGCCCGAAAATGGCGCTAATAGCTTCCAGCGGTCATCTTTACCCATTTAGCCAATCAACTTTTTTCTTTTTGACCCATCATCCTTTTAAAAGCACCGCTAGGGTTTAGAATTGCTACCTCGACAATTCGCGTGCTGCGTCGTGGTCTGATTATGTGCAGAATCAGCCGTTTGGTTACGTAAAAGCTATTAATTTTTTCATCGCCCGTTATCAGCCGTCAGACGGCCGCCAACTACACTCCCTGCAATTAATCGGTCAGTGACGCATAGGGTAATCATTGACTTAAAAATCAAAGAGCGACCATTGAGAAACCATTGACTTAAAAAAGTATTGCCACAAACCCCAAAATTTTGAATGCTTATGTAGAGTAAGATGCATCTTTAGCATCCTCGAAGCGTAGGTAAAGGTAAAGTTGGGATTTTCGGTACCTTTTTAACGGTTCGGGCAGTTTAGGTATTACACATCGTAGAAAGTCTACGCGGCAATAAAACTAGAGGCTCAAATTGTCCAATAAATAGTGAAATTGTAAAAGTCCGAAAGTAATTGGTGGAATTAGTTCTGGGTGACCCAATAAGACTATTCCTCGGCCGTATCTCGGGAACCGTTCGTCGTATGACCTAGGGGTAAAAAAAATTTTTACGTAAATCGGTTATGAAGAATCACTGGAAAATATTTTCAAGTTCTAAAAATGACCACCAGAGGGCGTAACTGCAATCTTAAATTTTAAAATTGCATTTTCTTTAAATTTCGCATAATAAACTAAACATTCTTTTTTCGCATTTTTAAAGAGAACCAGTTCATCTATCATTTTTGTAAAAGCAAAAACTCAGTTATTTCAAAAACAAAGATGCTGTGGGGCGTTCAATTGTTTTTGGCAATAACCTGCTTTCACTTCTTAACGGTTTGACCGATTTTAACAAATTTGGTATCGTTGAAAAGAGCATTCCTTGGGCATTGAGAATCAACCAAAATATAGTTAATTTAGTTGAATCCTTCCCCGCCAGAGGGCTATCCTTGACACTATTATCCAAAATCCTAAAAAAATCAAAAAAATCAAATGGAATGATATGAGTTCTTCTTTATCAAAAAGCAGCCAAATAACACCCAAAGAGGCCAGTGAAAACCGTTTTTCAAAATCTCGTTCCTAACCTCAAATATTGGGAAAATGAGATTAATTAATTAATTAATAGAAATGCTTGAATTGTATCTTATTTGACGTATTTTCGGTATTTGTCGATGCATTATAAAATAATAACAGCCGTAATTTGTAAATTATTCTGCTGTGTTTACATTCAGAAAGTGCAGTTCTTTGAATCCTTTCTAAAATGCCGATTTCTAATCAAGAAGCATTTAATATGCTGGCGGCGAAGGTTCGTGGTCGATTCGGATAACGCAAATAGAAGATGCGGGCAGCGATGGTCGCATTTTGAGAACACTCAAAATATATCGCCAGCATATTAAATGCTTCTTGGTTAAAAAGCGGCATTTTAGAAAAGATTACAAATCCAAAAAACTGTACTTTCTGAATGTAAACACAGCAGAATAATGTACAAATTACGGATGTTATTATTTTATAATGCATCGTGTTTCATTTGTTTAATTTTCCAAGGCCTACCTAAAAGTGTAGGGTCCTTTTCCAAACAATCTTTCGCGCCATCGGCAAATACCGGAAATACGTCAAATAAGATACAATTTAAGCATTTCTATTAATTAATGAATTAATCTCGTTTTCCCAATATTTGAGGTTAGGAACCAGATTTTGAAAAACTGTTTTGACTGGTATCTTTGGACGTTATTTGGCTACTTTTTCATAAAGAAAAAGTTATATCATTCCATTTGATTTTTTTGATTTTGGGTTATAGTGTCAAAACTAATTTGTTAAAATCGGTCAAACGGTTAAGTTAAAACAGGTTATTGCAAAAACAATTGAACACCCCACACCATCTCTGTATTTGAAATAACTGAGTTTTTGTTTTTACGGAAATAGATAATCTAGTTCTCTTTAAAAATGCGAAAACAATTTTTTTAGTTTATTATGCGAAATTTAAAGAAAATTGTATATATCGATAATCGACATTATATAGATAATCGGTAATTATAGATAATTTATCGAAATATCAATAATCGAGGTCTATCGGGAATTATCGATATTTATCGGTATATTTGATAGACTTCAATTATCAATATTTATCGATAATTTTTCACAGCCCTAGCAAGGAGTAACCATGACCGTGGCGTGAGAGAGGCCACTTATGACAGACTTGCTACGAAATGAAAGGAAATTGAAAATGTTACTGTTTCTAACCACTAACAAACCCAACAAAGCAATCACGCCGTCTTGTTGGCTCCCCATTTCTCGACTGTAGAGAAATCCTTCACCCATCCGGTTTACTGTAGCGTGTGTGATCTCTCGCCTGAAACCGGAGAGGTAAACTTGCGCAGGTATACCGGTCCGATCCACCGCAACGTGTATGGCGGACCTAAAACTTTTTCGTACCTCAGTTGCATTTTGAATAAGCGGGCCTTAGGTGAGTGCTACGACTGTCAGAGGGCCACAAGGTTTCGTCATATTTTCAATTGTTATTCTTTTAATACTTTGGAGTTATTTGCGAAATGAAAAGTCATTAAGTTATCGGAAATTAAGGTCATCTCAGATTAATATTCTGTGGGAATTGAAATGTAAACAATCCGTGCATTTCCATATCTCAGCTACCGACTGCGCGAAATGCCTCTGAACTATGCCAGCGTGGATTTCGAGTATACGAGACGAGCGTCGCAACTGAAGAGAGAAGACGTGCAATGCCTGCGGGAATGGCTCGCGAAACAGCCGCATCTTCCGGAGATTCTCGGTAAAACCATCGCTTATCTCTTGATCGAATGAAATGGTTTCTTTTTAGAGATGGAAATGATCTTCTTCCTTCTTAGCTGTGATTGCAGCATTGAGATGACTAAAGCCACAATCGATAGTCACTACACCTTACTAGCGCTGAGCCCTGAAATCTACGGCGCGCGAGACTCAAGAACGTGGGACGGAATACTGAACACTCAGTATGTTTCGGGAATCGGTCCCCTAATCACTTAAAGTTGTTTATAGCGTTCTGGTACCATTGCCAACATTAACACCAGAAGGGTACCAAGTGGTTTACTCAGGCCTCAACGATAGAGATCCCACCAAATATGTTTACGCTGACTTTATAAAGCTGATATGCACTGTCTCCAAGCTCTCACTGATTCAAAAGGGAACGGTCAATGGGTTGATTTGTATTTGTGACATGGAAAGGTACTCGATTTCGCACGTTGCCCGAATACCCATCACGGTTCTCAAGAAGTTCCTGGCGTTTGTCCAGGTGAGTAGATTTCCGACGCGCCGAAACTGACGAATTCTTCAGGAGGGTCTCCCGTTACAACTCAAGGCGTTTCATCTAATTAACGCCGGTTCCAAAATGGACGCCATTCTGGCGATTGTCAAGCAATGCGTCAAACATGAAATATTTAAATTGGTTCGTCACCACGCTCGCCTGCCGCTTGTTTAACTCTCAGCTTCCAGATACACGTCCACAGTGACTACACGAAGACCTTGTACGACCATGTCCCAAAGGAGTGTTTGACTGTAGAACTTGGCGGGACTAATGGATCAATGCGCGACCTTTACGGTAAGTCCAAAACTGGACGGTCAACAACGATGCTGACGTTATTGTAGGGGAAGTTAAGGCTATGGTCTTGGAGAACATGGATTTTGTCATGGAGGACGAGAAAAAAGTTGCCGATGAATCCAAACGGCTTCAAAAATCCAACAAGTTTGATAGTCTCTTTGGAATTGAGGGCACCTTTAAGAGGCTGGAGATTGATTAAACCTGCTCAAAGGATAATCGGAATTTGGTTACGTGTTTCACATTTGAAAACATTTTTTAACTCATTTTTTACCAGATAAAATCGGCAAGAAAATGTTGTATTGAAATTGTAAAATAAAAAATTCCTGTATGGAACTTTGTTACTGTTTAGTGTACCTAATTGGAAAAAATCCTCAGTAAGCAGTTGCACAAGAAATACGATTATAATGACGTCTCCTATAATGGGACCGATTGAACTAAATTTATTGCTGAAACTTTGACAGTTTTTTTAGTTATAATTCCGCCACTTTATACGATTTAATTTAATTTTATACAACTTAAATTTTCCCAAAGAAAGTTTCGTAACAACACCGAAATTTTCTTTTTAATTCCCTTTTGTAATGAAGTGAATTATATTAAATTATATTAAACCCTACGTGTTGCGTGTGAACATTTATAGTTCGCGTTAACGTTGCGTTAGAACGGTTACGGTACGTAGGAAATGCCCAAATCTTATTTCTTACGGCAAATCGTGCTCACGCGTTTGTCGTCGGCAGTACTCGGATAATTCAAACAGTTGAGTTTATCCTGACGTTCGTTTCGTTTATTTACAATAATTATTGACACTTTGTTGGTTATTATTATTTTGCATGCACGTTACTCTTACTGACAGATGACATACAATGGCAGATCTCGTTTCGCACTAATGCGCAAGCTCATCTCTTACCACTACGGTAACTATAAATCGTATAATTTTCGTTAACGTAAGATTTTACGGTTCCGTTCTTACGGCTACGGAACTATAAATCCGGCTTAATAGCTTTTACGCTACCAAACGGCTGATTTGGATTTAAACTGTACACGCCACCTTGGACTTTATTTTATCTTTTATTTGTTATCGTACTTTTTATGACGGAGTTGACATGTGTTTAGTCCTAAGCGGGGCACTGTTTTATTTTGGTTTCTCATAACCATTTCTTCACGCAGCGCTTTGTTAGATAGACATCCTTCACCCGGAACATAAACTTCATTGTTTGTAAACAAGAACACTATGGGAACGTGATCGGCAAACGTTATCAGTATTTTTGAAATGGTCCAAGGCAAGTAATCAGTGTTTGTACGCTCAGCGAGGTCGAAGGGTGTGATAGTCGGGAACTGAGCAGCAGATAACAGTAGTGATTTCCATTGAGAGCATTACAATGCCACTGAACTACGCAGATGTGCCATTACAGTACGCGAAACGCAAAGACCTACACAAGGAAGATGTGGAATACCTCAAATCCTGGATGGGGAAGCAACCGCACTTACCCCAAATTAGCGGTAGCCCCAACTTTCAGCGCACACTCAACTTTAGCTTTGCGTTTCAGATCTTGAAGTGATCCTTCTTCTTTCCAGCTGCGATTGCAAGGTGGAGATGGCCAAGACGACCATAGAGAACCATTTCACGTTGCGCGGAATGATTCCGGAGATTTTTGGTCCTCGCGACCCGGAGACATGGAGACTAGCTTTGGATGTGGCGTGAGTTTGATAATCCATCATTTTAGATGTATGATCGTATGTGACACAGAACGGTATTACCGTTACCAAAACTGACGCCTGAAGGTTACCAAATTTTCTACTGGAAGATTAACAATCCGGACCCAAGCAAATACGTATTCACCGATGCGATCAAGTACCTGGAAACCATTTTCAAAATGACGATACTCCAAAAGGGAGCTTTGGATGGGATGATTGGAGTGGTCGATATGGAAGGATATTCACTAGCGCACATTGCGAAAGTCAACTTGTTGCTATTGAAAAGACTAATCGTGTTTGTGCAGGTAAGCAAGTATGAGGGCTATCATTTTAACTAGCCATCCATCACACCTAGGAAGCACTCCCAATGAAGCTCTCAGCTGTCCACTTCATCAACGCCGGTAGGCGTCTCGACAAAATTTTCACACTCATGAAACCGGTCATGAAGAAGGAGATAATTGAGATGGTACCTATCCAGTAGGTAATCGGTCATCCAGTACTGTACAACAAATGCTTGTAGATCCACATCCACAGCGACTACCAGAAGACCTTGTACAAATCCTTACCTCTTGATTGCATGCCAAAAGATTATGGAGGCTCGCTGGGGTCGGTTCAGGAGATGAGAGGTCCCGACCGACACGCAAAATTCAAACTCACTTACTTTGATTTTTTAGATGAAACGGTAGAGATGGTGCTGAATAACATGGACTTTATTGCAGATGATGAAAAAAAGGTTGCAGACAAGTCGAAGAGACCTCACCCGATCACCAAATTTAACGAATTGTTCGGAATTGAAGGCACTTTTAAGAAATTAGAGATAGACTGATTTTGTAACTTTCTACTACACTACACAACACCAATATGACTCAATAAAGACCGTTCCTCGGCCATATCTCGGCAACCGCTCGTCGTATGACTTAGGGTAAAAAAAAATTATTGGGTGAATCGGTTATGAAGAATCGCTGGAAAATATTTTCAAGTTACAAAAATGACCACCAGAGGGCGTAACTGCCATCTTAAATTTTAAAATTGCATTTTCTTTAAATTTCGCATAATAAACTAAACATTCTTTATTCACATTTTTCAAGAGAACCAGTTTATCTATCATTTTCGTAAAAACAAAAACTCAGTTATTTCAAAAACAAAGATGGTGCAGGCCGTTCAATTGTTTTTGCAATAACCTGCTTTAACTTCTTAACCGTTTGACAGATTGTAACAAATTTGGTATCGTTGAAAAGAGCATTCCTTGGGCAACAAGAATCAACCAACCAAAATAATAGTTAATTGAGTTGAATCCTTCTCCGTCAGGGGGCTAGTTTTGACACTATGATCCAAAATCCTAAAAAAAAACAAAAAATCAAATGGAATGATATGAATTTTTCTTTATGAAAGAGTAGCCAAATAACATCCAAAGAGGCCAGTGAAAATACAAAAAGTACCTGAAATGCATTGTTAATTAGCTGGACTCCCTCCAGTCCAAAAGGTATCTGAAGGTTCTGGATACGGTAACCTTAGACTTAAGTTGTCAGTTTGGCATCTACCTCAGCACGGGCGAAAAAGTTAATTTCACTAAAAATAGGGCAGATTCGCACACAAAGAATTGAAGTCGCTAATCAATCTAATTGAGATTAAACAATTACATGAAACTTAATAACTACCCACCCAATCTCGAACAAGTTACAAACAGCTGAAGGCAACACAAGTAATTTCAATTAAAACTGAGCACGTTACCTTTTTGTTAATGTAACACCAACACGAAAATTGAATTACAGAATTAAAACAACTCAAATTCAACTACCTTGACTGACTAAATCGAAATCGAAATCAAAGTGAACTAAAATACAAAAATGAACCAACATTTCCTTTTTATACAGACTAACATTGTTTATATTGCTGACATGGAAATTATTACATTTTTGAACAGGAACCGCATTGTTTCACGGTGTAAAAATGTTATCCGGCGGTGTCTCTATACGCCGACGGTACTTGTCGTTTCAACGGTGTACCCATATACGCTAACGGTACTTGTTGTTTGAAATTTGAAATCGGACATCTCAATACTTGAAAACCTGCAGATAGAGTATACACCAAAAATTTTCTTTCCTTTTCTTCTCTAAAAGGTGAGGGTGAGTAACTCTTCCGAACCAGAGTGCGTCAGTAGAACCACCACAACAGCACCAGCAGCAACTGCAGGTATCAACGGCAGGGAGACGTTCAGAAGGGCTATCGCAACCCCAAGGTATCGAATATCCCTTGGAGAAAAACTTAGAGAGCACCCTCTCGGGGAACTCCATTGTGGAGTCATTTGAATAGGCATGTCCTCTGAGAACAAAATGCCCTATAGCCTTCCTTGGTGGCGCAGGGTGCTCAAAAAGCAGAAGACTCAGCTGAGCAAGCTAGCACAAAGCTACAGTCGAATGGGAAGCCTATAAGGTTATATAAGGAGGAGATTACGAGGAGTTAAACAGAGGCATGGAAGAATTTTTCCAGCTCTATTGAGAGGTTCCATCCTGTATATACAACTTACGACGATGCACACATTTTTGAGAGTTGGCAACCATGCAATTTTTAGGAGGGGAAAGCTGTTGCCCACCATCTGGAGAGCTCGAACGTGTGTTACGTTTGGCATCTTGTCGCGAACGGGTCGCCCCATAAATGTTTGTTGTTACTTTGTGTTATTTAATGCAGGTAGTAATCTTTGCATTTCTTTATATCGTATTTGTGTTTTGTATAAAGCATTTTATATTTTTGTGAGTTTCAATCTTTGTTTTTGAAATTGACTTGATTTAACCTTAATGCAGAATCACATATTTGATACCGTTATCCTTTTGTTTGTAATCGTTTACGTTTTTGGTGTAATGCTAGCTGAATTTATATTTCTGTTTTGATTACACGGTCTTAACCAGAAGTAACATTCATATAAATTTTGATCATTTTATTTTAATATGTGGAAATTACCTTGTTGTTTGTAACTACCATTTTCTCCGTGAATGAAGCAGTCACGGGGGTGGCAAAAACTGTAATCAAATTGAGTTACGACGCCTAATTCCGTGATTGTGTTCGACATTCAACTGTAGGCTCGAAACCCCGAAACCAGGGGCGGGTTACCTATCTTGCAGGAGGGGGATTACGCTAATCAAAACTCTTCGGTTTAGAATCTATGTGCGATAAATGAGTTACGATTCGCTAATTTCCACATTATCTTGTCGTTTGTTGAATTTACCTACAAGGCCATGTAATTTTCCACTCTCATCTTAACAAAAGGACTTTATTGCACCAAAGATGAGTTACATCCTGTACCCTTCACCCTTTCTCAGAATTTAGGTACTTGCTTACCTGACCCATTGTTCCCAAAATTTGTTATAACCTTGGGTATAACCAACTTGGTGTGGTTAACCACTACTTAAACTTGATAATTTTACAAATTATTTTCTTAACTAACTTTTGGACTGCATGGGTATGGGTTCTTTTATTTGATGTTTCTGTGTATGAGTGGTTCACCCTGCCTCCATGGAGTAGGTACCTAATACAGTTCGATCTTTCGCTGTATCTGTTGCCTACTCATCTCGTTGCTTAGCCAATAATCGACTTTCACATGAATACTTGCTATTAACATTCTCACATGTAATTTTCGTGTTAAATTAGAGCCACGCCATTTTGATGTTTCCTATGTACATGCAATTTATTAATTTACGAGTTGTGTTATCTCAATTGATCGTACATGTATTTAAATTTTGTTGTAGTGGATTGATTTATCAGATGTGTCGTGTTTTGTTTTTATGAATTTGTTCAATTTCAATTTTATTCAGATTTCTAGTTTCAGGTTTCTAGCCATAGACTTCAAGTCTCAGTCTGTGGAGTAGCCATATTGGGTCAGTTCAAAGGTCAGTTGCCTCTTGAAGACTTGACTTTGAAAATTAGGTCAAGGTGAAGTTCAAAGGTCGCTCGGCACCTGGCGGTGACCTTAGAAAGTGGACCAAAGAACCACTCATAGGCCCGTTTGCGGTAATCTACAAAATTAAGTTCAAAAGTTGCTCGCTGTTCAAAGTCCAAACATTGTTCGCCGTTCAAAGTTCAAAAGTTGGTCGCCGCTCACAGTCCAAAGTTTGCTCGCCGTCCAAAGTCCAAAGGTTGATCAAATTACACATTTTTGGGGTGGGACGGAGGCAGAGGGCAACAGAAAGAGAGTCCCCAAAGATTTTTAAGGGGCTCAAGGCAGTTCCTTTTCAGATGTATTACTAATTTGGTTTTCAATATTTCATAATCCTAAAAATTTCCTTAAAAATACGGTATTGAAACACTTAATGGTGCTCTAAAAAAATGAGTGGTTGGCCTTTTGGGCGCTCTGTAAGGCTTTTATCTACCGTTTCTACAAATACATTTGTGACCCCTCCAAGGTTCTATAGCTTTACAACGCGTCTTATAAAAGGTTAATGTTGGAAGTTCCAGACCATCGTACCACAAAAAGACGCCAGAAGCCTCATACACTAGAAGTATTGGGAAGGGGAACCCTTTTCGCTCTAAACCCGCTATAGTCTGGGGAGTTTCTAAAATTAGAAAAGCAAAGGCGTACAGGAAGGCCCAAATGCTGCTTTTTTGGATTTTTTGTAAGATTATATCTTCTTGTAACGAAGTACATGAACTATACCAAAATTAATGAACACCCAGTACATGGATGAACTTAACCGGGTGATTTTTTTACTAAAAACCATAACTTCCGGACAAATCAATTTATCTTCCAGGAGCCGGGAGTAGGAGGTAAAGTTAACTGCTTCAATTTGAAGTGCAAATAAATCTCTCTTCGATGGGAAGAGGAGGATTGAGGGTTTCAGCTCTATTAAGTATTACGAGCTGATTCCCGGTGTTAAGTGAAAACGCGTACTAAAGCCGGCAGTTTAGATAAATAACGCGGAATTTGACGATTGAACATTTCAATTAACAATGGGCCTCGGTGGACTACCGAATTTTGGAATTCTAATACGGCCAATTAACGGTAGTTAATTTATTGTGTGTTTGCTGTCAAATGAAGCGCGCTTATTAACACGAATTTTTGGATTAGTCACAAAACGCTATTGAGTGCGTCGTGCCGGTTGGGGAAACCACCGGGTTTTTCCACAAATTTTCGAGTTCTATAAGCCGTCGTTTATAGGGGATCTTTTTGCATCTTTAGGCGTCAGCGTGTAAATTTGTGCCTTGAATTTTCGCATTTTCAAGGTAAGCCGTTTGATACGTTTCTTTCCGTTAATTATAAAGCTTTCCTGCATTTTGTTTCTCAGTAGATACCGTTAATGATGTGTGCTTCCTTTCTCGCTTAAGAAAATGACTGCTGTTTCTGTCGGCGGTAAGTTTCTTAAAACGAAGACACGGTAATTATTCCTTCTCTATTCCCCTCAAAAAGAAGTTTAAGAACTCTCCATGAATTTCAAGAACAACGGTACAACGTTTGATTCCGTAAGACACTTAATTCTTTTACCTTAATCGTTTAATTACTGTAAATCACAATGTTTTTAACTTAATTACCCACTAGAAACCGCCATCCTTCACCTTTGTCCTACACCTTACCATTTTTTTGCAATTTACCTCTCGCGTGCGAAATGTTGGAGTAATAAACAGCGAATTAGTAATCAACTGCAGGTTGTAATTAGTTCAAGTACGTAACGCGAACGGTATTTTTTTAATGTGCATTTAACGATAAAGAAAAACGACCAAGTCGACATTGACTTTCACCGCATCCATTCAGTCGAAAGAATGCCACTGAATTACGCAAGTGTGGATTTAGAGTACGAGAAGAACAAGGAGTTACGAAGGGACGATGTCCGCCACCTGCAGGACTGGCTGGAGAAGCTTCCGCACATGCCCGAGATTTCCGGTAATTAACCGTCGATGTTTTTGGCACGTGAGGAATCGGGTCTTTGCAGAGCTCGAGCTGATCTTCTTCCTCAAAAGCTGCGAGTTTAGAGTCGAGATGACGAAGACAACAATCGACAACTGCTACACGATGAAGGGACTGAGCCCGGAGATATTCGCCAGGCGCGACCTGAAAACCCTGCAGGCTACGTTGGACAACGTGTGAGTGTCTCCCTCCTCCGCTCCCCTTAATGAGTCACTTGCAGAATCCTGCTGCCGCTGCCCAAGCTGACGAGTGAGGGTTACCAGGTCTTCTACACCAAGCTGAACAGCGAAGATCCGAGCCTGTACGTCTTCGCCGACATGGTAAAGTGTAACGACGTCGTTATGAGGGTGACTCTACTTCAGAAGGGCACGGTGGCTGGTTTGGTTTACATCTTTGACATGGAGGGATTCACCTTATCTCACATTGCCCGAATGCACATAACCGAGCTAAGGAAAGTCTTATTCTATCTTCAGGTAACTTTTCCAGTTTCCACCCCAAATACTCAAAAAACCTTTCAGGATGGCCTCCCGATGCAGCTGGTGCAATTTCACTTCATCAACGCCGACTCGCGTCTCGACAAACTGATGATGATCATCAAGCCTTTCCTGAAGAAGAAACTATTCGAACGGGTAGCCCAACGCAATCGCTAAAGCACACCTAATCTTCCCTTTCAGATGCACTTTCACACAGATCCCGCGAAGACCCTGTACGAATACGTGCCCCAGGAGTGCATGCCGAAGGAGTTCGGCGGCTTGGATCGGTCCATTCGGGAGTTGCAAGGTGAGCAGGCTCATTAAACGGAGGCGCTGAACGCATAATTTCAGATGAAGTCAGGGCGCGTTTAAACGACACGAGCGACTTCATCGAGGAGGACGAGAAGAGGGTTATAGATGAGAGTAAGAGACTGCAGAAGTCGTCCAGATTCGACCACGTCTTCGGAATGGAGGGCACTTTTAAGAAGCTGGAGCTGGATTGAGTACTTGAAATAAAAACCGTAGTTTTAGTTAGATTTAACACAACTGCTTTTCAACTTCTGGTGTCTAGAGCCCGAACCTCCCTTTCCTGGTCCTGATCATCCCTTCTGAAGTTTATGGAATGCATTGGGAGTTCTGTTACCTTCCTGATTCGTCGTGACCGGGTTAATGGCGCCAGTCTGACGGGCGATAAGACAATGTTAATGTCACCGAAACAGCTGAATCGGAATTTGATTCCACGACAAAGCGTGAGAAGCCAACGTCTTCGTTTATGACCTTTATACATGCGTGATTATGTCAAGTAGGTGCAGTTTAGCGGTTAACGATTGAAGATTGCCGCTTCGACCTATTAGCACCAGTTTGGTGGCGCGTTTTGTAAACTTAAAGAAAAGTAGGGACACGTCCAGGAGAGATAGCGGTAGGTCATTCGATTTTGGACCACGACAGCGTTAAGTGCATGGTTCGCAATCATAGTTCTCTCAGACATTAACCGTCAGCGGCTAAATCGCGTTCATTAAATTGACGTTTGAGCCTTTGGTGGAGGTCAAGTACAAGGCGCCCGTCAATCCGAAATCAAAGAGTTGTAAATAACCGAAAAACTGTGCAACTATTCCTTTGCTGGTGTGTATTCCATATCCCCCAGGAACCCCTGGTACTATATTCTCCAAAAAGTGATGGGCAAGGTGCAAATTTACACGCTGACGCCTAAAGATGCAAAAAGATCCCCTTTAAATGACGGCCGAATTCGAAAATTGTGGAAGGGCCCGGTGGTTTTTCCAATCAGCATGACATACTCAATAACGTTCAAAAACTACTCTTAAAACTCATGTTAGCGCGCTTCATTTGACATCAAACACAATCCATTTTGATAACGTTTGCTGCAACACAATTTATTAACTACGGTTAATTGGCCGGATTCAAATTTCAAAATTCGGTAGCCCCATTGTTAATTGGAATGTTTAATCGCAAAACACGGCAAATTAAAGCAGTTAACCTTACCTCCTACCCTCGACTCCTGGAAGATAAATAGTTATGTCCGGAAGTTATGGTTTTTAGTAATAAAGCGCCCGGTTGAGTTCATTCATGTACCGGGTGTTCATTAATGTTGGTATAATTCATGTACGAAAACTAGTGCTTTGTTTCAAGAAGCGTACAGAGATCGGACCGGAGATCCTTCTTTCGCCGCATATGGGTCTTCCTATAGGACTTTGCCTTTCTAACTCCGCAGACTATATCGTGTTCAGAGCGAAAAGGGTTCGCAATACTTCTAGTGTAGCTTCTTTAGAACACCATTAAGTGTTTCAATACCGTATTTTGAAGGAAATTTTTTGGATTATGAAACCCAAATAGTTAATACATTTGAGAAGGAAGTCTGTTGAGACCCTTAAAAATCTTTGGGGACTCTCTTTCTGTTATCCTCTCTCCTCCCTGCCTCTGTCCCACCCCAAAAATGTGTAATTTGATCAACCTTTGGACTTTGGACGGCGAACAAACTTTGGACTGTGAGCGGCGGCCAACTTTTGAACTTTGAACGGCGAACAAGCTTTGGACTTTGAACTGCGAGCCACTTTTGAACTTAATTTTGTAGATCACCGCATCTTTAACCTCTGAGGCCTCTATTTAGTTTTGTCCTCGTCAAGAGGAGGGCGCCATAACATTTGACGCCACCAGAATATCACCTTATGAAACTTTACGTGAAGTTGAGCTAGGATTACCTATTATCTCTCAATGGCTATCGCTCGCTTCTTAAAGGGTAACCACCCATTTTTTTAAAGCACCGTTAAGTATTTCAATACCGCATTTCCAAGGAAATTTTCAGGATTATGTAATATTGAAACCCAAACAGTTAAAACATTTAAAAAGGAACTCTGTTGAGATCTTTAAAAACTTATGGAACTCTCTCCCTCCCTCCTTCAAAATTTGTAATTTGATCAACCTTTGGACTTTGAACGGCAAGCAAACTTTGAACGGGGACCGACTTTTGAACTTTGAACGGCGACCAACCTTTAGACTTTGAGTGGCGAGTAATCGTCGAACTTAATTTCGAAGATCACCACATCGTTACCCTTTGAGACCTCTATTTAGTTTTGCCCTTGTCAGGAGGAGAGCGAGATAACATTTGACGGCGCCAGAATATCACCTTATGGAATTTTACATGAAGTTGAGTTAGGATATCCCTATTATCTCTCTATGACTATCGAGTGCTCAGCGTACGCTATCCATGACATAATGTATATTACTCCAGATGCATGAATGCGAAGTTTTATAGATCAAAGGTAGAGTGTAAAGTACATAACGTTCCAAGGTCATTATTTGAAGGGCCAATATTGAACCCATTTTCTGGGGTGAACGACCGCAGTCTTGATTTACTTGTCACTTGACACCCGGATTGGACGACCGAATGGTGACTTGACCTACTTTCCGCCTGACATCTGTAGGAGCAAGGCTTTGACTCACTCTCCGTGGAACCCGAAAGGAGAAAATGTTTAGAGCTGAAACGGGCCTATGAGCAGAGCTGGGTACTGCTCGCGAGCGTTTCACTCGAAAAAGCGCTCCAAGCGGAAAAAGCGCTTGCGATCGATCCGTTCGCGAGCATTTTTCGGAGCGGCCGTTTGGTGCTCGATCTTCGAGCGTTTACTTAAAGTGCTCGGCGCTCGAGCGTTTTTTTCTGCCCGCGAGCAGTTTTTCCGCTCATGAGCGTGTTTTTCCGCTTCTCTAAAATATTAAATTCTGAAACCTAAAACAGTAAACCTACAACCTGTAGGCCCACATGTGAAACCTCAAAAACGAGATCTGAAACCTGATCTATGAAATCGAACTCTGGGGCTTCAGTCTTAATTTAAGACCGCTGAGGTTGAAGAATGAGGTGTGAGTGAGTCCAAAATTTGAGGTTTCCATTGTGGATTATTAACTTCGTTAGGTAACTTACCTCGAAAATTGAAAACAATTCCTTTGCTGGCACTCTGAAGCTCTCAGCTGAAGTTTGTGGGTGCCCGAAACGTGAAGGTCACACTGAAAAGCTTAAAGCCTGTTTGGAGTCTGAAGGTACAACCCGAATCTTGAGTTTTTAAGTCTGACCCCATAAGACTAAAGCTTGGCTTTATATCCGAGAGCTTAATTTCCAAACCTTGGATTGTGATTAGTGAAGCTGTAAGTCGTAATTTCATTTTTTAGGGAAACCTAGACCGCGAGCCGGGAGTTTAAGGATGAAGTTTTAAGATTCATAAAAAGTTTAATATCAGATAACTTAATCTAGTTCCAGTTTTTTTAATGTAAATTCAAAAAAATTTACACGCTGACGCATAAAGATGCAAAAAGATCCCCTTTATACGACGACCGAATTCGAAAATTTGTAGAAGGGCCTGGTGGTTTTCCCAACCAGCATGACATACTCAATAACATTCTAAAACTAATCTTAAAACTCATGCTAATAAGCGCGCTTCATTTGACAGCAAACACAACCCATTTTGATAACCTTTGCTGAAACGCAATTAATTAACTACGGTTAATTGGGCGAATTAAAATTCCAAAATTCGGCAGTCCAGTAAGGCCCATTGTTAATTGGAATGTTTAAGCGCAAAACACGGCAAATTAAAACAGTTAACTTTACCTCCTACTCCCGACTACTGGAAGATAAACAGATATGTCCGGAAGGTATGGTTTTTAGTAAAGAAGCACTCGGTTGAATTCATCCATGTACCGGGTGTTCATTAATTTTGGTACTCTGTTGAGATCCTTAGAAATCTTTTGGAACTCTCCCTCTCTCCCTCGCTCCACCAAAATTTGTACTTTGATCAACCTAAGGACTTTGAACGGCGAGCAAACTTTGAACTTTGAGCAGGGACAAATTTTAGAACTTTGATCGGCGACCAACCTTTGGACTTTGAGCGGCGAGTAATCTTTGAACTTAATATTAGCTTAATAATTAACAACACAATTAATTAACTACCATTAATTGGCCGGATTAAAATTCCAAAATTCGGTAGTCCAGTAGGGCCCATTGTTAATTGGAATGTTTAATCGCAAAACACGGCAAATTAAAACAGTTAACTTTACCTCCTACTCCCGACTACTGGAAGATAAACAGATATGTCCGGAAGGTATGGTTTTTAGTAAAGAAGCACTCGGTTGAATTCATCCATGTACCGGGTGTTCATTAATTTTGGTACTCTGTTGAGATCCTTAGAAATCTTTTGGAACTCTCTCTCTCTCCCTCGCTCCACCAAAATTTGTACTTTGATCAACCTAGGGACTTTGAACGGCGAGCAAACTTTGAACTTTGAGCAGGGACAAATTTTTGAACTTTGATCGGCGACCAACCTTTGGACTTTGAGCGGCGAGTAATCTTTGAACTTAATATTAACTTAATAATTAACAACACAATTAATTGGCCGGATTAAAATTCCAAAATTCGGTAGTCCACCGAGAACTGTTGTTGGTTGGAATGTTCAATCGTCAAATTCCGCGTTATTTATCTAAACTGCCTGCTTTAGTACGCGTTTTCACTTAACACTGGGAAACAGCTCATAATACTTAATGGAGCTGAAACCCTCAATTCTCCTCTTCCCATCCAAGAGAGCTTTATTTGCACTGCAAATTAAAGCAGTTAACTTTAACTTCTACTCCCGGCTACTGGAAGATAAATAGATATGTACGGAAGTTATGGTTTTTAGTAAAAAATCACCCGGTTAAGTTCGTCCATGTACCGGGTGTTCATTAATTTTGGTATAGTTCATGTACTGTAGTGCTTTTTCCACTTGCGAGCGGTTTTTCCGCTCCTGAGCGCTTTAGTCCGCTCCCGAGCGGTTTTTTCCGCTTGTCTAAAATATTAAATTCTGAAACCTAAAACAGTAAACCTACAACCTGTCGGCCCACATGTAAAACCTCAAAAACGAGATCTGAATTATGATTCATGAAATCGAAATCTGGGGCTTCAGTCTTAATTTAAGACCGCTGAGGTTAAAGAATGAGGTCTGAGTAAGTCCGAAATTTGAGGTGGATTATTAACTTCGTTAGCTAACTTACCTCGAAAATTGAAAACAAGTCCTATGCTGGCACTCTGAAGCTCTCAGCTGAAGTTTGTGAGTGCCCGAAACGTGATGCTCACACTGAAAAGCTTGAAGCCTGTTTGGAGTCTGAAGGTACAACCGGAATCTTGAGTTTTGAAGTCTGACATCATAAGACTAAGGCTTGGCTTTATATCCTAGAGCTTAATTTCCAAACCTTGGATTGTGATAACTGAAGCTTCATAATTTCATTTTTTGTGGAAACCTAGACCGCGAGCCGGGAGTTTAAGGATGAAGTTTTAAGACTTAATGTATAAAAAGTTTAATATCAGATCACTTAATCTAGTTCCAGTTTTTTTTAATGTAAATTCAAAAAAATTTACACGCTGACGCCTAAAGATGCAAAAAGATCCCCTTTAAACGACGGCCGAATACGAAAATCTGTAGATGGCCCTAGTGGTTTTTCCAACCCGCATGACATACTCAATAGCGTTCTAAAATTAATCTTAAAACTCATGCCAATAAGCGCGCTTCATTTGACATCAAACACAACCGATTTTGATAACGTTTGCAGCAACGCAATTAATTAACTACGGTTAATTGGCCGGATTAAAATTCCAAAATTCGGTAGTCCAGTAAGGTCGATTGTTAATTGTAATGTTTAATCGCAAAGCAATGCAAATTAAAGCAGTTAACTTTACCTCCTACTCCCGATTCCTGTAAGATAAACAGTTATGTCCGGAAGTTATGGTTTTTAGTAAAGAAGCACCTGGTTGAATTCATCCATGTACCGGGTGTTCATTAATTTTAGTGTAGTTCATGTACGAAAACCAGTGCTTCGTTACAAAGAAGAGATAATCCTACCAAAAAATCCAAAAAAGCTTCTTTCCGGAGATCCTTATTTCGCCGCATATGGGTTTTCCTGTAGGCCTTTGCCTTTCTAATTTTTAGAAACCCCCCCGACTATAGCGTGTTCGGAGCGAAAAGGATTCCCAATACTTCTAGTGTATGAGGCTTCTTTAGAGCCCCATATTAAGTGTTTCAATACCGTATTTTTAAGGAAATTTTTAGGATTATGAAACCCAAATAGTTAATACATTTGAAAAAGAAGTCTGTTGAGACCCTTAAAAATCTTTGGGGACTCTCTTTCTGTTGTCCTCTCTCCTCCCTGCCTTTGTCCTACCCCAAAAATGTGTAATTTGATCAACCTTTGGACTTTAGACGGCGAGCAAACTTTGGACTGTGCGCGGCGGCCAACTTTTGAACTTTGAACGGCGACCAACCTTTAGACTTTGAGCGGCGAGTAATCTTTGAACTTAATTTCGAAGATCACCACATCGTTAACCTTTGAGACCTCTATTTAGTTTTGTCCTTGTCAGGAGAAGAGCGAGATAACATTTGATGTAAAGTACATAACGTTTCAAGGTTATTATTTGAAGGGCAAATATTGAACCCATTTTACGGGGTGAACGACCGCACGGAGTCCTGATTTACTTTTCACTTGACACCCGGATTGCACGACCGATTGGTGACTTGACCTACTTTCCGCCTGACTGTTGGCGCGAGGAGCGAGGCTTTGACTAACTTTCTGTGGAACCCGAAAGGAGAAAAAGTGTGAAACGGGCCTATGAGCAGAACTGGGTACTGCTCGCGAGCGTTCCGCTCGAAAAAGCGCTCCAAACGGAAAAGCGCTTGCGAGCGATTCGAGCTTGGTGCTCGATACTCGAACGTTTACTTAAAATGCTCGCCGCTCGAGTGCTTTTTTCTGCCCGCGAGCGGTTTTCTCCTTGCAAGCTCTTTTTTCGCTTGCGAGTTCTTTTTCCGCTCGCGAGCGATTTTTTCCGCTTGTTTAAATAATAAATTCTGAAATCTAAAACAGTAAACCTACAACTTGTAGGCCCACATGTGAAACCTAAAATCCTTTAATAATCCATTAGCGCTTGAGGGCGGTTAAAAACGCTCACGAGCGAAAAAAAACGCTCAGGAGCGCTAAAAGCGTTCGCGAGCGGAAAAAGCAAAAAACCGCGGATCGCTCGCAAGCGCTTTTTTTCCGCTTGGAGCGCTTTTTCGAGTGAAACGCTCGCGAGCAGTACCCAGCTCTGGCCATAGACTTGTAGTCTGAAATTTTAAATTACATTGATCCGAAACTTGAAACTTTAGGCTTAAAATCAAACATGAGGCATAAATAATCAACTCTGAAACTGATAAACCAGTTGCTTGAAGCCTAAGACTTGACACTTACGATTTAAGACCTGCAGTTCTAAAGTTCGCACACAAGAAGCACGTAGCCTGAAATTTGATCAATTGAAGCCTGAGGCCATAAGTAAAAACCCCCAACATTATATACGGAGGGTCAATCTTAAATTCTGAAACCTAAAACAGTAAACCCACAACCTGTTGGCCCACATGTGAAACCTCAAAAACGAGATCTGAAACCTGATCCATGAAATCTGGACTTTAGGCTTAATGTAAGACCCCTAAAGTTGAAGAATGAGGTGTGAGTGAGTCCGAAATTTGTGTGAGTGCCCGAAACGTGAAGCTCACACTGAAAAGCTTGTTTGAAGTCTGAAGGTACAACCTGAATCTTGAGTTTTGAAGTCTGACTAAAGTTTGGCTTTATATCCAAGAGCTTAATTTCCAAACCTTGGATTGTGATAACTGAAGCTGTAAGTCGTAATTTTAGAGAAACCTAGACCGCGAGCTGGGAGTTTAAGGATCAAGATTTAAGACTTTAGAAGTTTATTATCAGATCACTTAATCTAGTTCCAGTTTCTTGAATGTGCCTTCGACCCCGAAGAGGTGGTTGAACTTGGTCGACTTCTGCGGCCGCAGTGACTCATCTATGACCCTCTCCTCCTGTTCTTGTATAAAATCGGCGTTGTCGACGACCATTGCCTTTACTCGTTCTGAAAGCGAGTCGCTATTAGTGTGCGCACCACTCGAAATAGTTACCTAGCAGAACGTCGGCGGATTCGTCCAAGCCACCCACCTCCTTCGGCATGCACTCCCGAGGTATAAAGTTGTACAGGGTTTTCAAATAGTCAGTGTGAATGTGGGTCTGAAACGAAACCGTTAGCTGTAATACGTGCGGTGACGTGGCCGAGGTACCATCTTGAACAGTTCCTGCTTAGTGAAAGGTCTAATGAGCATCATGAACGCGTCGAGGCGCGATCCCGCGTTGATGTAGTGAAACTGCTTCAGTTGCAGGGGGAGGCCTTCCTGCAATGTGGTTTAATTAACGGCTTTTGTCAAAAGCGCACGCCCCAAACCTGCAAAAAGGTCACAAGCTTTTTCACCGACAAGAGTGGCATTTGAGCGATGTGCGCCAGGCTAAATCCTTCCAGATCAAAAACGTAAACCAACCCGTTTACGCTTCCTTTCTGGTTCAAGGCTAAACTCAGAACAACCTCACAGCATTTCACGGTGTCTCCAAATACAAACTTGCTCAAGTCACAATCGCGCAGCTTGCAGTACATGACTTGGTAGCCTTCGGAGGTCAGTTTGGGCAGTGGCAGCAAAAACCTGAGGAGTTGAGTTACAGAAGGCAGTCGAAGAAGGGCTTACATCCTGTCGAGGGTTGCTGCCAAGGTGTTTGTATCACGCCTGCCGAAAATTTCTGGCATCATCCCCTTTAGTGTGAAGTAGTTGTCTATCGTAGTCTTCGCCATCTCGAAACTGTAATTGCAACTCACCAGAAAGAAGATGATCTCCAGCTCTGCAAACAATTCCCCTAAATTTACATTGGCTACGAAAATTACCAATTACCAATTAGGGGAGGTAAGTGTGGTTGCTTCCTAAGCCATTCCTGCATGTACTGCACATCCTCCTTTCGCAACTCTTTCCGGTTCTTGTACTCTAAATCCACACTGGCGTACTGGAACGGCATTGCTCGGGTTCAATTTTCTAACTGTGAATGATGTATGAAGAAACAGACACATCTAGGTTATCTTGTAACCTTTGGTATCTCGTAAAACTGACAAAGGTTGGACGATTAGCATAAACACGGATCCGGTTTTACATACAACCGATTAATTCGTGTGTGTTCCCATAATTATAAATTATCGCAAGTCCTTGTCGAAAAGATTGTTGTTAGTTAAGGCTACTGTAAATAATGACGGGCAGAAACCGCAGTGAGGAACTGCTCAAACTCGCTTTATATGGCTCTTGCACCAGTAAGACATCGATGTCATTGCCAGAAGAGAACCTGAGCCTTCAAAGGTCGATGCGCAAACCTCACCGTCCATAAGTGTTCGAGATCAGTACCTGCGCCGTGACCGCATTGAAGTTCACTGCGGCAGTTGGAATAGATATGGCCAAATTTTTAGCACTTAAGGCACTGTACGATCCGACTATAGTCTTGTATACGGGAGCAATTCGAGTCTTTTAGAAACTGTATTTGTGAAGGTCGACATCAGTTTCTTAAGGCTTAGGGTCTCGGATAACGACCTCTCATCGGTAGGAGTGTCGGGGCGAGTTCTCCCCGACGTCGCTTTGGATTTGTACTGTTTTAAAGAAGTTGTAAGACATTTATTGCAGCTAACAGTAAGGCCAAAATAGTGCCTTAGCTTTGGTTCTGTAAGAAGCAGATCTACTACTTTACTGCAGCTGCCAGTGGGGCTCAAATTAAACCTTTAACTTTAGTTTTGTAAACCGCACGCCATTTCTACCCCTAAAACCAGTTCGCGTTTCCGTGGTCAATCGGTGCCGAGTACTACCATAAGTACCAGGAAACTCGAAACCATTATCTAGGTTCAAAGAAATCTAACACAGTGTCTTACTATCAAAAGTTCTAGAGAGTTCTGTGTGTCCAGTGAATAAAGGACATTACCATTTAAAAAACCTTGAAAGAGAGCCCTACAAATTTTAGGAAGCTAAAAGAACCTGTAGTGGACAGAGATAACCCTGAAAATGGAGTTGGAGTGAGATAAACAGCTTTCGTAATGGACTAGAGGGGTTGAATAGGTCTGAGAAAGGATGGAAAATATTTTGGACGCTTGAGTCCATCTCAAAACCACTGGAAGATTCCGAGGGTAAGTGCGAAGGGTTCTCAAGCGTATGATAGAGCTATGATATTAGCCATTATGTTGGAAAGCTCTAGAAATTTTGGAAAGTGCGAGAGTGAACTTCAAAAACGTTCAAAAAACTAGAGAGCATTAGTAAAAGCTCTGAAGTGGATGTGAAGATCGAGAGCTTTCAAGTTTCCCTCTACTAAGGACTAAGGACCCTGAAGTCTACTAGAAAATGTCCTAGTATAATCTAAGGCACTTAAAAGGAGGGTCCGGTAAGTTTTAGATGGAGAAAGTGTTCAAAAACTCCATTGAGTGGGAGTGAAAAACTCTGAATTAAGTATGATGAATATATCTAGGCTACAGCGAATTAGAAGACCTTGAAATGGTCTTAGGAAATAATAGAAGAGCCTTTAAAATGTTATTGGGGCACTGGAAGGGTTCAAAAATCCAAAAACCTACACTATGGGTTAGAATAATTTTCAGAAGTGTCCTTAAGTGGGCAGCTTTGGAGAACACTGGAAAGGATGTAGAAATCCTTTAAGAACCACTAAGAATTTCTTCAGAATCTCTTCAGAACTTCTTCAGTATCTCTTCGAATTTTCAGAACATCTCTAGGATCTATTCAGAATCTCCCCAGGATCTCTTCAAAGATTCTTGAAAATCTCTCCAAAATTTCCTCAAGATCTCTTGGTGATCTCTTCAGAATTTCTTCAATATCTCTTCGAGTTTTCAGAAAATCTTTAGAATCTTTTCAGAATCTCCCCAGAATCTCTTCAGTCTCTTCAAAATTTCTGCAGGATCTCCAAAAACTCGTCAGAATCTCTTAGAAATCTCTTCGGAATGTCTTTGGGATCTCTTCAGAATCTCTTTAAGATTTCATCAGAATTTCTTCAGAATCTCTTCGAGTTTTCAGAAAATCTTTAGAATCTTTTCATAATCTCCCCAAAACCTCAGAATCTCTTCAGTACCATTTTTTCATCTGTAATTTGGCCTTGTGTTGTTTGATGGGAATTAAAATCAAATATTATTATTATTATTATTATTACCTCTTCAGAATATCATCCAAATTTCTGCAAAATCTCCAGAAACTCATCAGAATCTTTTCGGAATGTCTTCGGAATCTCTTCAGAATCTCTTTAAGATCTCATCAGAATCTCCTCAGAATCTCTTCAAAATTTCTTCAGAATCTCTTCAAAATTTCTTCAGAATCTCTTCAGAATCTTTTCAGAATTTCTTCAGAATCTCTTCAGAATTTTTTCAGAATCTCTTCAGAATTTTTTCAGAATCTCTTCTGAATTTCTTCAGAATCCCTTCAGAATTTCTTCAATATCTCTTCGAGTTTTCAGAAAATCTTTATAGTCTTTTCAGAATCTCCCCAGAATCTCTTCAGAATTTCTTCAAAATTTCTTCAGAATCCCTTCCGAATCCCTTCAGAATCTCCCCAGAATCTCTTCAGAATCTCTTCAAAATTTCTTCAGAATCTCTTCAGTCTCCAGAATCTCTTCAGAGTCTTTTCAGAATCTCTTCAAAATTTCTTCAGAATCTCTTCAGAATCTTTTCAGAATTTCTTCAGAATCTTTTCAGAATTTCTTCAGAATTTCTCCAGAATCTCTTCAGAATTTCTTCAGAATCTCTTCAAAATTTCTTCAGAATCTCTTTAGAATTTTTTCAGTAATCTCTTCAGAATTTCTTCAGAATCTCTTCGAGTTTTCAGAACATCTTTAGAATCTATTCGGAATCTCCCCAGAATCTCTTCAGAAACTCTTCAAAATTTCTTCAGAATCTCTTCAAAGTTTCTTCAGGATCTCTTCAAAATTTCTTCAGAATCTCTTCAAAATTTCTTCAGAATCTTTTCAGAACATCTTTAGAATCTATTCGGAATCTTCGAATCTCTTCACATCTCTTCAGAATCTCTCTCTTCAGAATCTCTCTTTTCCCTAGAATCTCTTCAGAATCCTTTCAGAATTTCAGAATCTCTTTCAAATTTTCAGAATTTCTTCAGAATCTTTTCAGAATTTCTTCAGAATCTCTTCAGAATTTCTTCAGAATCTCTTCAGAATTTCTTCAGAATCTCTTCAGAATTTCTTCAGAATCTCTTCAGAATTTTTTCAGAATCTCTTCAGAATTTTTTCAGAATCTCTTCAGAATTTCTTCAGAATCCCTTCAGAATTTCTTCAATATCTCTTCGAGTTTTCAGAAAATCTTTATAGTCTTTTCAGAATCTCCCCAGAATCTCTTCAGAATTTCTTCAAAATTTCTTCAGAATCCCTTCCGAATCCCTTCAGAATCTCCCCAGAATCTCTTCAGAATCTCTTCAAAATTTCTTCAGAATCTCTTCAGTCTCCAGAATCTCTTCAGAGTCTTTTCAGAATCTCTTCAAAATTTCTTCAGAATCTCTTCAGAATCTTTTCAGAATTTCTTCAGAATCTTTTCAGAATTTCTTCAGAATTTCTCCAGAATCTCTTCAGAATTTCTTCAGAATCTCTTCAAAATTTCTTCAGAATCTCTTTAGAATTTTTTCAGTAATCTCTTCAGAATTTCTTCAGAATCTCTTCGAGTTTTCAGAACATCTTTAGAATCTATTCGGAATCTCCCCAGAATCTCTTCAGAAACTCTTCAAAATTTCTTCAGAATCTCTTCAAAGTTTCTTCAGGATCTCTTCAAAATTTCTTCAGAATCTCTTCAAAATTTCTTCAGAATCTCTTCGACTTTTCAGAACATCTTTAGAATCTATTCGGAATCTCCCCAGAATCTTTTCAGAATCTCTTCAACATCTCTTCAGAATCTCTTCAGAATCTCTTCAAAATTTCTTCAGAATGTCTTCAGTCTCCCTAGAATCTCTTCAGAATCCTTTCAGAATTTCTTTAAAATCTCTTCTCTTCAGAATTTCTTCAGAATCTTTTCAGAATCTTTTCAGAATTTCTTCAGAATCTTTTCTCTTCAAAATTCTCTTCAGAATGTCTTCAGTCTCCCTAGAATCTCTTCAGAATCCTTTCAGAATTTCTTTAAAATCTCTTCAGAATTTCTTCAGAATCTTTTCAGAATCTTTTCAGAATTTCTTCAGAATCTTTTCAGAATTTCTTCAGAATCTCTTCAGAATTTCTTCAGAATCTCTTCAGAATTTCTTCAGAATCTCTTCAGAATTTCTTCAGAATCTCTTCAGAATTTTTTCAGAATCTCTTCAGAATTTTTTCAGAATCTCTTCAGAATTTCTTCAGAATCCCTTCAGAATTTCTTCAATATCTCTTCGAGTTTTCAGAAAATCTTTATAGTCTTTTCAGAATCTCCCCAGAATCTCTTCAGAATTTCTTCAAAATTTCTTCAGAATCCCTTCGGAATCCCTTCAGAATCTCCCCTGAATCTCTTCAGAATCTCTTCAAAATTTCTTCAGAATCTCTTCAGTCTCCAGAATCTCTTCAGAGTCTTTTCAGAATCTCTTCAAAATTTCTTCAGAATCTCTTCAAAATTTCTTCAGAATCTCTTCAGAATCTTTTCAGAATTTCTTCAGAATTTCTTCAGAATCTCTTCAGAATTTCTTCAGAATCTCTTCAGAATTTCTTCGAAATTTCTTCAGAATGTCTTCAGTCTCCCTAAAATCTCTTCAGAATCCTTTCAGAATTTATTTAGAATCTCTTCAGAATTTCTTCAGAATCTCTTCAGAATCTTTTCAGAATTTCTTCAGAATCTTTTCAGAATTTCTTCAGAATCTCTTCAGAATTTCTTCAGAATCTCTTCAGAATTTCTTCAGTAAACTCTTCAGAATCTCTTCGAGTTTTCAGAACATCTTTAGAATCTATTCGGAATCTCCCCAGAATCTCTTCAGAATCTCTTCAAAATCTCTTCAGAATCTCTTCAAAATTTCTTCAGAATGTCTTCAGTCTCCCTAGAATCTCTTCAGAATCCTTTCAGAATTTCTTTAGAACCTCTTCAGAATTTCTTCAGAATCTCTTCAGAATCTTTTCAGAATTTCTTTAGAATCTTTTCAGAATTTCTTCAGAATCTTTTTAGAATTTCTTCAGAATCTCTTCAGAATCTCTTCAGAATTTCTTCAGAATCTCTTCAGAATTTCTTCAGTAATCTCTTCAGAATTTCTTCAGAATCTCTTCGAGATTTCAGAACATCTTTAGAATCTATTCGGAATCTCCCCAGAATCTCTTCAGAATCTCTTCAAAATCTCTTCAGAATCTCTTCAGAATCTCTTCAAAATTTCTTCAGAATGTCTTCAGTCTCCCTAGAATCTCTTCAGAAACTTTTCAGAATTTCTTTAGAATCTCCTCAGAATTTCTTCAGAATCTCTTCAGAATTTCTTCAATATCTCTTCGAGTTTTCAGAATATATTTAGAGTCTTTTCAGAATCTCCCCAGAATCTCTTCAGAATCTTCAAAATCTGCTACGAATGTGATTGAACGGCGACCTGAACTTACTATAAAACATTTTAAAAGGAACCGAGGTCCCGGAAGATTAGAGAATCCACAACATACCTTAGAAGGTTTTCTACGATTGATTCAAGCTCTTGAAAAAGAAAAACAATAGAAATTCTTAGGTCTCGTATAATTCATGAAACTGTTGAATGCCACTTTTGATTGCCAGTTCAAATTACGATAACTCAAAAGGGGGAGCGGAGTCAAATGTAGAATCGTATAAAAAATAGTATTTTTCCATTCATCTACAGGTATTAGGTCCCAAAATTATGCGCGTTTAAAACTTCCACTATTGTTCGTATTTATCGTGATAGTTTCTAAGTCGAAAATCATACTTTGTAGGGGAGCGTCAGCATAAATTTACACTTTGCTAACGTATTAGCACAACATTTCGTCGAGTGCAACATCAATCGAGAAATTAGTCGTAATCGATAAAAAATAGAAGTCAAAATATTGTCAATCCCTTTGCTGTCCAAACCCCGGCGTTAACGGGCTCCCGTTACATTTTAAGTAAATAATCAAAAACTGCAACCTTTACCTTAAAGATGACGCATAGTGAGCCGATTAGCAATGAGTATAGTTATGTATGACGAACCGAATTGATTATTCATGCCGTAATCACGTTCTTAATTAGAGCAAACTAATAGCTAAATTGCGACCACAACCTGTGCAACCCTTGATCGCGACTGTCGTCAAGAAAGTGCATTAGAAGCGATGACTTTCAGCTTTGTAGACGTCGAGCTCCAGTACGAAAAGGTAAAAGGTCTCAGAAGGGAGGATGTCGCGTACCTAAAAGAGTGGTTGCTAAGGCAACCGCACTTGCCTCAGTTGAGGGGTAAAGATTCGGCGTTAAATTCGCAAGACTAAGCCTCAAACTTTCAGAGCTGGACATAATGGCCTTTCTTCAAAGTTGCGACTTCAGCATTGAAATGACCAAGGTGACCATTGACAATTACTACACGATCAAAACTTTTTGCCGTGAAGTTTTTGGTCCACGCGATGCAGAGAAAGTCAAAACCATAGTAGAGCACTAGTAAGTGTCGGTCGTTATTTTGGAAAGCATTGCTCATTCGCTTACAGCCAGGTGGTGCCACTGCCAGAACCAACGGAAGAAGGTTACCTCATCTTAATGTCCGGGCTGAAGAACTCCAATGTCGGCGTTTACTCTTTTGAAGATTACGGGAAGGCCATTGATATGGTTGGTCGAATGACATTATACTCAAGGGGAGTATTTAATGGTGTAGTCATTATTTTTAACACGAAGAATTTAACCTTCGGCCATTTAACCAAACTGAACATCTCACTGTTCAGAAAGTACTTGGTTTACCTTCAGGTGAGGTACCCAGTCAAATAATCCATAGTTCAGTCCAGAGTTTTTAGGAAGCGCTTCCAGCTCAGCTTAAGCAAATACACGTCATTAACACTTCGAGCGTCATAGAGAAGCTTTTGTCCATTATTCGGCCCTTTATGAAGAGGGAGCTGTTCGATTTGGTAACCCATCGAACGAATCCTCGCCGAGTTTCATTCCTCACTTTCAGATTCACGTGCACAGCGATTACAAGGCGACTTTATTCCAGCACGTTCGCCAAGCGCTCCTGCCACAAGACTTCGGGGGCTCCCAAAGGTCCACGGATGACCTCCACGGTACGCCATCCGCCGATCCTTTTTCAAGTCTGACTCGTAAGTTTGTAGATGAAATTGCGACATTGGTGCTGGAGAACATTGACCTCATTAGAGTGGATGAGGCGAACCTTGTGGACGAATCCAAAAGGTTGGTGAGGTGGACCAAGTCCGTAGGCGTCTTTGGTGTCGACGGATCGTTTAAGCAATTGGAATTATTAGATTAATTAGTTTGCCGCAATTAGCGATCTAATTACACCCGTTCTTATAATGACACACGTACCAGTATAATGAGCTGGCGTAGTTACAAACACTAATTATATTGATTTGGAGAACCCTTTCATTTATTGATTCTACGTCACCGTCCATATCTACAAGAATAAACAAATAATATATGTAGGGGGGGGGGGGGGGAGTGGAAAATATTCGTTCTATATTCTCTATGGCTCTACTGTGTTACTTACAAAATTTACCGAAATATGGATTACCCTAGGTCGAGGTTCGTATTCGTGGTATATGAAGTACAGGCATAGAAAATGGTCAGCAATGTGTAGATGAATTTGCCTACCTGGATCTATGTGGTTTCCGCTTCCCTGATGTCAAGGTGCAGATTTGTTGATAATAGCGTTCAACTTATTCGCTGTTTGAATATCATTTTGAGCGAATACACATTTCTAGTGGTACCATTGTAACACTAAAGTTAATTTAGGATGCGAGCAACTTCCGGGATAGAACCGTGTGTCAAGGTTGAACGAAAAATCAACGTTTCGCCCATTTTCGGGCTTTGTCGTGACAAGAAAAGGGAGCAAACTAATTATTTTGGTCTGTTTCTTTTCTCCCTTTACGAAAGTCGGCGGAACGTTGACTTTTCATTCAACATTGCCATGATCCTATCCCGAAAGTCGCTCGCATCTTAATGACCGTAGATTCTTCCGCCCGAAAACTTAGCGGACGACCTACAGCTATGGTAACTAACGCCTATCCTCCTTCCTTTTTATTTCGCTGTTTTTGTTGTTTAAAAAAACGAAATGAACCCAACGCAAATTTTGCGACCAACGTCCTTTTTGAGTCAAGCTGAACGCCATCGGTTTGTAAAACGCCTCTGATGTCGCGCCTACTATTCGTATAAAGCGGCACAAATGCACTTTTGCGCATCTAAAGATTCAACAAATTTAACCGGGCTAGCGGGGTCCCATTACAACACCAACAGCAACCACATAATTCTGATAGAAGTGCTGGATGTTAAGCTGCGGCCGCCATCGAGAAATGATGGTAAGAATGGATTGGATGGCATATAGTTGTGGGTAAAAATCAAAAAGGAAATTGTAAGGGTTACAGTATTAATCGGAAGCGAACATTTTTTGTTTCGGTGCATATTTGGATTAATGTGTTCGCGTTTAAAAAAATTGTTACTACGAAATCGTTTGGGTCCACAGTGCAAAATATTCCGTTGCGTCAGATTCGTAGTGGCAGGTTACGTAAAAAAGGAATATATTAATCAAAGTTGTACCGGGTGACCCAATAAGACCGTACGTCGTATGACTTAGGGGTAAAAAAAATTATTAGGTGAATCGGTTATGAAGAATCGCTGGAAAATATTTTCAAGTTCTAAAAATGGCTACCAGAGGGCGTAACTGACATCTTAAATTTTAAAATCGCATTTTCTTTAAATTTCGCATAATAAACTAAACATACCTTTTTCATATTTTTAAAGAGAACCAGTTTATCTATCAATTTCGTAAAAACAAAAACTCAGTTATTTCAAAAACAAAGATGGTGCGGGGCGTTCAATTGTGTTTGGCAATAACCTGCTTTCGCTTCTTAACGGTTTGGGCGATTTCAATAACATTTTAACAAATGCTTCTTGGTTAAATCGGCATTTTAGAAACGATTACAAATTCAAAAAACTGCACTTTCTGAATGTAAACACAGCAGAATAATTTACAAATTACGGCTGATATTATTTTATAATGCATCGTGTTTCATTTGTTTAATTTTCCAAGGCCTACCTAAAGTGTAGGGTGATTTTCTCACGCGCCATCGACAAATACCGGAAATACGCAAAAAGTAAATTAAGATACCATTTAAGCATTTTTATTAATTCATTAGTTGATCTCATTTTCCCCATATTTGAGGTTAGGAACGAGATTTTGAAAAACGGTTTTCACTGGGATCTTTGGATGTTATTCGCCTACTTTTTCATAAAGAAAAAGTCATATCATTCCATTTGAAGTTTTTGATTTTTTTATGATTTTGGATCATAGCGTCAAAACTAACCCCCTGGCGGAGAAGGATTCAACTAAATTAACTATATTTTAGATGATTCTTGTTTCCCAAGGAATGCTCTTTTCAACGATATCAAATTTGTTACAATCGGTCAAACGGTTAAGAAGTTAAAGCAGGATATTTCAAAAACAATTGAACGCCCCACGCCATCTTTGTTTTTGAAATATCTGAGTTTTTGTTTTTACGAAAATGATAGACAAATTTGAAATTTAAAAATGTCAAAAAAAATTTTTTAGTTTATTATGCGAATTTAAAGAAAATGCAAATTTAAGATTTAATTTACCCAATAATTTTTTTACCCCTAAGTCATATGACGAACGGTTCTCGGGATATGGCCGAGGAACAGTCTTATTGGGTCACCCGGTACATCCAATCGGTTTGTATTAGGTGCAACAAATTTACAAAAAAAACGATTACCGGTAAAAAGGTTAAAGACAATTAATTCAAGCTTTTGTTTGCTGTTGAAATATGTTTGACACTTACACACTGCGGAAGATCGGTAATTTATTACTGTGAATAACTCAAAGTTCAACTACATGACTAAATTAAAGTTAAGCTGAAACCCGGTTTATTTCTGAGTCAAATTGCGTCAACCATCTTTCGAAATTAAGTTTCAATAAGCAACCCAATTCAACTGGTGACACGGGAAGTCCATTCGTATTGCCTAAGACGTTTCACTAATCAATTTTTCAAATTGCTGCTAATTTCCATAGGAGAAATCTAACTGACAATTGGGGAAAATTTTAACGCATCAATAAAAGTACCTTCCTTTGATTTTTGTACTGTATAAAAATAGGAATCGATCGTTTTTGGGGATTTTGTATAAAAAATTTGCATTTGAAATCATTTTCTTTGGTGTGGGTTTTATATTTTTTATTTTATAACAGATGTTAAATTGACAATTCAATAGGTGTGAATGAGAGGCTTTTTAACCATAAGGATAAATAAAGTAATCACTTTAACGGCAAGGGTATATAAAAGTAAAACAAATCATTGTGCACTCCAACGACATCTGTGATTGTTATTAAAAATGGGACGCGGAGCACGAAATAAAATGAAGAACAGAATACAACATTGTTTCCGCGAAAACGACGGGAAAATCTAAGCTTGCTATTTTGGACGTCTACTTAGAGAATTTTCAGAAGTTTTATAATGATGAGGACGGAAGAGAAGAGTACGCGATGGTAAAGAGAAGATCCAATGAAAGAGACAAAAATTCATGCTGGCATATTTGTACCAACCTTCTGGGTATTAAAACCCGAGATTTAACGATCGAGTTTAGGTTTTCTTCGATTGTGACCTGAAATAAGACCACGCCCAAAACTGAAAGTAACAAATCTAAGATTTTGAATTCAAAAATAACTTTTCCTGAGGTCTTTTAGGGAATAGTTTAAAAAAACGAAGCAGGGGGGGGGGTAAAATGACTAACAATCCATCATACTTTTTCCAATAGTTACCTCACCTCATCGGTCATCAATAACGCGGTGATATCATGAAATGTATAGTAATTACGTATTTAGTAATTTGCTAAATTTATTTTACCTTCCGGCAAAAATACGTGAATGTCAATGTTATTTAAAACGGGTATACGTTTAGAATAATTAAACAGTCAAGTTGTATAACTTCTTAAGTAGCGAAACACGATAAGGCGAAACTTTCTCCCTCATTCATTGGATAGTCGAGTTGTTGTGTGCAGTGTAAACGCATTCATTCGAAATGGAAATTAAATTCGTGAGTATTTTTTAAATTGTTTTGAGACATTGAAAACAGACTCTTGGGGCCCACAACTAAAGGGGTGGAATTCGTAAATTACGTTGTGTACGAGAAAGTTACGTTTCTCTCGAAATCTAGACCAGACGGCTACGTTGCAATAAGTAATTGTGTCATGGAAAATCCTTTTTTAGGTACAATGTCTGATACTACTCCCGTTCGTGTGGGCGGTACCCCCAGAACCGGAGCTGGATCTACCCCCCAGGCCCTACGCCTTTGGTTACGCGGCAGGAAGATTCGCCGGTCACATCGATCGGACCCATTCCGAAATTAGCACCGGAGATGGCGTCGTTAAAGGTGCGTTACGCTTCATAGATGGCGCCTCTGATCGAGATCGATTTGCAGGTACCTACTCGTACGTCGACCCGCGCCACCAAATACGCACGGTCGACTACATCGCCGATAAGCAGGGCTTTCGCGCCGTTTTAAACCACAGCCCGCTTCCGCTTCCCGTGGACTCGCCCGTCGTCGCCGCGGCGAAGGAGCGACATCTGCAGCAGTACAACGCAATCGCGCACTCGCATCAGGCGCCTCCTGGCTATCTCGTAGTGCCGGCCGACTCTGCCGCCGTGCACCACGCCAAGGTGAAGCACTTGAGTTTGTACGAGCAGATCGCGGCCGAACATGCACGAATCGCCCACGAACGTGGGGCTTTCGAGGCGGAGACGGCAGATCCGCATGTTGTATAATGTTCTGATAATGTCGACGTAATTTTAGTGTATGTCAATAAATGATATTTAAATTGGAGTACATGTACGGCCTACGCAAGTTTTAGGTTCTATTAAACTCAGCAGAGGGCGCTCATAAATTTCCGAAATTGTCACCGCCGCTGATAATCAAACGGTCTCAATACCCTCCAAATTGCAAATTCGCTCCACTCTTTTTCCGTCCGCAAGCGTACAACCTAAAAGGAAATCCTTTTTATACCAACTGAAAAGACCCAATAGTTCAAATAACCTTAATCACCAAGTTCAACGCTAACTTCACACTTTAGCTACATGAAAATAAAATCAACACGACAACGTTTAAAAATGGCCGCCGGAATGATACTAAAGGCGGCGCCACCTTACGTTATTTTAATAATCTCGAATTAGCAATTAATAGTGAAAATCTGTTGCATTCAATCATCAACAATAATTAATAAAGCAATAGACAGACAGATCACATACACAAAACATGCAGGGAATAAAACAAGGTAGCTGTACAACTGCAGGTGCAATAAACCCCTTCTGTTAAAAGCAACATGGATAATTACATGACCTTGAAAGGCAAATTCGACGTTTAACAAGGTATTTGGATACTATTCTCATATCGTACAGAGATTCTAAACCAAAAAGTTTTTGTTAGCTGGGTCCCACACCTGAGACCTGTAACACCTCCCTCGTGCGAGGCATCCAAACTTGCGGTTGAGATTCAAGATTAATCACCACAGCCTTAGATGTCGTAACTAGTGTGGTTACAGTATTCCTATCTCTGTGGCATTGAAATCATCGGAACCTTTGGAATGTTTTTAATTTTCGAATGTTTTCAACCTTTGGCGCTATTAAAGTCTGTGGGATTCGTGGAGCTATTGACATATTTGGAATCTCCTTTGAAGTCGTTTGAATATTTGGAATCTTTGAAGTCTGAAGTTTTGGAATTCGAAGTTTTTGGTTTTTAATATTCCAGGATTTAGGGAGCCTTTAGGTCCTTGATCTCTTTTGAGCCAGACTCTGGGTCCTTTACGTTCTTGAATCCTTAGATTCTTGAGTATCTGAGCACTTGAACAATTGCATCCAAGAGCACGGGTCCTTCAAACGTCGAGTTTCGTTCAACCCTTGGGTCATTATTGTTTCTTTGGCCGTTTAATCTTCTAGCCTTTAATTCATTGAGTCTCGTTTTTGAGGTTTTGAGTCATTGAGTGTATAAACGGTGTTTAAATATTTGGGCCTTGTTACCCGGCTATGTTCATGTGAATTGGATTTCCAAATTTTTGAATCTCCTTGCGAAGCCTTTAGAAAATGTTTATTAAAATCCTTAGAAACCTTGAAATCTCTACAATCTTTCCAATCATTGTGATCTTAGGGTTTGAGCGTCTTGGCCCCATTGGTATTTTTGCCAGAACTCTCCGTGTTTGGAATCATGGATATCTGGATTTTTTGAAATGCTCCGAACTGTCTTTTTATATACAGGCCTTTGAGCCGCTTCGGTTTTTGAATCCTGAGTGTTTAGATCATTAGGTAGCTTTTTGGAACCTTGGGTACCTGTGATCTTGATCTTCTCAACAATTAAGCTTTGTGCTTTTAGTTTATTGCTGAACCATAAGATTTTGAACCCTATAGGTTTTAAGTTTTTGAACCTCTTTGGAATGTTTGACATATTTGGCTCCTTTGAATTCTTCGGGATCATAAAGATTTTCGTTATTTTGGAAATTTTGGGAACCTTCAGAATCCTGGTCATCATCAGAATCTTTGGAACATTTGGAATTTCTTAAACCGTTGGAATCTAATAGACATTTTGGAACTTTCGGTAACCTTCGTGTCCTTTCTTGGAATCCGTGGAACCTTGGAAACGTTTGTAATATTTGAAACTTTTAGTGGTCTTGATGTCTCTGGAATTCCTGGAAATATATATTAAATATTTGGAATGTTTGAAATTCTAGGATTTTCTTGATTTGGTAAAATTTTTGGAAGCGCTAAGAAAAATGGACTAAGGTGCCCTGGGAACTTCGTCGGTTGGTAAATTTTGAAGGTGAAGTGGACAGCTCTTTGTAAGGTCATTAAGGCCTTATTCAAATCGATATAGAACGTCCTGGAACGATTTTTTTTATTGTTTTGTAAAGGCCTTCATTGCTCTGGAAACTATATAAAAGATTCTGGGATCTTTGGGACTATTGAGTGTTTCTTAAAAGTGCTTTCCAGGAATCTGTTAGGTTTATCTACAGCTTAGGAAGAAACTTACAGGGCTTTGGAAAGCTTTATTGCTTTTGAACCCCATTCAATGCTATGTCAAGAACTTATAACTTGGTAAGCAGATAAGTTTCAGAACTTGTAGTACCTGGTTTCCAAGAACTCATTAGGTTCATTGGGTTATAGACTAAAACAATGTAAAAAGTTCCGAAAACGGTTTGATAAGTGTATAATAAAGTTGTTAATTCCACTATTGTTGGATAGTGATACGCCACTGGTACAGACCCAACGCGAAGTTCTTCTGAAGTTAGCTACAATTGTTGACACTTATTAAAATCCAAACATAACCTCAAATGTATCTGTTTTTGTGTTTGCTAAAGATGCAAAAATGCTAACCATTCAATAAGCATTTCCAAAAAACACCACAATGACCACCAACAAACTGGAAGAGCTCTTAAAAAAGCACTTCAAATTTGATACATTTAAATCTCAACTGCAAGAAGAAGCGATTATTCAAATTTCAAAAAGTAAGGGATACTACCGAGGGTAAATCTAATTGTAGCTTTCAGGGGATGACGACGTACTAGTCTCCATGCCGACAGGCTCCGGCAAGTCATTATGCTACCAGCTACCTGCGCTCTTACACTCAGATAAAGTCACATTGGTCTTCTCGCCGTTACTCGCGCTTATAAAGGTACGATCGCTTGCAAGTCGAGCGAGACGCGCTAAATCTGCTTTTAGGATCAAATAGATCACTTAACCGCGCTTAAAATAAAGGCGGCCTCTTTAAATTCGAAGACGCTCGCCGCCGAACGGGCAGCTATACTCACAGATTTGAAAACGAACTCGCCGACCACGCGCCTACTCTACGTGACGCCGGAGCAGGCGGCCACCCAGACATTTAAGGTGAGACACGTGCTCGGACTAACGCGCTGAAAGCCGTTTGCAGGATCTATTCAGCAACATCGTGAAACGCGACAGGGTCGCCTATATCGTCGTCGACGAGGCGCACTGCGTGAGCGAGTGGGGCCACGACTTTCGGCCCGATTATCTGAAGCTGGGCGTTCTACGTGACGGTAATAAAGTTCCTGTGATCGCGCTGACCGCAACGGCCGGAGCTGAGGTTGGTGCGATTTGTCCGGTCGGTCTTTTTGAACGGTCGTGTTTTAGGTGATCAAAGACATTGTGGGCAGTCTGCGGTTGTCGAGCACGTATAAAACCTTTCGGACGTCCTGTTTTCGTCGTAATTTGTTTTACGACGTTTACTATCAGAATCTGCTCGATAGCCCGTACGAGCATTTAAAGGCTTTTATCAAGAACTGTTTAAACTCGCAGGACGATCTTCTTAGTAAAGTGAGTTTGTGATGCTCGTCTTATCACTTGACTTGGAGACTAGTTTTTGTGACTACTTAACACTACACTATCATACATAGTGAGTACAGGGTGGCCAGAATGCCAAGTGGTTCCCAAAGAATGGAAAATGATCGATGCATAGTTGGTTTGTGTTTGTTAATTGTTAGGAAACTGATTTATTAGGGATGCAAGTTTTATTTGAGACACCCTGTATATCTGTTGTTTACAAGAGCAGCCAAATCACAGCCCTCCAGACAAAAAGATTCATAACTTTATTAACGAATCAGTTCTTGTTCTTTTAGCCGTGCAGCAAGGAAAATACAAGTTAGTTGGAAGCACTAATTAATTGTCTAAACTTTTTTTACCGGTTGTCGTTTAATGTAGATCTAACACCCTGTATACGCAATAAAGGCGCACAGTTTTGATTTTTTAACGTAACCAGTCCCTTCAAATATAGCGCAATGGAAGGTTTTGCACCTTGGACCTTAACGCTTTCGTGATAATAATGAGAGCACGCTAATCCGATAATATTACGAAACGAATTTGTTCGTTTTCGCTTTGAAAGGTAACACTTAGCACCATTCACGGTTGAAAATTAAATCCGCCACCCATTAGTTTTCACTACTCGACGAAGTTTCCTTGTGGCATAAAAACACCTCTTATTATTGTTTTTTTTTTTCAAAAGGGCTCCCACTGAATGTATACAGGTACTCACGAAAATAAATTCGTCAAAAAAAACGAATCTGGTATATACTGCGGTTATAAGGCGAACTTTTATATATCAATGAAATTGAAAGTTTGACTAAGAGTCTTTCTCCCACCCGATTTTTACTTATGTATAAACCGAACGCCAAATATGAAACGAACGCATTTTCCAATCCATGTTGGAAGGCGCGTGCCGCTCTCCTAAGATATTTAGTTTGTTAGCTTATAGCTCTGGCACCTCAACCAGGAAAAATCTGGAAGATTAGTGTGCGCATGCCAAAATGTCTATTTTCTTATTTATAGAGATGTGTTCTTGAAATTTTAACCGCAGATGCTTCTACTAAAGACAAGCATATCGCATACTGTAAACAAACTTATTTATGGAGATATTTGACCAGATGTTTCTACATTTTATCATGCAAATTCACGTTTTACAATTAAACAAACAGACTCAAATAAACTTTACGCAGTTACAATAATTCTAAAAGGAAAAATAACATACAAACTCACATGAAATAAACCAATTCACGTATTCTTAAATAATCCTCCCAATGTTAGACCTAAGTAACCTCGACATGGGGTTGTTTACGTAACAATATATAGGGGAAGATTTGAATTTGAATGAACCTATGAATTTGGAGGGTTTCTTTGCTGGTATTTTAAAACAAAACTGATTTTTTTTATATCTAAACCAACCTTCGGAGGTTCATTAATGTTAATGTTAAATCAGAAAAAGCTCAGGGCGCCCTGTTTACATTAACAACGATGTGGAAACTTATTCTGTAGAGAAACGTATTCAGAACCTTCCCACGTTGAGTATTAGACAAAATTTTCATTAACGTTTGATCAATATGTGCGTTTTCAACGGAATTTTTATTAAAAATTTATACGTCTTAACCACACTATTCAATCATGTTTTGTTGCATTACCGCGTACAATATTAGACTCGCACAGTTAATGGGCTTGTTTTCTATCACACGGAACTGCAAATTAAGTGCTGGCAGTGCTACGAATATCCGATAAAGTTTAAAGTATCCGATTGAGATGAAACTTTGGGAAACTGTTAGATGCAATGTATGCCCGCGAAGGTTTTTATATAAATAAACCGGTATGAAGTTTGCCGCGCGTGCAAGGTAAGCATTCCTGGCCTTACTTTTACTTTTTACCAAATCGTTCTGAGTTTTAATTAACGCCTGACAATTCGCGAATAAAAAATCTAACATGAAAACTCTATCTGTGTTACACTTTGGGTTCGATTAAACACACCGTTAATTAATTGACAAAGACAAAAATTCATTCCGCAAAACATGAAAGAAATTAAAAGAACAATGCTGGTAGAAAGGCATTTAGAGCCCATTTTTACACATACCAGGCACGTAAGCGATCGATAGACAATTAAATACAATACAGTTTTTCATAAATCTGGTCGCAAAAATTTTGCAATATTCAGGTGTAGTTAGAACTGGACACAAACATACGCTGAGAGCTTGAGGAACTTCACTTATTTTTTATTACACTGTATCTTGATCACAAAAAAAAACAACTGGCTTGGATTAGATGATTTAATGAACGAAAAAAACCTTGTCGAAAGGCTTCACTATGCAAGAAACGGGTTGATTGGCATAACTTTTTTCAATAAACAAACTTCACTCAAAACGCTGAACGCCGTCTTACCATCCAACAGGCTGACTGCCCAAAACAGTGCTTAAAAAGTACACTAATACTGTCGGATCACCACCCAAAAAGTAAGCTTCGTTATGTTCTCATATTTTAAAGGGATTTCGTAAACAAACGGCCAATCAGAACCAAATTTGAATAACGCCAGCTTCGAAATACACACCTATCACGTGCTTATCTTGAAACTAATTAAATTTCTCCGTAATAACAAGTGTCCTTATTATTAACTATTAAAACTTTTGGCACCTTCAAGGCTTTCATCATGACTGCATGAGACTATGACTACATGAGACTCCATAATGATCACACGAAAACTAACTGCAAGAATCATAATCTCCTTGTTTACGTTTTAGGAGAACAAACCGTGCGGAATTATCTACTGCAGGACGCGGGAGCAGACGGAGGTGGTCGCGTTTAAACTCTGCGAGATGGGTATCAAATCCTTATGCTATCACGCCGGCTTAAAGCACAAGGAACGACTGGAGTACCAGGAGAGCTGGCAGAAAGGCGATTATCCCGTGATTTGCGCGACGATCAGCTTCGGAATGGGCGTGGACAAGGCGTCCGTCCGCTTCGTCGTCCACTGGGGCGTGCCCAAAGATCCCGCCTCGTTCTATCAGGAGTCGGGGCGGGCGGGACGCGACGGACGCGCGTCGAAGTGCCGCATCTATTACAATCGCACGGACCGGCGCGCCATCGAGTTCCATCTCGCGCACGATCTCGCCAAGGCGAAGCACAAGGAGTCGCGAAAGGTGAAGGCGCAAAACGCGATTAAGGCGTTCACGAAGATGGTGGAGTACTGCGAGACCGCCAAGTAAGTTGGTGCCAATCGGCGGTTCGATTGATAAACAGGGAGTTTCAGGGAGTGCCGACATCGACTGTTTTCGAATCACTTCGGCGAGCCTCCGCCCGACTGTCGCAATCGGTGCGACATCTGTCGCAATCGAAAGGAAGTGGAGGAGCGGGCGCATAATTTTCTGATGAAGTGCATTCAGTTTAGCGAGACCTCGACCACTGTCGACGTCGACTTTTCGGATCTGTACGAGGGTGGACGCAAAGGGATTGCAGAGTAATTACTTGTACTCGTCAGTGAGAATTTCTAATCTGATGATTCTAGCAATTATAAAGCGTATTGTGATGACGACGGTAGTAACAGTAGTTGTAATAGTTTCGAAATGGAACAGAAGGCGAAAAAACAAAGTACGGATCTTATTAAGAAGCAGTTTGCGCTCCGCAAAAATTCACAGGTAGGATAGTGACATTAGCACCTGTTCAACTAGCTCATTTAAACACAACTAACGACTCAAATTATTATAATTCCGAGGCACGTCCAATATCTGCCAAAACGAACATTTTGATGAGACTGTAATTAAAACTTTTTGGACCCGCAGCAACCTTCGCCCCCTTCCCACAATACAAATATTGTCGATAAAAATCGATAATTCTGATAGAAAGAAAGGCACTCGGGGCCTGCAAACAAAGTACCACGCACATGCGATCGATTGAAACAAATTAGTGAAATGGAGTTTCCCGCTTATTATTCATGTCTGGCTGGAAACAAAATGTCGGTTTAAACGCTATTTATTCGTCTTTAAGTATTTAACGCCAAGGGGGTTTTATTTGCCGCACAAATGGTTTCAAAATGAGGTCACTGAGTCTTAATAATCATAGGTCCGCAAAATATTTAAATTAAGACACAAAATCAACTCTTATCTCTGAAACTTAATTTGCGAACCTACGTTTATTAAGACTTTTTTGTTGCTTTTTATGAATACTATACACATATAAAATATCCGACCTTTTTTTGAAACACCCTGTATATTATATTGACATATTTTTCAAAATTTTGATATATGTTTCTACCGTCAGCCATTTTTATTGATTGGTTCATCTGCTTTAGTTACCATAGATACAATAAACAAAACAGAATCTCCATGAATCCATGGCCCACTATTTAAAAACAGTAAAAAAAATAAGGTTTTCACTAAAATTTAAAAAAAATATAGGGATCACTGTAATCCGGAAAAACAATGTAAAACAATTATTAAGATATACAGGGCGTTGCATTTAAAAAATACCAGCTTTAGGACAACTCTCACAAACTGTGGTCCAAACATTTTTTTTACTACGCCACTGGATTGGACGTGAAAATTTCTTGTGTTATTTTACAGGGCTAGTAAAAACGATGTATGTATCGTATGGGCGGCACTCCCTAGGTCCAGACAGAATCAAGGTAGTCAGTAGATGTTCTGTACCAAAAAAACAACTTTTCGGTCTCACCCTGTATCTCAGAAACGAACAAAGATTAATTCTGTTCGTGGTATTAAAAGTTTCATCACCAAAAAAGTGGCACAGGGTCCCATTTATGTGGCGTCATATTTCATTTTCAAAGTCATTAAAGTTCAATGACCCCATTTCATTTTCAAGGTAACCAAACGTCAATGTTGTGTTGCCATGTTTGTGGTTCAATTTCAAGGTCATCACAGGTCAATGGCCCCATGTTTATTGCCATTTCATTTTTAAGGTCATCGGAACGCAAATGACCCCCTCCGGTAATGGCCTTGCAAGGTTTGTAACCTTGGAAAGTAGGTCAAAGTAAAGTTTAAAGATCTCCCACCCCCAATCACCCTATTTTGACGTCATATTTTATTTTCAAGGTGACCAGAGCATAACGACCCCATTAGTAAGGAGCGTACTTGTACCGTTGAAGGTCTCTCGCCTGACGGTGACCTTGAAAGGTAGGTCAAGGTAAAGCTGAGATTTCTCGCCTAAAAGGTCAATGGCTCCATTTTTGTGGTCTCAGATTCAAGGTCAATGGTCCTAGTTTTGTTGTCTGTTTAATTTTTAAGGTTATGGAACACAAATCGAACTCTCCTCGGGCTTGGAAAGTTTGTGAGTAGGTCAAAGTAAACATCAAAGATCTCCCACCCCTAATGACTCCATTTATGCGGAGTCATTTTATTTTCAAGGTCATCAGAATTTAATTAGCCCATTTGTGTGGTTTCATACTTCATTTTCAAGGGCTTCAAGATTTAATGACCCCGTTAGTAGAGTACAAGAGGCACTCCTGAACTGTTTCGTTTAAGGTCTCTGGCCTAGGAACCTAGGAAAGTAGGTCAAGGTGAAGTTCAAAGGACGCCTCTCGCCTTAAATGTCAATGATCCCATTTTTGTGGTCTCATAATTCTCATTTCATGGAACGCAAATAATTCCTCGGGTAATGATCTTGGAAAGTTTGTGACCTTGGAGAATAGGTCAAAGTAATGCTCAAAGATCTTGCATCCTCAATGACCCCGTTTTTCGACGTAACGGTAACGAGAGGTTAATGGCTCCATTTTTTGGGTTTCCATATTTAATTTTCAAGGGCAAATAGTAGACCACCACCACCAGGGGCGTACCTAGACCGTTCAAGGTCTCTCGCCACCTAACGGTGACTTTGGGAAGTAGGTCAAGGTGAACACGAACTCGCACTGTTCAATTGGCGTTAATTGGATCCGTTTCGCGTTCACATTTGGGTTCAATTTTCGTTCACGTTTGGGTTCGATTTGCGTTCATTGACCTTAAAACAGCTTTGGGCCAATTGACCTTTGATGACCTTGAAATTGGCATTGAGGGGTCGTTAACTTTTCCAAGGTCACTACTGCAGAAGAGCGAGTACCTTTTGAACTTCGACCATGCCCTACTTCCCTTGAACGGTCCAGGTACGACCCTGTTACTCTACTATCCCTGTCTCTGTTCAACGCTTCCTTTAAATCCATGAAAAATGCGATCTCCTTTTTTCTCTTTCTAATCTTTTGTAAATGGCACTAATCCCTTCCTTCCATTTATCACACAGTCCCCCTCCTTCCACCGCCTCTTCCTCCTGCTTTCCTTGCAGTACCTTAATAAAGTGCTACTCCCAGTCCTCTATTCGTATTTCTCTCTCACTTGTTCGGTTCACCCCCTGTTTTTATTTCCTTGATTTGTTCTTCGTATTCTTTGTGTTTCTCCATCTTTTTGTCTACATTTTGTTATATTTCGTTTTCTGTTTTCTCATCTCCTTTTCATCTATTTCTCCTTTTCTTTCTTTCTTTTTATCTTTCTTTCTTTCTTCATTAGTCAATATCTATTTTTCTATTCTGTACACTCTGTGCCACTACTCCTTTCTTTTATCTCCCCTCTCCCCTTAATTTAATATTTTTTCTCCGCTGTACTCCTTCCTATTTCTTCTTATTCCTCTAGTCTCCTTCTATACCACTCCACAGTGTCTCTTGTCCATAAGTGTATCTCCCTTCATCTTCGCATCGTTCTTGATCTTCTTATATTCCCTTTTAAATTTCCATTCTTCTATTTCTTCCAGTATTTTTTCATTGACTATTGTGTAATCAATTACCGACCTCCCTCTTCCTCCCACTTTTCCCCTTTGTTGTTTTAGCGCACTTTTTAAGAATTAAAAAATGTGCTATTATTTGCGTTTTGTCCATCTACTTCTAGAATGCTCCTAGAGTCCTGGAATTTTTTGCAGTAGATAGCCTATACCCAGACGGCCATCAAATTTCGCTAATTTCTAAACGGCCCCCCCCCGAATTATTTCCTGAAATGCTGTTTTTGAAAGTAAAACGTGAATAGCTTTTACATACGACAACCAATTGGTCTCAGATTTTGCATACGCTTAAACTTTAGAAAATTGGGGGGGGGGGGGGGGGGTAAACACATGTTCTACCCTTCATGGTATTCTAATTAAAGGTCTCATCGAAATAAATTGGTTTGTACAAAGTATAACTTTCCCGTGCGACTCTTTTTTGAGATCAGTGAGCGACGGAGCCTGAGGGGGGGGGGGGGGGGTTAAAAATTAATTTTATCTCATTGGATTCTAATTAAAGATCTCAACGAAAGAAACCGTCTTCTACCAACTACTGCCCTTCTTTCTGTCTTAGCAAAGTACGGAGTGGAGGGGGAGTGGAACTAGTTTTATCCTTCATGGTACTCTAATGAAAGGTCTCAACGAAAGAAACCGTCTTCTACCAACTACTGCCCTTCTTTCTGTCCTCTTATCAAAGTACGGAGTGGAGTGGGAGGGGGGGGGAGAACTACTTTTCTCCTTCATGGGGGGGGGGGGGGGGGTGGAACTACTTTTCTCCTTCATGGTACTCTAATGAAAGGTCTCAACGAAAGGATTTAATTTCTACCAACCATAACCCTCCTCCTCAACCTCTTATCGGGATCGGGTACATTCCCTTATATTTCAAGAACGGATTGTCGGAAGAGGATACTCACAAAGGGCGATTGAGACGTCTGCAAGAAGTATATCCATTCCCTCTCCCCCATATTGGCCCCTCCTTTGCCTTAATGTTTCATTCTGTCAGTCTCTCGATCTCCCCCCCCCCCTCCATATCGTTTATCTTTTGTTTTATCGGTGTAAACATACATCTTTCCTTTATATTATCCCTCTTCGCAAATTGGGTCCTTAAACTTTTAAGGTTTCTGCAATTAGATTCTTCCAACTACCCTCTCAGTTTAGTATCAGATTTTTGGATAGTTCTAGGGATGGTGATTATGTTAACGGTGCGGGGTGAGGCGGCGCAAATATAGAAAATGGCGTCGATAATTGTGTTAATAATTGAAAAAATCACAAGGTGTGCCCCTTTTACAGGATGTGTCTAATGACACGATAAATCAATTGTTCTCGAAGAGGGCGCGCGTCATTGCCGCGTCGGCCACCTCGAACAAGGTGAACGGACTGACGCTTCCGACGCGCGAACAGTACTTATCGAAGCTTGTCGAGGTGATCGCCGAGAACTATGCGGAGTGCTGTAAGAATCCGGAATTCGACGAAAAGGATCTGACGGAATGCGCAGCGGACCTCGAGTACTCGTGCTTTACCGCCACGACGACGGTGACGGTTTACCGAAGTCACTGTGCGAAAATTGTACGTTGTTTCGTATTAACAGCGACATCTTTTGTATGTTTCCTGACATTCGTTTGTACAAAATATAGTAGGTACTTCTCAGGAGGGTGGGGTTAGAACGTACAGTGTTGCCCCCGCCCCCTCCTGGGGTTGTTTCAAAATTCATGTATGAAAGATACAAAAGACGACGCGTGACCCCATACAAATGACACGGTATTGACACCCCCCCACCTATTCAGATTTCAGCCGTGAAAAATAAGACACAAGAAAAGGAGCTCTACTCGTCCTTGGCGTCGTACGTTCCGAAGCCGCCCAAAAATGAAACTCTCAGCGATTTATTCCGGAACATAAAGAAGCAGCAGATGGCCAGCTCGAGTTCGTCGACCACCAGCTCCGATACCGACGAGTCCAGCGGCGCAAAGTTCGAGGGCTTCAAGAGCGCCAAGCAGTTGCTCGCCGGCCCGCCCAAGAATCTACCGAAGGGTCAAACCACGGTAACCTCGTTCTTTAAGAGGGCGTCCGAGGAGGAGGACGCCGGCGGCGAAACGCCACCGTACGACCGACCGAACAATCTGAAATCGCTATTCGGCGACGAGTCGGAACCGGAACGAACTCCCAAGGCGACGGAGGAGCCCATGGCGATGACCCCCAACGAGCCCGAGGAGGTTCCGGACAGCGATTTCACCTCGTTTAAAATCAAATCGAGCGCGCCCGAAAGCGTCACGTTCGAGAGAGGCGAGCTCAACAACGAGTACAAAAACCCAGACTTACCGGTGGCTAGCGTCGCAAGGGAGGAGGCGAAACGGAAAGTGGAGGAGGACGATTCGGTTCAGGCGGAGAAGAAGCACAAGATGTCCGACTCGGAAATAGACGCCATTATAATGAACAAGCGGCGCGACAAAAAATCCAACGAGAAGCCGGCGCCCAAAATGAAGAAGACAGAGGTCGGGTTGCTAGTCGTCAAGCTGCTAACGCCCGCCTACGCCGAGCGACGGTTCGATTCGCGCGACACCTTCAAGACGACCGCAAGGAACATATCGCACGCTCTTCTTCACAAAGGTAGGCTAAATCGAGCGATCACCCCTCCCCGATAACACCCTTCTGTTTCAGACGAGGCGGAAATAAAACAGTTCGTCAAGAAATTTTTACGAAATAATCAGAAGATCACCGCCGGCACGACCGTATGATTGTAACGCGTAACGCAGCATCTTATTTATATCGTACCTGTAGATATATATTTTGAACTACCGTTTGCAGATTTCTCAAATGGCCCTCGACGGGTCTTTCTAACCGTGTAAATGCCCTTCAATCTCAATAATTTTACTTGAAACACGCAAGGAGAATGATTTAAGTGTACGATTTAATTTTATTGTATGTACCTATTCATTTTTTTTATGTTTAGGCTAATATTAAAGGTGTACAAATTTTGAACCTCATTACTTGTTTTTTTTTTATAGGGGACAGATTTTCTTCGAATTTCCAACGAATTTTTGCCTTATATCACGCATTGCACATGAGCTAAGGCACGAAAGGATCCGAGCCCTCGAACTTTAGTGGTGTAGCATCCACAAACAAGGACCGTCATACCTATTGGCGACGCCTCATTGATTAATATTCTCAGTTTAGCCTGTTCACATGCACAAATCCAATGGAGACATCTGAAGAATTGAGTGAAATTAAAAAATGGAAGAAATTTTAAGATACGATGACGCACACACTTTTTAGCGCTGGCAACCGCGCAACTTTAGAAGAGCCTTGGTTTAAAGCCCGGAAGTTTAAATAGAAATGACAAAATAAACTTTGAAAACGGTAGTTCACCGAATAGAAATAGAAATAGACTGGAGAAAAAAAGAACTTGCCAATAAAAAACCAGCCGTCAAATTAATATTAAATTTTGTAGTAAAATTAATTGTTTGTAATGATGTAAATGCGTAACATAAAATTATAACATTACAAAAAGTAGCATGTCGACTTCAAGAGGTAACATATAGGTTAAAAACAAATTTTGGGAATTACGAATCAGGTATAAGCAGGTACCAAGATTCTAACAAAGGGTGAAATACACATGATGTGACTCATCTTAGGCAAATTTAACTAAAAACAAGATATGTGGAAATTATTGAATCGCCACTCATTTATCGCACATAGATTCTACACTGAAGAGCTTTGATTAGCGTAATCCCGCTCCTGCGAGATAGGTAACCCGCTCCTGGTTTCGAAGTTTTGAGCCTAGAGTTGAATGTCAAAGACAATCACGGAATTAGGTGTCGTACTTCAATTTTGACTACAGTTTTTACCACCCCCGTGACTGCTTCATTCACGGAGAAAATTGTTAGTAACAAAAAGTCAACACATACATCAAACAAATCGGTAATATCCACATATTAAAATAAAATTATCAAAACTTATATGAATGTAACTTCAGGGGCAAGACCAAGTAATCAACATTAATAAACATAAATTAAGCAAGCATTACACCAAAAACGTAAACAATTACAAACAATAGCATAACGGTATCACACATGTGATTGTGCATTACGGTTAAACCAAGTAAATTTCGAAAAGAAAGATTGAAACAGGCACAAAAATATAAAATGCGGCATACAAAACACAAATACGATATGAAGAAATGTAAAAATTACTACCTGCATTAAATAACAACAAACATTTATGGAGCGGAGCGTCCACGACTTCGCCATTCAAGACAAGATGCCCAAGGTAATCCCCGTTCGTGCTTTTTAGATGGCGCAGGCAGCTTTTTCCCACCTAGAAATTGCATGGTTGCCAACTCAAAAATGTATGTATGGTCTCGTCGTAAGTTGTATATACAGGGTGGAACCTCTCAGAGCTTTCAGCTGCTTTTATCTATGAGTTTTCTAAGGGCAAAGAAAGCCTGCAATTAGTTTTTATAGTATTTGAACTTCGATCTTCAAATCCATAACCACGAATCTCGAATCTGGAACCTTGAAAGTCACACGTGAATCTTGAGAACAAGTTCGTGATATGTCACTCGTGGATCGTGACTCGTCAATATGGAATCGCCAATCGTGGTTCATGAATCTTGAATCTCGAATTCGGAATTTCAGGGATCTACCTAGAGGTCTTGAATATAGTAAAATACACTTTGAATTTCAAAACCTTGGTTCTAGAAGTTTTGAATCTAGAAACCCTGGATTCTGGTTTGGTGTTGAATTTCTTGACGATTTTTTTTTTTTTGTAATTTTAAGTTGCTCATTAATTCCCGGGTTTCTTTCTTTATGCCTTTCTATTTTATGTTGACCTTCTCCTACACGCCTTTGGGTTTCTTGTTGAACCTGGATAAATGTTTACATCGTACTCGTCAATTGCTGTACGTCTCCTTGGTCCTGGCTTGATTTGCATCTTCGATACCTTGTCTTCTTCTTGTTTCTGTTCTTCAGCTGAATATCGTGATGTAAGCAGCGAACCACCTCGTTAGTCATCCCCTTCTTCAAAAATTTGCTTTTTTTTTGTGGTAACCCGTACGTGTCCGAGGGAGTAAGATGCTGACTTACTTTCGCGTAATCTGATCACAAAATCCATTCATGGTCTTAGTTCGAGCCCAAATTTGGGCGGCAACTTGTAACAGCTGGTTATAATGTAAATAGAATTGATTTTATTTTTAAAATTGAAGTGTTTTTGTTAAATTTCATTATGCCTGATAAGTTTCTAATAATGTAGAAGTACGCCACTGCCCACGTACGTACGTAGATTGGGAGCAAACTTTTTATAATTGTAGCAATTCTTTGCAAAAATTGTAGTTATGTGTTTTAGACAAAATGTCCACCCCGTATAATCCGTATAACAATCGCAATAATTCCAAGAGGTCACGTTCGGGGGCGCTATTGTCGCTTTTGCGATCCATCTAGGGAATTTGCTAACTTCAGTTTTGTTATTGTCACTTTGTAAGTTAACCTCAAACAAATCGATTTTGTAAAATTATTAAAACTAACAGTAAATTTCACAATGAATTCACGCTTCGATAACCATAAACATTACAATGACAGACGTCCATTCAAGCGAAAGGGAAGACACCCGTACAAGCACCGTCCGGATACCACGAAGTACGGAATAATCCATCGAGTCCGCACACAGACCGGTGTTCGATCACAAATCGTTCTCGTTTACAATCCCCAATTGTACGAGCCTATATCGGTCTTAAATAACGCGACTCAACGTTTCAAGGGGCAGATTCAAATTCAAAACAGTGGACCAGATCCTAACGATAAGTGAGTTTTGCGAGTTCGCGGTTGCGGGTAATGATGTTGGTTTTAGAAGCCGTTCGTGCTTTTCGTTGAACGTTAATAATGAACGAATATCGCACGGCTCATACTTGCAGGAGAGCACGGCGAAGAAGCATCTGTACGAGTTGGCGATTGAAAATTTGAGGAAGACATGCTTCTCAATACTTCGTGTAAGTGTACTGTATCAGGTGGACGTACATTTCCACCTCTGTCCATTCTTTTTTGTTTTTTCACGAGCTTCTTATATCCATGACACCCCTTCCTTCTACAATGTGAGTCTGTGCCCTTCTCTTTGCTTTTAGTTGTCTTTTGTCACCCATTCTTTGTAAAAGTCCAAACAGGAAAATAAGATCACAGAATGTAAGTCTGTCTGTCTTTCAAATAAGAGTTGATTATAAATACAATCCACACATTGTGATGTAAACATTTTATACATAAAGTAGCTATAATTGTATAGTGACGTCATTTGGAGTTATGACGTCATCAACACTTTAATCTTAACCCCTTGTATATGTTTTACTGTTTAAATTGAACACACTATATTTTAACAGGTTTTGTGACCTCCAGCGTACTCATTTTGTCGGTTGGCTCAAATATTTCAATTAAAAAACCATTTTATAGTGACGTCATTTGTAGTTATGACGTTATCAGAACTATTAATCTGAGCACCTTGTGACATCATCAATATTTTATTGAATGGAACGATATATTTTTTACTTTGTTTAATTGAACACACTAAAAAGCTGTGGAGATTATTGAAGGCTTTTGATTTGGTGATTCATGAAGGGTTCTCAAGGTCTGAAGACTCCTTTTGAGGACTCTTTGCTGAAGTTTCTTGATAGACCTCTTGAAGTCCAAGAGTTTTCGTTCATTTATGCTTTGTAGAAAACCTTACCACGCGACAGTCCTGCAGTTACCTTGGATTCGAGTACAAGTGACACAAACGTCCAACCCCAAACCGCTGTAGGCGGAATCGGCGCGAAAATGATGCTCAAAATGGGCTGGGCTGGCGGCGGTCTCGGCGCCCAGGCCCAGGGTATAACGGACATCGTGCAACCCACCCAGCAGATTGAGAGGAAAGGTTTCGGTACCCACATCACGATTCCCATTGACAAGATACGCGAAATCCTACAAGGCTACGTCGAATCGGATAACATCAACGGGATATCGTTTTCGCCCGATTTCACGAAGGAAGAACGCTCCGTCATCCACTCGTAAGTCGGAGCGGAAGGCGGACGGGCGGGTTAACAGTGCGAGTTTCAGGGTCGCGCAGAAGATGAACTTGAAATCGACGAGTTACGGAACGGGAGCGGATCGCCGCCTGGTCATACAGAAAAAGCTTGACCCGTGGCAGCTAGTGCATAAGCTTTTGGAGGTTGGGGGCGAAAACGAACAATATCAATTAGTAATGCCGACGGAGTTTGTAAATAAATGAACTTTTAATTTGTTGTCAATTTTTTAATTTAACTACGCTGCGCTAAAGTACCTACTCTGAAAGAGGCCAGAAGACTCCTTGAAACAGCTTAAGGTAATAAGTGGATTAGGAAGGTTGAGATGTTCGATTTCAGAATTCAAGCTACGTGTACCGTTGGCGTAAATAGAGACACCGTCTCACAGGCTGAAAGTACTTTAACCTCGAAAAACAATGCAGTAAACCAAGTTGTTTATATGAATGGAATATTGTCTTGAATTAGCTTTGCTGAGGTTGCAGATTTGGTATAAGCGTGACTTTTGCTTTTGGCTTCAGCGAGTACACTTATTTTGCGTTAATTTCCCAATTCAAGTTTTGTGCAGTAACAAAAGGTAATGCACTTAGTTGTGTAGGTATTAAAGGGGGTAAGGGTTGGTATTTTTAACAAGGGAAGTAGTTGAAGCTGTGACACTGCCCTACAACTGTAACAGGCTCAGTTGTAAGTTATCTCTTAAGTCAGCGCCCCTACGATCCTTTCACGTGTTACATTAAAAATTAGCACTGAGTGGATTTAATGAATCTTACTATTGACATTACAAAATAACACCCTGTATATTTATACAATAACATTTTAGAAATAATACGCCCCCCTGCATTTAATAACAAATTATATACACATATTACAATAAATGAAGAAAAAAATCGCCAATTATTTCTGTAGAATTCTATGCATCTCCTTATTTTGTTTCACTATCGTAACATCGGCCACATCCGTTTTTTCGATAATATCGCCGATAAGATCATTCTGAGAGTCGATCTCGTAGGAGAGGTCGCTCGCCAATCCCTTCAATTTGGAAATCGAACTGTGCATCTCTTGTAAGTTCGCGTCTAGCCTGGCGCTGAAGTTCTTACTCGACGAGCCCTGCTGAAACGAGTCGGGCTCGGGGTTTCGCAGGCGCGTGGTCGGGTGGTTCTCGTACCGATCGTACTCGGACACCTTATTTTCGATTATGGTGGAGTTGGTGGTCTGAAAGCGTCAAGATTCGGATATTATTAATAGAGCTCCTATCATTACCTGCGTGTTACTAGAGCCGGTGCTTATACTCGGACTGGAATCGTTACGACCCGAAATGTAACTCTTAAGGCTGCTAAAGACGGATTTGATGCCGTTGATGTGCTTCTGCGAGAATCTCAGCGTTTGATTGATCTCGTCGAGCCGCTTGTCGGTGCGTTCGAGCTGCTCGCGTTGTCGCATGAGCTCCTCGGCGGTCGCGATGCCGACCTGCTCCGAATCCCTGAGCAGGCTTATGCTGCGTTCCGTGCTTTTGATCGTGCGGTCCTCGATCTCCTGCTTGCGTTCGATGAACGACTGCTTCTGCTCCTCGAAGCTGGGAGGCGGATTGTAGGAATGTCTCGAGTTACGTAGGAACGTTTCGTCGTCCACATCATCAAATAATTTATTGTTACCTATATACTTATGGCCCGACATTTTCAGATCAATTATCTTTATTAATTATTGATTCATTGGAATTATTTATTATTAACAAAAGGATTGAGTCAACTGTCACTTGACATGACAACACAACCAAAAATTCGTGTTGTGGCAACCCTGCGGTTTAGTTCAAATGAGTATTAGTTCGAATGCATCGTAAACATGCCATGAAAATAAACAATGGCAGGCAAAGGTAAGGAGATTAAAAAAACTCGTGTAGACGTTCTCATCACATTCAGGCAGGGTGGAATTATGTTGCAGGAGTTCCCGAGACCGACGAACAGCAAAGGTTACGTTTCCAGATCGAGCTCGAGTTCGTGCAATGCCTAGGTAACCCCAACTACTTGAACTGTAAGCGCTTCAATCTCACATTCCCAGATTACCCTCCCTCAGTTTTAGCACAGCGCGGATATTTCAAAGACAACACCTTCATCAATTATTTAAAGTACTTGCAGTATTGGAAGGAGCCCGACTACGCGAAGTACCTAAAGTACCCGATGTGCTTGTATTTCCTGGACCTGTTGCAATACGAGCACTTCAGACGAGAGCTCGTTAACGCGCAGTGTACAAAGTTTATAGACGATCAACAGATCTTATTATGGCAGCACTACACGAGACGACGAAGCCGGCTATTGCAGAGTAACGTGACGAACGGAACGACGGCCGAACAAACGCTAAACAATCAAAATAGTACGCAAAGTAATGGACATGTGAATGCGAAGATTAGTTAAATTTACTCGTAGTTTGCTAATTTTAGTTTAATTAATTGAAGCAAGTTATTTTATTAAATGGGGTTAAATTGCCTTGTATGTCTTGTTCAATTTCATGATGGGGTTATTGTAAGGTGCTTGCTGTCCGCTTCCTTCTCTTGTTTTCTATCCATCAGACAAGGCCATGGAAGTTCTCCTTTTTTGGCTATAATTGGCAGCAGTTCACGGAGCATGTAATGTATCTCGGTGACAATTACTTCGAGCAGCAGTTGGTACACTTCACATAGATACTCCGGAGACACCCCAACAGGTAACCGATAGATGGCAGTCTAAACTGCCTAACCTTACAGTGACTTTTTTTTTTTACTAAAGGCACTAAATATGCTAAAGACGCTCCATTAACACCATACCATATCGTAGAGTATTTTTGGGGAGCTGTAGGGTATTCAGATCCACCGGTACTATATTCTTGCTCAAAATGTGCAGCCCTAAGGGTTATTGTTAAGTTTTCCATAAGGGACCATCGAATCTTCCCTTTCTAAGGAGCACCCCTGCCCACAGTCTTCCGGTGTTACGTTCCATGGCCCTTTTTCAACAAATATGCTACAATCTGGGGTGTTATGTAATATCCCCTAGGAAAGAAATAAGATTCATGTTCACTTTCTAACACATATATTGATTAGAGTCTTTGGGAGTTGGGAGCTAAAACTTCTTTTCCTAAAAAGCACCCTACCACTCATACTTCAGGTGTTACATTTGATGGTTCCTTTTTAAAAATTATGCTACTAATGCTACAAGCACTAAATCAATTGGGGAAGAATGTAGAACCGGCGGGTCTGGAAAACCCCCCCGAAAAAAAGGAACGTTATTTACAAATCGAACATTGTACAGAACACCCTGTATACTACATCACAATAAGATACCTTCAATAAAACGTTGGTGAAATGAAATTTGGATTAAAATGTATTCGTGATTCCAACATGTCGTAATGTCTACAGAAATTGTACAAGAACACCCTGTATACTCAACTGAATCATACATCAACAGTGTCTCAATTTCGTGGAAAGTTCACGAATTGAAGTTTGGAATAAAAATATTTTAGATTTCGGATTGACGGACAGATTGACCTCTACCAAGGCTCAAACGTTAATTTAATAAACGTGATTACTGATTTATCCGCTGACGCCTTCACGCTCAATTCCCAAGAAAGCTATCTATTATTAGGAACCGCATGCGCTTGACCCTTTGGTCGATCAAAATTAAATGCCCTACCGCTATCTCTTTTGGACGCGTCCCTACTTTTTTATAAGTTTACAAATCCCGCCTACAAAATGGTGCTAATCTTTTATCATTAACCAATCGTATTTGTTTCATTAACTTATAAAGGCAATCTATCAAATGCCACCCGATTTACAGTAGTTCGCGATTCCATATCACGATTAATCCTAGCAGAGTATATTTCGGAAGAATGTCTAGACCATTTCATAGTAGTTGTAATGTGCTTCCAATTTTAGGGATTTGACTTCCATGTTCAATTCGCTAGCTGTTTCTACTGTTGGTCGAAACTGACCCCACTGACGGGTGACTGGTCCCTCGTTCGGAAAATAAGACTGTAAAATCACAGGTGGTGCAGATTTTGTTTGTTTGTGTTACATTACAATTACGTTTAAATACGGCATTATTTTAGCGACTTACAACAGTTTGCTTTGATATGGCGCTCGTAAATCCCCAACCGCGGTTAAAGATCGAAGCAAATATGTACATAAAAGTATAATTTAAAATAAGCGTCGAATCTGCTTATTCAAGTGCGAACATTTTATTAACCGCCCGAAAAAGTATTTTGTGCGCGGGACATTTACACTCTATTTACGGCCAGTCTCGCGGTACCGGGATACCAACTGATAAAAAGGAAAATTCGCCATAAACATTTTTTATATCCTTACCAATATTCCGGTCGGCTTTATCAGACCAAATTTGCGAGATCTCCTTGTTTACAAAACGGAATTGATTTCCTTTTGTTATTAAATCCGCGCTTTGCGAGGCACGCAGTTTTTCCGCTTCGTAATTAGACGGAATTCGGGGGAGGGTGCGCTATGTGGTGGGCAAGCTTGCGGATGATGGAGTGGCAGAGGATGGTGGAAAGAAATATGGTAAGCTAAAAGAATAACGAATCTGTTGGAGATCTGCCAATTTCGCTAGATTGCCATATAATAAATATAATAGATGAGGAAACGCCACATTATTTGCTTTCAAAAAACAGAAAACACTTATTATACATTTCACCCTCAGATGATTTGAGCTGACTTTAAATAGCTATTAATGCAGCTGAGAGCGAACCAGTGTATTGTTATCTCTGTAAATAGCGTTATCTTTTATTAGTATTCAGAAGTAGTTCGTTCAAACAAAAGAAACCGTAACGAGGGGGCAGTTACCTGTCGCGTGGGTGAGGGTCTCACTATTTCATCAATTTCGCCAATGCCGTATGATCTCAGTGGTAGACAATCTTTTTGGAACCTGAAATCCAAATATAGTAGTTCTAGCATGTTAAAAACGTATAATCAGCCACGTAAATGCATTCGAAAACACACGGGGGTGTTCTAAAGGGTTCTTCAAAAAATCTTTTGCAATTTTATTCCAAAACACCTGCAAAGTTTCAAAAAAATTATTAGATTGCATTGAAATCTACCCTCAAATTTTCTAAAAATGCCCCAAAAAGATCTAGAGTTCTGTCTATGCCTCCAGCAGCTTTTGGAATAACCTTGAAATTCCTTAATGTTCTCGAAGAATTCTTAAATCTTTTTGCGAACTTCTAAAATGTTTGATGGTTCTTTGAATATCTCCCGAAATCCTAAAGATGGCACTGCGGCACGCGAGACAAAGAATACTTCCGTTAAATTAAATTAAATTAAATCCCTTTCAAAAAGAGACAAAATGCCAGGTATGCATGTCTTCTTACAACTAACTATCTTTTACGCATGCCTTAAAAAGAGACTTATTTATTAGTCACTGTACCTAACCTGTAAAATTACTAAATGGATCCTGGATACTTTTTAGGGCTCTTGAAAGCTAATTTCAGTATCTTAAAAGCTGTTAAATCTTCTTAAAGTATCTTAGGTGATAGTAGTGCATTAAAGCCGTGCAGCTTCTCTGATGGCAATTAAACTTGAAATAGCCATTTTGTTGATCATCACAATACCATTGCCTTCATTTTGTGGTTCTGAGCTTCACAATTTTGATGATGTATGCAAACTGTGATACACCCCTGTATGTACCTCCTAGCAACCGTTCTCCCTAGGATGTGTATCTTCTATTTTTAAATGTTTTTTTCGAAACCTCTTAAATCGCTCCCAATTGAACATCATGTTGTTACGCCACTGCACTAAATAGAAGGTATGAATTTTCACGTTTTGCAGTTGGCCACCCTGATTTACCTTTTCCATTAAAAAAAAATAGATTTCAATTTGTTCCTCTTTATGTGGGGGGATCCTGTGATTTTCTAGAACCTATTCCCAAAATTAGAGCATGTAGATTACAATAATCAATGAATAGTTTATAGCACTTGTAAAGCTCAGGTATTAATTAGGAAATTGTAATCGAATTTGTAATAAATTAGTTGTGTCCAGTCATTGTCGTCGCAGGCAATTTGTCAAAATGGCAGCCACTAAAAGACTACAAAAAGTGAGTACAACCACCTCGATTTTTTCCTTTCGCCTAACGAAACGTCTTGCAGGAATTAGTAGATATTAGAAATTCAGGATTAAAGTCATTCCGTGATATTCATGTCGACGAGACGAACATCTTAACTTGGCAGGGCCTTATTGTACCCGACAATCCACCTTACAATAAAGGCGCGTTCAAAATTGAAATCAACTTTCCGGCGGAGTACCCGTTCAAACCGCCTAAAATCAACTTCAAAACGAAGATATATCATCCGAACATCGACGAGAAGGGTCAGGTGTGCTTGCCGATTATTAGCGCCGAGAATTGGAAACCGGCGACGAGAACGGACCAAGGTAAACACAGACTGCCGCTCTTGCGCGATGTTTGATAATGCGCCCGTTTTACAGTGATCCAAGCGTTGGTAGCTTTAGTTAACGAACCCGAGCCCGAGCATCCTCTACGCGCGGACTTGGCCGAGGAGTATTTAAAGGATAAGAAGAAGTTTACTAAAAACGCCGAAGAGTTTACAAAGAAACACAGTGAGAAAAGGCCTGCCGAATAAAACTTACTTTTTAGTGTTAATGATTAGTGATACTCCACTTGCGCGGGCGAATTTCTTGTCTTATTAAAAAGTACGCAGTTGCGGTTTAGTTCTCTTACTTATGTAAATAAGTGAATTGTTTGCTTTCTCACTAATTTTCAGCCTAATTTACTCTTTTTAGAAACTGTGGAGGTCCGTGTTGACTATGTTCTTTCACAAATGTGTTGTAGTAATTAAAATACACTATATGAACTGCTGTTGATTTTATTTATATAATGTAATCGTTCAGAAAATAAAAAATACGTTCACATACATCGAGGACGGAATTATTTCACAATATGGGCCTCAGTTGTGCAACAGTGTACAGGACTTTTTTTTTACTTACAAACTAATTTTGTCTTCAAATTTTTCACAATTTCTTCCTTGTCCTGTTAAAATTATTTTGAAACATAAAATCCTCTTAGTGAATTTATTTGGTAAAAATCTCTTCCAACCCTCTTTCATTGCTACTGAATTGTTCGGGAAATTGTCTTAAAATCCCGCCACACTTTTCCTTGAAATAATCTGGCAACTATGTCAACGATCTCATTGGAATTTGCCTGAAAAAATCTACTCAAAACTGAAAATTTCTTACAATTTTATTGTGAGAATTCCCTTGTAAATCTCCAAAAGTTTTTAGGAATTGTCCTGCTATGTTGATTAGGTATATTAAGAGATGCAGTGGACATCAGAGACTACCAAAATATAGCAAAGACTCTTATATGTCTCTAAAATTCATAGAAAATCGATTGAAAAGTGAAGTTTCCTGAAAAATTATGGACTGATGAAGGACTGGCAGAAGCACAGATTACTTATTATTCGACTCCGAGTGACACTCGAGAACCAAACAACATGGAATGGACCGAGTTTTCTCTCAGTTGAGGTAAATTATCGCATGAATGCTAAACGTTTCTGTGGAAAGATATAGCACGGTGAGGGGGTTATAAAACACCCCCAGCAGTTAATTTGTGAGAAAACCCCATCGAATTTACTCTACTCTTGTGGGAGTGCCATACCCCCCAGCACTACGAAGATTAGATTACACTTATGATCAAGTCCTCCTTTCTGAGAGAGTACCTCTGGGGGTATTCCATACACTCCAGGCCCCGGCCTGCAATGGAGTTGCTATATTATTCCATTCCGCATAAACGTCTGTTTTGCAACTGAACTTTTTGTTTCATATGTGTATCTGAATAAATTATTGTCAATGTCAATCAATTAATTGTGCGTTTATTCGAATCCTTTGTGCGACCCAGATAATTTTCATGTCATATTTTTAATTTCGTGCCCAACATCTTCAGATGTTGTATGTTCTTGTATTCAGAGTTTGAGTGCTTTGTCGATCAGACAGTAAACGCAAAAGTGAGGCTTTACTAAAAGGTTTTCCAAATAGCCGCTAAATTGAGTTATCCGCCACCAAAAAGCCACATTACAATTGAAATTACAGGATCACTTTGAGATGTCTCCCTTTAAATACCCTGCATATTTCAACGTCGGATGCAACCGGTCAAGTAGTTGGAGATTCTGGGGACATGAGCCACCGCCATCACCACCTGTCGATATTTGCATGTTTGGTAGTTTCCGGAGGATGTTTGGGGATTGGAGTGCTTATGGCGTCGGATCATCACTTGTTATTTGTTAAAGCTTGTTGGTGGTGGCTTTATTGTATTTTGAGTTGTATTCATAGAGTTTAGCTTTGTTTTTGGTGTTTGTGAGTGCAACCACTTTGGTGTCGGGTAAAGTATTTTATGTAGTTTACTCTTATGTACTTATATGAATTGTGCCATTTGTTAAATCAGATATTTTCCATCTACCATTGTGCTAATATGTAATTTACAACATGCGAGGTGTTAACTAATATCCATGTGCTTGTGGAAGTCTACGATATCTCAGGTTTAGACCACGTTTAACTCAGTTACACGGTGCACGGGGGTGTACCTATGTAGAACCTCGACTTCCGTGAAGTAGGGCATGCAATGCTAGGTGTATTTAGTTTAGGGTGACTCGTAACATTCGCGAATGTGTGTGCCTTGTTGTATGTAACTAATATCTTTCTACCGTGAGAGGGAGCTCGGACGCTAGAATAGAAAGGTGTTCTAGAGCTAAGGCATAAAAGGATCCGAGGGCCCTCGAAACTCCAACTTTAGGGATGAAGTGCTGTAACAAAGGCCATCCTGCCCATGGGCGGCGACCCATCTCTTAACCACCTTCAGTTTTGTGTCGTTACGAGACCGATGTCCGGGGAGTGTTACGAAGCACAGGTAGTAGTTCCGGAAGTCTGGGGTTTATACCAATGTCATTATGTGGAAACTGAGCATAATTGAGGGCCCCACGAGCACACTGTGTATTGTCATAACTGCCTATTGTTACGTCACAACATGAATAATAGATCAGACATGTTTTTACAAACTTCACACCACCCTATTCGATATACAATGATACGAATAACTAGTAAGGTGACTTATATCAATAAATGCGTGAATGTGTTGCCCCTAACAATCTTAACTGCGCTACGGGCTGATAGGCAAATATGCCGGCCCAATTCCTAACAATATAACCGTGAAACAGGAGGGCAATCAAGCTAAGACGCTTGCCCTAACCTAACAAATAACCAGGTTCACCATCCAATGACTAACTAAAAGTGAGTTACATTCTAGCCGCGATTAAAGAAAAGTACATGACATGTTGTGACGAATACTGTATGCATACTGTTCAAACGTACCCTGCTACTCGAATTCATTCATTAATTAAGGTAGTGTTACATGTTCTGCTTAGGTGGTTGGTGTTTTAATTTGCTTGTGATTAGCATAGTTTGGGTTTTATTCAAGGCCAAGGTTTTTTCTCAAGTCGCGCTCTTTTTCTCCTTGGTAGTCTGCTTTTGCGAGAGTGCGGCACCTTTAGGTTTTGCTTGCTTTGCTTTTAATGTACCACATCCAAATTCCGGGTTTTTCAGAATAAGTTTATAATAAATAAACTCGCAGACATTACAGTGATTTATTTGAGTGTTCCTGCCCGACTGGGTCCCGAGTCATTGTATTAGCTTCGTGTAACGTAAGGGGACCCTACCGTAGACGATCCAATCACGTGCCATTCTTTTGTTTGAATTTTAGGCGGGAACCGTGCTTTGATACTGGGATTGCAACGTTGCCACTTTTCCGTGAAATCTGTCATTTCCATTTCGAGCCTGGGGGTGGGTTAAGATCAGTACAAAAGTTCGTCGATTAAATTAATTTTGTTTGTCAATGCTCAGCTAGGTGTTTAATCGAGCTCAAATTACTCCCAGTTCTCAAACGAAGTTCTATGGGTATCCGGGGCGTTTAAATAAACATTTGTAACTTCTCTGGAATTGTGGAGAAGCGACCAAGGCTGCTGAGCTTCTCATGTAATTAAATATAAGTCGTGCCTTGGAAAATTTACAATCAAAATTTTCACGTAAAAGGTGTCCTTAGTTTGAGTTTAAGTAAGCTAACTGGACAGGTGTTTATGGGGGTTGCTCCACTAAAGATATTGGAAACGTATATGTTATATTGGACACTCCTTGTATACTGAATTCAGTCTGAGAGGTTCCACCCTATATGTACAACTTACGACGATACATGACCTGAAGCACAGTAGGGAAGGAACGTAAAATGTAACACTGAAATTGTGAAAAGTTTGTTTAATAATGATCGCAATTATTATTGCTTGTAAAAGCTCGGAAATTTAAGTCCAAAATAAATTACATTGCAAAAATAAACTTTGAAAATGGTAGTTCACTGAATAAAAATAGAAATAGGCTAGGAAAAAAAGAACTTACCAATAAAAAACCCAGCCGTCAAATTAATATCAAATTGTGTAGTAAAATTAATTGTTTGTAGTGATGTGAATGCATAACATAAAATTATAACATCACAAAGAGTAGCAGGTAGGCAGGTACCAAAATTCTAATAGCGTTTTCGATTGGCAAAACTCGTGCTGCACGAGTGCAATTTTTACGTTCTATTGGTAATTTTAGGGCAATTTTCTGTGTTCCATTGGCAAATGTGATGCAACAATTACGCACTAAATGCAATGTTTGACGCACGAGGTCGGAGAGCTCGTGGAGCAAATTTTCAAAATAAAAGTGCGCCAATTTGAATTTGTTTCTTGCGTTGGAGAGTTTTTTGTTGTCATCTAGCGATAGCGAAGATCATGAACTAGCCATATAACTTCTACTTTACAAAAAGTTGCATTTACTCTTTAAAGTGAACGCCAAAAATTGGTTCTTTACAGGAATTTCAAATTTATATTCCTCATTGTTTATCATAAATAATAGTGAAATCGTTTCAGTCATTTTTTAGAATACAGATTTGTCGATTACATAAATCATTGTATAAATACAAATCTAAAATGAGGTTATGGACAAATGACAGCAAATATTTACGAATATTTATGTTCCATTGAGAGCAATTTTCACATGGATTTCTTCAGTCTCTCGTGCAACACTCGTGCAGTACGAGTTTTGCCAATCGAAAACGCTATAAGAAAGGATGAAATACACAGGATGTGACTAATCTTTGGTGCAATAAAGTCCTTTTGTTAAAAGCAAGATGGAAAATTACATGGCCTTGTAGGCAAATTTAACTAAAAACAAGATATGTGGAAATTATTGAATGGCCACTCATTTATCGCACATAGATTCTAAACTGAAGAGCTTTGATTAGCGTAATCCCGCTCCTGCAAGATAGGTAACCAGCCCCTGGTTTCGGGGTTTCGAGCCTACAGTTTCATGTCGAAGACAATCACGGAATTAGGTGTCGTAGCTCAATTTTGACTACAGTTTTCACCACCCCCGTGACTGCTTCATTCGCGGAGAAAATTGTTAGTAATAAACAACAAGTCACAAGTCAACATCAAACGAATCGGTAATTTCCACATATTAAAATAAATTGATTAAAACTTATATGAATGTTACTTCAGGGACAAGACCAAGTAATCATCATCAATAAACATAAATTAAGCTAGCATTACACCAAAAACACAAACAATTACAAACAATAGCATAACGGTATCACACATGTGATTCTGTATTGCGGTTAAACCAAGTAAATTTCAAACACAAAGATTAAAACATGCAAGAACTATAAAATGCGGCATATAAAACACAAATACGATATAAAGAAATGCAAAAATTGCTACCTGCATTAAATAACACAAAATAACAACAAACATTTGTGGAGCGACGCGTTCACGACCGCCATTCAAGACAAGATGCCAAACGTAACCCCCGTTCGTGCTTTTTAGATGGTGCAGACAGCTTTTTCCCACCTAGAAATTGCATGGTTGCCAACTCTCGAAAATGTATGTATCATTGTAAGTTATATATACAGGGTGGAACCTTTCAAAGCTGAACAAATATTGGGCAGAAGCGCGCATGCGCAGATGTGTGGGTGGTATCTGTGCTAGCCCATAGTAATTTTTGTTGTGAAATTGCACTGTTCACAATTAAAAAGTTTGGAAATATTATACGTTAGACGATCATTCTTTTACTCATCCTTATTGCTGGTTGCATAATATTGCACTGACCACATTTAAAATTTTTGAAAGTAGGTAACGTGATAAAATGGGACATTTAAAAACTAATCCTTGCTCTTTAAGGAGTAATTACATTTACTTTCACAGCCATAAAAACTACATTATTGATTACTTTTGGCGATGGTAAATAAACAAACTGGCGGTCTTATCCCACCGATAGTAATTACAATGTGCTGCCACCAGAGGTCTCAGTGTTAATCTGAATCGCGAATATTCTGAGAAACCCTGTACCTACGTCTTTCGGCAAGATAAAAAATATTCAAATTTCCAAAATCTGGAAAATGTCAACGAACTTTTAAAAATGCAAACAAAAAATTCTATCTTCTGCAAAATTAGGACATGACACCTTCAAATAATCAAAGATAAGTAATGCAACTCATTTGCATCTCGCCCGCACAACCTGAGAACAGTTAGTACTCAATAACTACATTTTTATTAATTAGTGGGTGACCTACATCTCGTTAAGGCAAGCTAACTGTACCTGCATACTTTGCATGGAGGAAGCCCCTTCATTTTAATAAGCGACAATGACTGCACAAATGATAGTCTTGTGCTACCCACACACGGATCACCATGCAGGTGCATCACAAGATTTTGACGGTGCTAACTTTCGCGATCACTATTTTCACATTATGCACCGGTGCGAAAACCAGCAGGAAACTAAGGAAGGGGCTGTTGCGCCAAAAGGAAACGAATCCCGTAAACTTCATTAGGTTCGTACCTTTCTTCTCTACGCAATTTCTAGTTTCCGTTCCAGGTTAGTCGTGATGAGGTTAATTTACGGCATGGCCACACGTATGGGTTTCGGTGAGAATATTTCGGAAGCGCTCAACGGCGCCTTTGTACCACCGGGAGTCGAGGAGGATTACGATTTTGATTTATCCGATCAAGACGACTACGACTTCTAAAAACGGACCGTGAAGAGTGCCTCATCGTACCAAAGATTCTATTTATTTAAATTATTGTTAATCGGAATCAGACATAGCAATATCGTCGGTTATATCTTTACTTATAACTATATTTGTGTTGCCGTAACAACCTCTGTATTTTCGAATTAAATCGCCCCACAAGTACGACTCGTTACATCTCGGGCACCGTCCTTCGATTGGCACGTACTCGCCCGGCTCGAGGAACGACTTGGACAGACACACAATGTGGCTTACTAAATCACAATCGGGGCTAAGACACACTAACGGCTTCTCGTCGATGTCGCCCGAGCACACAACACAAGTTGAGCTTTGATTTGGGCCGTGATCGCCCGAGCCACACTTCAATTTCTTGCTGACCACGGGTCCGTAGCACACGGGCATGTGAAACGGCGGCAATTTGTCACTCTAAAAATTGACAACGTAAGACTCGGCGTGCGCTCACGAGAAACTACCGGAAAGTCACGTGCAAACTCCTGATTTAGCCAGCGTATCGTTAGCGGCAGCCGTAGCCACGGACCCACACGAAACATTTCGGCGAGCACGCGGAGGGCGTAATCGTAGACTGTCTCGCGCGCCTTCTTCCTCGGCAGATGACTGAGACGTCGAGAACGATTCGGATGTTGCCAGGCCCACTCGAACTACCTCAAATTGCGGGAACCGAGTCAATTCGGAAGCGGTCTATACGTACCCGTAGTGCTGTGATGTCGTTGGGAAAGCCGTGCACGATTAACACCATCGTCCTGTAATTTTCTAAGCGTTAGCCGAAAATGCGCGGCGACGGGATTTACCAAGGGCCCCTTTTGCTTGTTCTCCACGCGCCGCCCGCCTTTTTGCCTTTGTTGTGCTGTTTAATTCGTCGATTTGGGTCCACTGTGTAGCCGATGTAGGTGCGGCCTTTGTATTTCGGGTTGAGGCAGTACAGCAGGTAGACTCCATAAAATTGCTCAATTGTATGAACATTATCGTCCATCTCACCAAGTTTAAATAAAGCTAAACTAAAACCACTATCTCTAAATCGAAGTAAAACAGGGTTATGTGTCTTATGACAATTGACAGATTTCAGCTTTTATACATAGGGCGCATTCAGGTATGCTTCAAATCGAGCATACGTTTGTTATTTGAAGATTACTTCAATTCAGGGATTTTTCTTTTTTTTCTCAAAACTGCCTTTATTTCCGCTAAAACATAAAACAGGTTCTTTTGCATAAATGGTTCCCTAACTTTCTCATGAAAACATCACTTTTCAAAAAACCTCTCCACCAACTCTACAAAACTAAAACATACAGGGTGCTACCTAAAATCATCCTAACAAATTTTAAAATTCAAAATTCTTATTTGTTCCACACACTACATTTACGCTAACCACTGTTTAAGCTGCATTGGCAACCTCCTGTTTACAATTAATGAGTGAAAGTATTACGTCAACTTTACACAAAGGAATCATTCGCAACGCATTAAATTCGTGTGTAAGTAGTGTCGCCATCTATGTAACAGACGATTGAAGTACAAAAATCGGACCCAATCCTAATGGGGCAAGATACTTTTTTCTGTTCTCCACATAGACGTAATAAAATCAAAACAAAAAAAAATATGGTTATGTTGACTGTCATATAAAAGCACGCCAAATTTTTCTGCGTTAAGTATTAATTTTCATGATTAATTTTTAGTATTGTGAGTGTTACCATTTAATATACATGGCTTAACGTTTAAGGTTGTGAATCAAGGACAATTACACGTAGAATTCAAAAATGCATTCAAATACCGGGGGTTCTATTTAAAAAAATGTACCATTTGGGCGCCCTACTTTGTGGGCGCACCCTGTATAATTCCAAATATTTTTAAAATGTGGAGAATATTCGACCATATCATAATACAAAAGCTCTCTATCGAAAAATCTTATCTTCAAGGCATTAAGTTACTCCGCGCAATCGTTGGCTCACCCTGTACAAGTAGATATATTTTTCTCAGGTCTTTTTTATTAAACTTTTTTTTTAGTGTTATTGTTTAAATCAACATTAGTTGTGCTGTCCTTAGAATTTTGTTGATTAAGTTTTGCAATAACTGTAGGTGTTATTTATTTATTTAATTAAAAAAAAAGGGACTGAGAGTAGGATAGAACATTAAGAAAACATGATGTATAATTTTGAAACGTTTTCCCATTGAGTTCCAAGAGTGTTTCAAAAGTATTTTAGGGAGCTTCTAGAGGATTTCTAGAAGTTATTAAGTCAAGTTCAAGAAAAATTCTTTATGTTTTGCAAGAGGCTTTATGATTCATTTAAAACGAGTAAGCAGCAAACTTTAAGCGTCGTAAGGGAGTTTATAGGATGTTCTTAGAGAGGGTTTTGAGTGCACTTTGAAAGAATCCATCCTGTATATACAACTTACGACGATACATACATTTTTTGAGAGTTGGCAACCATGCAATTTCTAGGCAAAAAAGCTTTTGATTATAGGAAATAAAGTCACTAGATATAGAAAGTACCGCAATCATCCGCCATTTTTGGGCAAATTTGCTACGAACTTAAAAAAATGGACAAATAAAATCTGAATAGCTGTCATTTTTTAACACCTAACTTCATAGTACTGTCATGTTTTATAAAAATATATACAGATATCTCCAAACAGGTGGAACAATCCCTAACATTAAAGTTACTAGATTCTGGTAACTTCGGCCATTTTTGGGCAAAAATCATGCGTTCTCTCTCTAACACACGAGCCCAATGGATTGCGGTACTTTCTATATTTAGTGACTTTAATAGGAAACATAGATATATAAATACCTAGATACAGCCATCCTTAACAAACGTACCTCGGTTTTTAAAAAACATATCTAAGAAATTTGTACATCTCTCCATTACTTTCTAACCAAGAAGAAACATGTTCTATCTCTTTTTATTGCATTAACCACTATGTCGTACGCGAATCGGACGCTTAAAACAAACTTAGCGCGTCCCATAAGTCATGTGACAACTGACAGTTGACACATTTCACAATCGCGCGAAATCAAATCTAACTAAAAATATTCGCCCTAAACATGATGGGCGGTTTTTTCACTAAATATTATGTAATTATTGCGTTATCAATTGAATACGAATAACATTAGTGATTGCCATAATGATAGACGCGTCCATAATTGTTATTCCTGAAATAGTTTTATTACATAGAGCTACGCCATTCAAATTTGGGACTATGTTTACCTTGTTTGGCATGATGTGCTGCAGTGAATTCATTGCTGACTTGCAGAATATCAAAAAAACCGTAAGTAAGTAAAGTTTATGTTCAACATTTTAATTTTAATTGCATGGTTTTAGGCGTAATGGTAACGGAGATTAAGTTGCGACAGGAAGTGAATTCGTTTCCAATTATCATTTTGGCCTATATGATGCAGTGCGTTTGTATCATGATCACAAAGAAGGATGCGTGCAATATTCTTAGGAAAGCGAGATTTATAGACTGTTGTGTGCGTGCAATATCAAATTTTGGTCGCTACGCGTCTTGCCTACCTTTCGGCATAGTCCAATCGGTGGGGTTTCTTTTTGAAATTATAGTGCTAATTGTAGTAAGCTACACGTGTACATTTATTTAAAATAAATACAAAATCTTAACAATGATATCCAATTGCTGATAATTCTCATTTAGTGAACATTCATTACGTTTGTAAAAGTTCACAATCCGAATCATCGTCAGATGAAATTGACAAATCCGTATCATCACTGTCATTATTAACACTTATTATAAAGTTCAGAAACATCAACCAATATAACTTCTCTTTTAAATTAATCACTTTCCACATCTTCACACACTTTCTTCCAGTTGTCAGCTGTAATTTTTTCAAATTCTTCATTTGCCAGCTTTATAAGTAACATCTTCCATTTTAAATGTAACATTTCTTGCTGCTATGCGATTTAAATAAATAAAAAGGCGGTTTATTTATGTTGTAAAGTCTCAAATCTAATAATTTTCTGTGTGATTTGTGCTAACAATTTGATTGACAGTTATAATAAATAATGCGAATCTTGTCTTCCATGCTCAGGGTACCTCTATAAAGGATAGCGCTATACGTAATTAATGTGCCGAAAGTGATGGTAATAGATGGTACGTCCTTTTGAACTATGTTGGGGTATGGCTGTATCTATGTATTTATATATCTATGATAGGAAAAAGCTGCCTGCGCCATCTAGAAAGCACGAACGGAGGTTACGTTTGGCATCTTGTTTTGAATGGCGGTCGTGTACGCGTCGCTCCATAAATGTTTGTTGTTATTTTGTGATATTTAATGCAGGTAGTAATTTTTGCATTTATTTATATCGTATTTGTGTTTTGTATGCCGCATGTTATATTTTTTGTATGTTTCCATCTTTGTTTGGTTGCTTGGTTTAACCGCAATGCAGAATGAAATGTTTAATACCGTTTGTTTGTAATTGTTAACGTTTTTTGTGTTTGACATATGTTACCTCTTGAAGTCTACATGCTACTTTTTGTTTTCTTTTGTTTTTCTCTTCCAAGAGAGTTTCAAAGGACCTGGTAAAAAGTTTCAAGGATGTGAAAAGAGCTTCAACAGATTACTAGAAGAACGGTAGAACTGTAAGCAAACTTGGAGTTTATATATCGAATTTGAAGCAAGAGGTCAGGACTTTCGAAAGACCCGATCAAATTGCAAGAAAACTTGACAGAAGACTTAAAGCCAGATCTATAAAGCGAGTTTCAAGTCAAATTCAAGTGCTTTTTAGCACTTTACTTTAAAGCTTCAAAAGAAATAATTTCAAGGCTATAGATATAGGTTCAGGAAATGTTTAGTGATGAAGCTTTAGAAGAGTTCCAATGAAGTGTTAAATGGGTTAGTAGAAGGACTCAACGGGATCTTAAGAATGTCATGAAAGTGCCAGGGAATGCTTAGGGCATGCTACAACAAAGTTTCTGGAGTTACAGTTTGTCTTCACACTACAATAACGCGGAAATAAAATCAGCCCGACAACGTTTAAAACCGGAATGGCCATTCCCTCCAAAAATGCTAACCTGATCGCGATTAAATTTGAAATCGAAAAGTTTTTGATAGCAGGATCTTGCCCCCGAGATAGGTAACTTGCCCCTCGTCCACGGAATTCCAGAAGTATTCCAAGAGGATGGGCTCCCGGAGCTTTTAGACCTCAGTCCATCCTCTACCTCATAATTTCAGCCACCAATCACTTGCGATGCATAATTGGATATGTCCTGGAAAGTTTTTTTTATTGAAATACCATAAGATTCATTAAGATACGAAGTTCATGATTTATTTAATAATTAATCATAAGGTTTTTCCCGAATAGTTTACAAAAATACTGAGACTGCAGCATGCTTAAAGCCACAATAGACTAGTTAATGTCTTAAAAAATAAAATCACAGCAAACTGCAACCAAAAATTAATTCCGGTTCCATTTAATCTCTCTTGTGTATCCTACATGAATCTTCAATATGTCTTATTCGTTTCTTGCAAATGAACTTGTAATCGATTGGTAGGTCACACTTTTGGGATTATCGTGTCTTAGCAGGTGTCTTTTAAAATGGGTTTTATCATTTGTTCCGTAATCGCACCTGGCACATTTAAAATTTTTGGAAGTCTCGTGCGTTCCCAGATGACTTTTAAAATGGGTTTTATCGTTCGTTGCGTAGTCACAGTGGGTGCACTTAATATCCATGGAGCTCTTGTGCGTTAGCAAATGTCGTTTCAGATTGTAACTATGAGCGGTTGTGTAATCACATTGGTCGCATTTGAATTTTTTGTAAATGTCTCTGGAAATCTCGTGTTTAAGCGAATGTTTTTTAAGCTGAAATTTTATATGCGTCGAAAAATCACACCGGTCACATTTGAACTCTTTTAAAGTCCTGTGTGTTAGTAGATGATTTTTAAAATTGAATTTATGATTGGTAGCGTAATAACAATGACCGCATCTAAAATCCTTGGATGGCTTATGCGTTAACAAATGTGAGGTAAGTTTGAACTTGTGATTGGTTGCAAAATCACACTGACCACATTGGAACACTTTGGATGTCTTGTGGTTTAAAAGATGTCGTTTAAAATTCGAGTTATCGTTGGTTGCGTAATCACACTGGGCACATTTGAGATTTTTGGAACCCTTGTGTGTTAACAGATGCGATCTCAGATCGGATTTTCGATTGGTTGCGTAATTACAATGGGCACATTTAATACCTTTGAGGGTTTTGTGCGTTAATAAATGTGCCGTTAAACTGGACTTGTAATTGGTTACAAAATCGCATTGGCCACATTTAAAATTCTTGGCAGTGTCGTGTCTTAGCAGATGTGTTGTCAAATTACATTTCCGATTTGTTGCGTAATTACACTTGGCGCATTTGAAATCGTCGACAGTCTTATGGGTTCGCAGATGCGCTATCAAACTGCACCTGTTACTAGTCTTGTAATTACAGTGAGCACAAAAGAAATCCTTCGAAACACGCGGTTGATCTTCACTCTTGACATCATCCTTACAAATGAATGTGTCATTAGCATTACCAGCACCGGTCGTAGTTTCATTAAATTCTTGCGTTATTACTCCTGCAACATCAATTTCTTCTTTTACTTCAACTTTCACAATTGCCGACATTGTCACACACGTTTGAGATGTATAACAGCCACAAACTTGTTTTGTGACAACAGCGCCAAAAAAAAAAAACCGGTTGGCATATGCATGTAAGGACAACACATACAGGATGTTTCATGCTAACCGTTTGCCTGAAAATGTGCGTACCAACATAGTTTTTCATGAGATCTATCTCAAAGAAAATGTTATGTGATGGTCTCACTTCCGGTTTTACTGGATGCCGATAGCAACTTTCTTTTTTTAAATAGAGCAATCCGTATTTTATTCTATTTTCGAAATTTTGACTGCTTTTCTTTGTGCCCTGTATAGCTATGCCTCCGTTGACTGGAATTTCACAAATCAACAGCACGGATGAGAATATGATCAGAGCTGTGGCTATTCTTCCTGCAATATGGGGTTAGTGGAGCTGGAGACACATCCAGGTCTGCCATTTCTGCGCAATCTTCTACTGTTGTACTTGTGTGATGGCAGCAATCGTGAAAGTTGAAGTAAAAGAAGAAAGTGAAGTTAATGCGTCCATTGATGAAAAGATTTTAGTTAAGAATGATGACGCAGAAATAATAAAGCAAGAACTCGATGCTGATTATGCTAATAACGCATTCATCTTTAAAGATGAAGTCCAGAGGGACAATGAATCTTTTAGTGAACAACCTGAAGATTTCCCATCTGTTAATCAACCGCGAGTTTCGAAGGACTGTAATTACATCACTAGTAACTCGTGCAGATTGATAGCACATGAGCGAACCCATACAACTTTTAAGGATTTCAAATGTGCCCAGTGTAATTACGCAACGAATCGGAAATCTAACTTGAAATCACATCTACGAAGGCATACTTACAAAAATATAAAATGTGACCAATGCGATTATGTAACTAATTACAAGTCCAGTTTTTCATCACATTTGCTAACACATGCGACATCCAAAGATTTTAAATGTGTTCAGTGTGATTTTGCAACAAATCGGAGATCTACTTTGAAAGCACATCTACTGAGACATGGGAGTTCCAAAAATTTCAAATGTGGCCAATGCGATTATGTAACTAATTTTAAGTCCGGTTTGAGATCGCATTTGTTAACGCATAAGAAATCGAAGGAGTTCAAATGTCCCCAGTGTAATTACGCAACAAATCGGAAATCTAATTTGAAATCACATCTACTAAGACACGAGAGTTCCAAAAATTTCAAATGTGGCCAGTGTGATTATGTAACTTGTTACAAGGCCTGTTTGAAATCACATTTGTTAACGCATGAGACATCAAAGGATTTCAAATGTGCCCAGTGCAATTACTCAACAAATCGGAAATGCCATTTGAAATCTCATCTGCTAAGACATACATGTAAGACCGCCAAGGAATTTAAATGTGATCAGTGTTATTACGCAACCAATCGGAAATCTAGTTTGAAAACTCATCTACTAATACACGAGACTTCCAAAAATTTCAAATGTGGCCAATGTGATTATGTAACTAATTACAAGTTCAGTTTTAAATCACATTTGCTAACGCATCAGGCATCGAAGAAATTTAAATGTGATCAGTGCGACTTTACAACACATCTGAAAATTCTGCTTAAAGGACATCGGCTAGTACACAAAATATTCAAGGATTTCAAATGTGCCCGGTGTAATTACGCAACAAATCAGAAACGTTACCTGAAAACGCATCTGCTAAGTCACGAGACTTCCAAAAATTTCAAATGTGGCGAATGCGATTACGGAACTAATTACAAGTCCAATTTGAAATTGCATTTGTTAACGCATAAGTCGTCCGAGGTTTTCAAATGTGCCCACTGCGATTTTGCAATGCATAACAAGTTTCAGCTTAAAAAACATCTGCTAATACACGACGTTTACAAACATTTGAAATGTGACCAATGCGATTACGCGACAAATCGGAAATGCCATTTGAAATCACATCTGCTAAGACATAAGATTTCCAAACAGTTCAAATGTGACCAATGTGATTATGTAACGAATTACAAGTCCAGTTTTACATCACATTTGTCAACGCATAAGTCATCCCAGGATTTCAAATGTGCCCAGTGTAATTACACAACAAATCGGAAATATAGTTTGAAAATGCATTTACCAAGGCATGAGACTTCTAATAATTTCAAATGTGGCCAATGTGCTTATGTAACTAAATACAAGTCCAGTTTTGCATCACATTTGTTAACGCATAACGACATCCAAGGTGTTTAAATGTGATCAGTGTGATTTTGCAACACATGGCAAAACTCAGCTTAAAAGACATCTGCTAGTACACAAAATATCTAAGGTTTTCAAATGTGCCCAGTGTAATTAAGCTACAAATCAGAAATATGGCATGAAAATACATATGCTAAGACATGGGACTTTCAAAAATTTCAAATGTGCCGATTGTGATTATGGAACCAATTACAAGTCCAGTTTAAAATCGCATGTGTTAACACATAAGGCATCCATGGATTTTAAATGTGATCACTGTGATTACGCAACCAATCATAAATCCAATTTGAAAAAACATATGTTTGGACACAAGACTCTAACAAGTTTCAAATGTGCCCAGTGTGATTTTGGTGCACGTTTAAAATTACAGCTTAAAAAACATCTGCTAATACACGACATTTACAAAAAGTTGAAATGTGGCCAATGTGATTACGCAACCAATAATAATTTCCATTTCAAAAGACATTTGCTAACACACAAAACGTTTAAGGATTTTAAATGTACTCTGTGCGATTACGCAACAAATTATAAAGCACACTTTAAAAGGCATGTGCTAGGACACGGGACTTTCAAATGCGCCCATTGTGAATACGCAACCGGGTATAAATCACAGTTTATACAACATCTGCTAAAACATAAAACTTTACAAACTAAGATTTAAAATGTGTCCAGTGCAATGTTACTACTATAATTATAAAGAAAAGGTTAACGCACAAGAATTCCAAGGACTTGAATTGTGCCCAGTGTGATTATGCAACAAGTACAGTATAAAAAAAGCGTGATATGCACAAGAATTCCAGGGTTGTTAAATGTGAACTGTGTCATTTTATAAACCAGTTTCAAAACCCACTTGTTGAATTAGAAAACTTGCATAGATATAAAACGAGACATAAAATGTGCCCACTGTAATTATGCCAAGGGAATTTGAAAAATCATAAAATTGTAATGGTAATAATAATAAAAAAAAAATGAGTAGTCGACGCCTAAAACGAAAAAAAAGGCGGGAACTGTGTTTTGATGCTGGGATATCAACGTTGCCACTTTGCCGGAAAATCTGTCACATTAGCCTCGAAGGGAGTGGGGGGTGCTAGGCTGTGTATGGAAAAACATTGCTAAAAAGAAACCCAATAAGGATTATATCAGTGTGAGAGACATATCTATACTGTTGACAAACGTGCCTACCAAAATGTATGGCATCAGCGCTTTTAGTTTGTTGTGTTCTATCTCACTTGAACGCACGGGAAGTGGCTGTGCTATCTTTGTTTTACTTAATATAAGTCAGACCCCCAATAATTTTTTTGCCGTTGCTACAAATAAAAGACGCCAAGTGATATCATTTGTTGTTGTACTTTTCAAACTTAATGGCGGCACTTGTGAAAGTTGAAGTAAAAGAAGAAAGTGAAGTTAATGCATCCATCGAAGAGAAGGTTTTACTTAAGAATGATGTCGTAAGAACAATAAAGGAAGAGATAACGATCAGTGAGACATTCATTTGTAAAGAAGAAGTCCACAGAGGCAGTGAATTTTTCAATGAACAACCTGAAGATTTCCCATTTGTTAATCAACCGCAGGTTTCGAAGGATTTTATTTGTGCTCGCTGTAATTACTTGACTAATAACAGGCGCTCTTTGATTGCACATCTGCGAATCCATAAGACTGTTACGGATTTCAAATGTGCCAAGTGTGATTACATCACCAAGTACAAATCCCGGTTTAGATCACATGTGTTAATACACAAGAGATCCAAGGATTTTAAATGTGGTCAGTGTTATTACGCTACTATTAATAAACTCGATTTTAAAAGACACATGTCAACACACGAGACTCTAAAACGTTTTAAATGTGCCCAGTGTGATTTTGCGACACGTGCCAAATGTCACCTTAAAAAACATCTGCTAATACACGAGATTTACAAAAATTTGAAATGTGACCAATGCGATTACGCGACCAATAACCATTACCATTTCAAAAGACATTCGCTAACACACATAACCTCCAAGGATATTAAATGTGTCCAGTGCGATTACGCGACCAATAATAATTTCAATTTCAAAAGACATCTGCTAACACACAAAACCTCAAAGGATTTCAAATGTGCTTGCTGCGATTACGCAACAAATAACAAAGCCCATTTTAAGAGACATCTGCTAAAACACTACGGGATTTTGAAAAATTTGAAATGCGCCCATTGCGAATATGCAACCAGTAATAAATCGCAGCTGATAAAACATGTGGTAAAACATAAAACTTCAAAGTTCTAATGACTGAAAATGTGGTCAGTGTCATACTGCAACTAAATAAAAATAGCGTTAGAACACAGATTTTAAAATGTGCCCAGTGTGATTATGGAACTAACTCTAAATGCCACATGAAGCACCATCTGGTAACGCACAAGACCGTCAAAGACATAAAGTGTGCACAGTGTAATTTTGCAACTAATCACAAATACAGTTTTAAAACGCATTTGTTATCACACCATACCACGAAAGAGTTAAAATGCTCCCTGTGCGAATCCGCAACCAACTTTACGCCAAATTTTCAAATTTATTAACACAAGATCGTCAAGAATTTAAAATTTGACCAATACGATTTCTGTTAGTCTTGTTCTATTCTGCCACTTAACCTTTAATAATTCGTTAAGCGCCTGTTCATTAGGCAATGACGAAGGTATTGTATGTACATATTTTATAGTTGATAAAGGTTTTAAAATGCTAGACGACACAATTTGTGAATAACCCTACGAGTAAAAAATAACCCAAGGTAATTTAGGTTATGTACAAATCAACACCGCTTTTTTTGGAGGACATTCGCTTTTGGGATAGTACCAACCTAAATGGGGAAACAAAAAATAACTAGGACCGGGCTGAAGTTACATTCGTTTTTTTTTTAATCAACGGCCTTCGAAAGTGATGGCACCGGGACCAAATTTTCATCCCCTTTTTGGAAAAGAGCCATAAACCTCAACAAATCCGTTCCCGAAGTTGACAAATTGCGCAAGTGTGTGAATGAGTTTTGCACGCGGAGGATAAGGGCACCGTGGAGACCCAAGGGCTTACCTAAAACCCTCTAACTGTCATTTTTCGAAAAGTGCCCCACAGTTCGAAAAATTCCCTTTTGTTTGGTCAATGGGGCGGTATACGAATAATGCAAGTTGCAATTCAAAATTAATTTATTAAAATTGAGTGCATTTTGCACGCGGAGGATAAGGGCACCGTGGTGGCCCAAGGGCCTACC